TTGGGTGTGTGTGGGGCTGGGTGTGTGGGTGTTGGGTGTGTTGGTGCTGGGTGTGTGGGTGTTGGATGTGGTGGTGGCTGGGTGTATTGGTTCTGAGTGTGTTGGTTCTGGGGTGTTGTGCTGGGTGTGTGTGGTTCTGGGTGTGTGGGTGCTGGGTTGTGGGTGCTGGGTGTGTGGGGTGCTGGGTGTGTTGGTGCTGGTGTGTTGTTCCGGTGTGTTGGTGCCGGGTGCGATGGTGCTGGGTGTGTTTAGTGCCGGGTGTGTTGGTGCCGGGTGTGTTGGGTGCGGGGTGTTGGTGCTGGGTGTGTTGGTTCTGGTGTGTTGGTGCTGGGTGTGTTGGTACTGGGTGTGTTGGGTGTTGGTGCTGAGTGTGTTGGTGCTGGTGTGTTGGTGCTGGGTGTGTTGGTGCTGGGGTGTGTTGGTTCTGGGTGTGGTGGGTGCTGGGTGTGTGGGTGTTGGGTGTGTTGGTGCTGGGTGTGTGGGTGTTGGATGTGTTGGTGCTGGGTGTTGGTGCTGGTGTGTTGGGGCTGGGTGTGTTGGTGCTGGGTGTGTTGGTTCTGGGTGTGTGGGTGCTGGGTGTGTGGGTGTTGGGTGTGTTGGTGCTGGGTGTGTGGGTGTTGGATGTGTTGGTGCTGGGTGTGTTGGTGCTGGGTGTGTTGGTGCTGGGTGTGTTGGTTCTGGGTGTGTTGGTGCTGGGTGTGTTGGTGCTGGGTGTGTTGGTACTGGGTGTGTTGGTGTGTTGGTGCTGGGTGTGTTGGTGCTGGGTGTGTTGGTGCTGGGTGTGTTGGTGCTGGGTGTGTTGGTGCTGGGTGTGTTGGTGCTGGGTGTGTTGGTTCTGGGTGTGTGGGTGCTGGGTGTGTGGGTGTTGGGTGTGTTGGTGCTGGGTGTGTGGGTGTTGGATGTGTGGGTGCTGGGTGTGTTGGTGCTGGTGTGTTGGTGCCGGGTGTGTTGGTGCCGGGTGCGATGGTGCTGGGTGTGTTAGTGCCGGGTGTGTTGGTGCTGGGTGTGTTGGTGCTGGGGGTGTTGGTGCTGGGTGTGTTGGTTCTGGGTGTGTTGGTGCTGGGTGTGTTGGTACTGGGTGTGTTGGTGTGTTGGTGCTGGGTGTGTTGGTGCTGGGTGTGTTGGTGCTGGGTGTGTTGGTGCTGGGTGTGTTGGTTCTGGGTGTGTGGGTGCTGGGTGTGTGGGTGTTGGGTGTGTTGGTGCTGGGTGTGTGGGTTTTGGATGTGTTGGTGCTGGGTGTATTGGTGCTGGGTGTGTTGGTGCTGGGGGTGTTGGTGCTGGGTGTGTGGGTGCTGGGTGTGTGGGTGTTGGGTGTGTTGGTGCTGGGTGTGTGGGTGTTGGATGTGTTGGTGCTGGGTGTGTTGGTGCTGGGTGTGTTGGTGCTGGGTGTGTTGGTTCTGGGTGTGTTGGTGCTGGGTGTGTTGGTTCTGGGTGTGTGGGTGCTGGGTGTGTGGGTGCTGGGTATGTTGGTGCTGGGTGTGTTGGTGCTGGTGTGTTAGTGCCGGGTGTGTTGGTGCCGGGTGCGATGGTGCTGGGTGTGTTAGTGCCGGGTGTGTTGGTGCTGGGTGTGTTGGTGCCGGGTGTGTGGGTGCTGGGTGTGTGGGTGCTGGGTGTTGGTACTGGGTGTGTTGGTGCCGGGTGTGTTAGTGCCGGGTGTGTTGGTGCTGGGTGTGTTGGTGCTGGGTGTGTTGGTACTGGGTGTGTTGGTACTGGGTGTGTTGGTACTGGGTGTGTGGGTGCTGGGTGTGTTGGTGCTGGGTGTGTTGGTGCCGGGTGTGTTGGTGCCGGGTGTGTTGGTGCCAGGTGTGTTGGTGCCGGGTGTGTTGGTGCTGGGTGTGTTGGTGCTGGGTGTGTGTGTGGGTGCTGGGTGTGTGTGGGTGTGTTGGTGCTGGGTGTGTTGGTGCTGGGTGTGTTGGTGCTGGGTGTGTTGGTGCTGGGTGTGTTGGTGCTGGGTTCGTTGGTGCTGAGTGTGTGGGTGCTGGGTGTGTGTGGGTGTGTTGGTGCCGGGTGTGTTGGTGCTGGGTGTGTTGGTGCTGGGTGTGTTGGTGCTGGGTGTGTTGGTGCTGGGTGTGTTGGTGCTGGGTGTGTTGGTGCTGGGTGTGTTGGTGCTGGGTGTGTGGGTGCTGGGTGCGTGTGGGTGTGCTGGGTGCGTGTGGGTGTGCTGGGCGCGTGTGTGGGTGTGTTGGTGCTGGGTGCGTGTGGGTGTGCTGGGCGCGTGTGTGGGTGTGTTGGTGCTGGGTGCGTGTGTGTGTGCTGGGTGCGTGTGGGTGTGCTGGGTGCGTGTGGGTGTGCTGGGCGCGTGTGTGGGTGTGTTGGTGCTGGGTGCGTGTGTGTGTGCTGGGTGCGTGTGGGTGTGCTGGGTGCGTGTGGGTGTGCTGGGCGCGTGTGTGGGGTGTTGGTGCTGGGTGCGTGTGTGTGTGCTGGGTGCGTGTGTGTGTGCTGGGTGCGTGTGGGTGTGCTGGGTGCGTGTGGGTGTGCTGGGCGCGTGTGTGGGTGTGTTGGTGCTGGGTGCGTGTGTGTGTGCTGGGTGCGTGTGGGTGTGCTGGGTGCGTGTGGGTGTGCTGGGCGCGTGTGTGGGTGTGTTGGTGCTGGGTGCGTGTGTGTGTGTGCTGGGTGCGTGTGGGTGTGCTGGGCGCGTGTGTGGGTGTGTGTGTGCTGGGTGCGTGTGTGCTGGGTGCGTGTGGGTGTGCTGGGTGCGTGTGGGTGTGTTGGTGCTGGGGGCGTGTGGGTGTGTTGGTGCTGGGTGTGTTGGTGCTGGGTGTGTTGGTGCTGGGTGTGTTGGTGCTGGGTGTGTTGGTGCTGGGTGTGTTGGTGCTGGGTGTGTGTGGGTGTGTTGGTGATGGGTGTGTTGGTGCTGGGGGCGTGTGGGTGTGTTGGTGCTGGGTGTGTTGGTGCTGGGTGCGTGTGGGTGTGTTGGTGCTGGGTGTGTTGGTGCTGGGTGTGTTGGTGCTGGGTGCGTGTGGGTGTGTTGGTGCTGGGTGTGTTGGTGCTGTGTGTGTGTGGGTGTGTTGGTGATGGGTGTGTTGGTGCTGGGTGTGTGTTGGTGTGTTGGTGATGGGTGTGTTGGTGCCGGGTGTGTTGATGCCGGGTGTGTGTGAGCGCCGGGTGTGTTGGGCACAGGCTATGCTCGGTACTAAATATTCAGGGTGGCGTGTGTACTTCAGTGTTCTATGCGCTGGCCTCAAGGTGCACACAGCCTGGCACAAGCGTCGTGGTGACGTCACCGCCACTCAGCGGCGAATATCGCTTGTTGTTGTTATTGTTGTGTGCTGGGTGCGATGCCCTTACGGGCTTGCTCCCACCTGCCTGCCCCCGTCCGCCCCGTGCACGAACACGCGCTCGCCGCACCCCGTGAACACGAGGCCTGCGGGGCCGGGCCTCAGCGGCGGGGCCGCCCTGCGCGATCCCCGGGGCCGCTCCAATTCCTCCAGGGCGCTCCCCACGCCGACGTGAAGACGCGCCATGCTTTCCCGCCAATAACGAAGAATCGATTCGGATTAGCGACGTTCGATTTATTCTACTCGATTCCGCGAGTGGTTACGCGTCTGGTTTATAACAAAATGTCGATTCTAGAATCGATTCGTTGTTGTTGTTGTCGCACTTGCAGTCGTCGGATTCGCATCGCGCCGCGAATGTTCATCTTCCGCGGTCGCCTCCGCTCCCACGAACGCATCCCAATCCGCGTCTCGTATTAGGACTCGCAATGCGTCGCGATTGCTTTACGCATTGGATTATCGCGCGCGAATCGCTTCGCCTAAATGTATCGATTCCGTTCAGCGAGGAATCGATTCGCGATGCTGCCGCGAATCCCAAGAAACTTTCGCGCGGCGGTGTCCATGGCAACGGCGACGCCGCGTTGACCCAAACACGTGAACCAAGTTCCTCGTGTGTGTGTCCGTGTGTGTCTTTATATATCTCTCGCAACACACATTATAACACAAACAACAGCGCGGATAAACCCACACCGGTCAAAAGTCTCCAAATCTCAGCCCGAGCTCGGAGCTGCCCCATGGCGCTGCCCGATCCGCGCGGCCGTGCGGCCTCCCCGGGTGCCTCGGGGTCGTCCGTCTCCCCGGGGACTCCTCCAGGGGCCTCCCCGGCCTCTCCGAGTCGTCGGACGAGCGCGCAGATTGTGAGCGAGGCCCGTGCCCTGGTGCGTGCCCTGGAGACGAGGAGGCCGCGCACGCCGCGGGAGGCCGAGCGCCGCCTGTTCGGTGCCCGCGGCGGCGGCGTCGACGGCGCGGGGAGTCGCGACTCGCGTCCGAGCTCAGCCGTGAGGTGACCCCGCGGGTGGAGGTCATCACAACGCCTCGTCACAACACATCATCATCGTCACAACACCTCATCACAACACATCATCATCATCATCGTCACAACACCTCATCACAACACATCATCATCATCGTCACAACACCTCATCACAACACTTCATCATCATCGTCACAACACCTCATCACAACACTTCATCATCATCGTCACTACACCTCATCACAACACATCATCATCATCGTCACAACACCTCATCACAACACTTCATCATCATCGTCACAACACCTCATCACAACACTTCATCATCATCGTCACAACACCTCATCACAACACTTCATCATCATCGTCACAACACCTCATCACAACACATCATCATCATCGTCACAACACCTCATCACAACACTTCATCATCATCGTCACAACACCTCATCACAACACATCATCATCATCGTCACAACACCTCATCACAAACACTTCATCATCATCGTCCACAACACCTCATCATCATCGTCACAACATCATCATCACAACACTTCATCATCATCGTCACAACACCTCATCACAACACATCATCATCATCGTCACAACACCTCATCACAACACATCATCATCATCGTCACACACCTCATCACAACACATCATCATCGTCACACACTTCATCATCATCGTCACAACACCTCATCACAACACATCATCATCATCGTCACAACACCTCATCACAACACTTCATCATCATCGTCACAACACCTCATCACAACACATCATCATCATCGTCACAACACCTCATCACAACACTTCATCATCATCGTCACAACACCTCATCACAACACTTCATCATCATCGTCACAACACCTCATCACAACACATCATCATCATCGTCACAACACCTCATCACAACACTTCATCATCATCGTCACAACACCTCATCACAACACTTCATCATCATCGTCACAACACCTCATCACAACACATCATCATCATCGTCACAACACCTCATCACAACACATCATCATCATCGTCACAACACCTCATCACAACACTTCATCATCATCGTCACAACACCTCATCACAACACTTCATCATCATCGTCACAACACCTCATCACAACACTTCATCATCATCGTCACAACACCTCATCACAACACTTCATCATCATCGTCACAACACCTCATCACAACACATCATCATCATCGTCACAACACATCATCACAACACATCATCATCATCGTCACAACACCTCATCACAACACATCATCATCATCGTCACAACACCTCATCACAACACATCATCATCATCGTCACAACACCTCATCACAACACATCATCATCATCGTCACAACACCTCATCACACACATCATCATCCACACCTCATCACACTTCATCATCGTCACAACACCTCATCACAACACTTCATCATCATCGTCACAACACCTCATCACAAGACTTCATCATCATCGTCACAACACCTCATCATCACAACACCTCATCACAACACCTCATCACAACACTTCATCATCATCGTCACAACACCTCATCACAACACTTCATCATCATCGTCACAACACCTCATCATCACAACACCTCATCACAACACCTCATCACAACACTTCATCATCATCGTCACAACACCTCATCATCACAACACCTCATCACAACACTTCATCCTCATCATCACAACACCTCATCACAACACCTCATCACAACACCTCATCACAACACCTCATCACAACACCTCATTGCAACACATCATCACAACACCTCATCACAACACATCATCATCACAACACCTCATCGCAACACCTCATCACAACACCTCATCACAACACATCGTCACAACACCTCAACACAACACCTCATCATCACAATGCCTCATCATCACAACACCTCATCACAACACCTCATCATCATCACAACACCTCATCACAACACCTCATCATCATCATCACAACACCTCATCACAACACCTCATCATCACAACACATCATCATCACAACACCTCATCATCACAACACCTCATCATCACAACACATCATCATCACAACACCTCATCATCATCATCACAACACCTCATCACAACACCTCATCATCACAACACCTCATCATCACAACACCTCATCATCACAACACCTCATCATCACAACACATCATCATCACAACACCTCATCATCACAACACATCATCACAACACATCATCATCACAACACCTCATCATCACAACACCTCATCATCACAACACATCATCACAACACATCATCATCACAACACCTCATCATCACAACACCTCATCATCACAACACCTCATCATCACAACACTTCATCATCACAACACCTCATCACAACACATCATCATCACAACACATCATCATCACAACACATCATCATCATCACAACACCTCATCACAACACATCATCATCACAACACATCATCATCACAACACATCATCATCACAACACATCATCATCACAACACATCATCATCACAACACATCATCATCATCATCACAACACCTTATCACAACACATCATCATCACACATCATCATCACAACACATCATCATCACAACACATCATCATCACAACACCTCATCACAACACCTCATCATCACAACACCTCATCATCATCACAACACCTCATCATCACAACACATCATCATCACAACACCTCATCATCACAACACATCATCACAACACATCATCATCACAACACCTCATCATCACAACACCTCATCATCACAACACCTCATCATCACAACACATCATCACAACACCTCATCGTCACAACACCTCATCACAACGCCTCATCACAACACCTCATCACAACACCTCATCACAACACCTCATCATCATCGCACTCCATTACATCTTATCCATATGTAATCTGACGGGCAGTAGAGAACTTACCACCTCATTAAACCCCCTTCATAACCGCGTCGAGCACTCTCGCATCTCTTGTCGTGACGGCGAGGAGTCAGACGACTACGACAACTCACGATTTCTCAATAATGGCATCGTCGTGTCGGGCTACTCAGTTGTTAGCATCGTCGTTGAGCCCTGGGTCTGGGTCACTTTCTCTCAGAGGGTTCACAGTGGCCAAGTCGAAGACCGTGAACTTGCCCCATGCTCAGATCCGAGGTTAGAATCGTGGGTTTGAAGCCAGGTTTTGGCCACCTGAAATACAATTGGATTATCAAGTTGAATGTCTCACCCCGGTGTCAAGCCGATGCCCTGACAACAAAAAATTAACCCGTAAAAACAAAGTTTTTCACTATAAATCCTTTCTATGCGTGGCGGCTAGAGTCCTCTCGTCCTCTGGCTTGAGATGGCTGCCACCTATGGGTCAGATGATTGTCTGCCAGCATTAAGCAATTGGTAATTAAATATTTTAAATATTTTCCCTAAACAGTGTAAAATTTTGGAATTTTTTTTCACGAAAATTAATTGTCACGCACAACGAGTCTGTGTGGAAAATGTCAGCTCGATTGGATCACGGGAAGTGGGTTAAAAAACGACCGAAAGATTTGCACGGTCATAAGCAAGCAAGCACGCAAGCGAACTTAATATAAAGGATTAAAAAATTACATCTAGTAGTGTGTCTTAAGTTGAATAAATTACACCTGCTAGGATTACAAAATTTCGTTGGATTGCATTTGCTGGGCTGTCAAAGGCCCCCTTTCTGCAGGGCAGTGCTATAGTGGCATCTTCTGCCATACAGTTGACATTGGTTGTCCACAAAAGTGGCCAACTCAAAGTAAATTTCGATTTAAAGCTTTCGTGACTGCAGGGATTCATCTTCTTGGTTATTTCGGTAAAGTCACGTAGAATGGAAATAAAATAATAAAAATAAAACATAATAAAATAATTCTCACGACGTTTCGGCCACAACGCAAGCAGCCGTCCTCAGGTGAAGACCAGGTCTGTCGAGAAGACAGAGTCTGAATGACGAAACGTCGTGAGAATTATTTTATTATGTTTTATTTTTATTATTTTATTATTTCCATTCTACGTGACTTTACCGAAAGAACCAAGAAGATGAACTCAAAGTCAACTTTGCACAGATTTTACCATGTGTGCCACCTTTGCCATGTGCCAACGTTGCGTGTGTGTCTGTGCTCATGCTTTGCCCATCTGTGCATGAAATGCGTGTGTCCCTGCCTTCATGCTGTGTCCATGCTATGTCAGTGTGCCCACGCTGTGTCTGCATGTACGTACATCTGCGTGTACCGTATGCAGCCTGCATTCACACCACTTTGAGGTGACGGAGCAGAGGCCCACATCGCGCACTCGTCTCGCTCCACTGCAGCATGTGAGCATCCCCCACCCACCCACCCACACAGATACGCTATAGTATCTATGTATGTTGAACTTATTCTGCAGGTGTGGGGGAAGGACAACAAAATAAACTCAAAAAGCAGTTCCAAAGACATTTGTTTTCAATCTAGATCAGTCATGTGTGCTGATGCATATTTAAATATATATACATTTCCAATTTATGTAGCATTCAGATAAGCCCCTCCCCCCTTAACTTGTATCTAAGGGCTGGTCTCTTGGAATTTTTTACCTCACTTGATGCAGTAATTTTAGCTGTGACGGTCCCACCTGATGACGGAGACTTGTGTTGCCTCCGAAACGTCGTGATTTATTATTTTACTTCTATTATTACTTCTATAAATTAATTAATTACTTATTTTTTTACCTACGTCACTTTACCGAAAAAGCCTAAGAGTATTTATGTAGTATCTTTATACAGCCGACCTCCAGACGTTTGGCAATGAAAGAAAGATGAAGCCTTACACATTGACAAATACATATTGCCAAATAATACAAATATATAGATGTACAGTATTTAAAATGATTTAGATGTAGGCATTAGAGACCAACTAAGTCTCAAGTCTAAGCCTAAGCAGTGCAACCGTCAACTGCACAAAGTTAAACATTTCACAAGTCCCAGGTCTGAGGAGCAGCAAACGAGAAAGAGCGACCCCCCCCCCCCCAAGTTTACTCACAGCATCAACAGATCTCTATTTACAGAGCAACGGCCACGTGCAGTGTTGAGCGATATGTGGGGTAGGAGTGATGAGTGGGGGAGAAGTGGTGTGTGGTGGTGTAAGAGTGTTGTGTGGGGTAAGGACCTCAGGAGCCAACCCACGAAGAATCTTAAAGAACGTCACAGGAATCTTGCACTCAAATTTGATCGGCAACTAGTTTGTCAACGCAGGTGTACGGTGGTCATGTTTATGTTAGAGGACTCCAACCCTTTACTGCATATTCAAAGGCACAGCGCTCCGTGCTCTGTACGTGTGTTTCTATGTGACATGGACTTTGACTGAGCCAAGCAGAAGCCCCGAGTGTCCTCAGATTCCCTGGACAGGGACCCTGACCAGGACCCCCTCCCCAAGTCGCTGGGTGACCCCCGCGAGGTGGCACGGGTCAGCCGCTCCCGTGCCAGGCTCTTCCGCGCCGCCAGCGCAGGGCACGTGCTGCCGGACAAGCCAGCCCCGCCACACGACGGTGGTGAGGGTCACAGTATGGTGAGGTTGGCACAGCTCACATCAGTCGCTCTGTTGTGGTTGACATGGGCCCTGCTACAATTGAAGTGTTCTTGCCCAAGGCCCAGGACGTAACTGTCCACTCTCCTCTCACTCAAGTCCACTCACTCAAGTGCTAGTTCCAGACATTCTCTCTTGTGTAGGGCCCGACTGACCAGAACCTTTACAGGACAGACAAGTTAAGGCTTTGTTGCAGAACATAAGGGAGCGTACCTCACGCAACTAGACAAATGAACTAAGTTTCGTAGTCCAGCATCTGGGCTCCTCCAGCCTGTGGGACCCGTCAAGTGCCATTGCTCCACTTGGACTCTCGACAGCTACGCCACTGGCTCCTCGTTTTTAGGAGGCAGGATATCCTGCAGGCCTGCATGGTCTGTGTACATATACCCAGCTTGATGCTGTGTGTGTGTTACGGTGGCATGTCAGGACTGAAGAGGATGCGCAGCGATCTGGGTTCACGAGACAGAGCCCCCCTTGCGCCTGTGGCTGTGGTCGAGGCTTGGGGGGAGAGGCCCCCCGCTAGAGGGGGCCGCCCTCCGAGGTCTCCTGAGCCCCCCAGCTCTCCCAACACCCCCAGCGCGCCCGACTCCCCCAGCTCTCCCGACTTCCCTACGGAGGCTGCCTTTTGGAGTTCGCACGTCGCTCCACTGCTGACCCAGCTCGAGGCCTACTCCGCGGGTACACGGCTCATCCGTCATGTCAGACAGCAAACACAAAGAAAATATGTCTCAGTCATGCACACTGTCAGGGCAAGTTCTGCTAAAAAGCATCTTTGCAGGCTGAGACGACGCACGAGAGGGCGGCGTGCTCAGTGCCACGCCTTGTGTCCCCTTGGGGATGCTCAGAACTGGTTCAGATAATCGTCACGAATGTTGGGCATGGCTGGAAATTTTACTCAGGTTGCATCTCCAGCAGCGGTCGCTCTATTGCAGACACAGCCGCCTCCACCTTGATAAACGTGTAAGAGGGGACGACCTAGGAGGGGCTAGCAGCCATCAGGGGTACAGAGTAAAAGGTTACACAAGTGGGATTTGGGCACACACACTTGTTCAGGTGTTCACAATGCACATTTTCTCTCGAATAAGCCCCATGGTTGGACAATAATTTTATATCCTTCCAAAAAACTATCCTACACTTTCGTTAATACTGTTTGTTGCTGGCTACTTGCCAACTTGGACCTTGGAGCCTGTCCTTTTTGTTAAGTAAATAAAAAATTTACGCAATTGAAATATTTTAAGTTGAAGTAATCAACATCCAAATTACAGATGTTATTATCAGGAGGCGACCATAAAAGTAAAACAGTATAAATCACAGTGCACAACACCAGCGCGTGGCCATTGGAGAAACAATGCAGGTTTGGATAAGCTACTCAAGTTGACATACCTCGATTTAAAGCTTTCGTGACTGCAGGGATTCATCTTCTTGGTGTTTCCCCGAGACAGCATCTGAGGACGGCTGCTTGTGTTGTGGCCGAAACGTCGTGAGAATTATTTTATTATGTTTTATTTTTATTATTTTATTATTTCCCTTCTACGTGACTTTACCGAAAGAACCAAGAAGTTGACATACCTCATTTATCCTGCTTCTTGGTGAATACCCAACGAGCGAGGCGTGCTTTTTCTTGCGCAGAGGGCGACCGGCCACAGGTCGAAGAAGGGCAGGAAGAGAGGGCGGAGGTCGTGGGGCGGCTATGTGGCGTGTGCGAGGATCTGGGGGCCGTGCTTGCCCGGGGGGGCATGTTGGCCCAGAGGGGCGGCCACGGCAGGGCCGCCCTCCTGCGCGTCCTGTACCGCCTGGTGGACGTCAACTCGGACCGCCTGCTGCTCCACGTCATCAAGCTCATTCTCTCGGTAGAGTCAACCAGACAAAGACAAATATTTCTAGATTTGAAGCTTTCGTGACTGCAAGGATTCATAGTCTTAGGTTTTTTCGGTAAAGTCACGTAGGTAAAAAATTAAAATTAATAAAAGTAAAATAAAAATAAAATAAAAATCACGACGTTTCGGGGGCAACACAAGCTTCCGTCTTGAGGTGGAACCGTCACAGCACGATAGCTTGTGTTGCCTCCGAAACGTCGTTATTTTAATTTTATTTTTATTTTACTTTTATTAATTTTAATTTTTTACCTACGTGACTTTACCGAAAAAACCTAAGAATAAAGACAAATATCCCCCCCGTATAGCCTTAACAGACTATTGGGGCAAGTGCTGTTAGCGAGCACCTATGAAGGCCGGCACGGCACACGAGGGGGTGGCTGGCGATGCTTACACACTGCACCAGGTACTCATTTGAGGCTGAGTCGACCAGGTCCTCAGTGCCACAAGCCCTACTGTCACTACCTCTCTGTAGTTTCCCAGAACACTGGTAGTTTTATAGGTAATAATAATATTGTTGCTGTTGTTAGCCTGGAACATATTACCGCTGGGCAAAGGCCTCCCACATTTTATTCGATTCCTTCCTTTCCATAGTTGACCAATTCTCCTGGAATGCAACCGATATCATCAGATGCTGAACAGGGCTAAGCCTGGATAGTGCTTGAATGGGTGGCCGCCATGCACGGCGGGTTGTTACCTTGGTAAACAGCGGTGTGCAGTGAAGCAAAATCCATTGTTCTCCTGTGCTCTATGCTGCCATGTTCCCCAACCTCACCAACTGCCACTCACCAGTGTGGTGAAGTTTGGTCAAATAACTTTTACAACCTGCATGGCATAGGGAGGCCCCATCCAGCAGTAGATTGATAAAGGGCTTTACTTTTACAGTAATACTTTTACACAATCAAGTCTCACTGTCTGCAGTGTTCAACATGTGGGCACCCACACATATGATGAGGGGATAGCACTCAAAGCTCCACACAGATGATTTCAGGAATTAAATGGTGCAATTTCATCATCTGGCCACCTCACAAACCAGGCAGTCTTCCGTCCATGTACGAAGCAGGTTCTTGTCTTTCGAGATCTGACGAGATCGGGTGGTATGACTGATTGTCTGTGTGCACACTTGTACTCTTATAAGATGCAATGCTATCAAAGCCACCGCTTAACAATTTGTATGGAATAGGCCGCCGAGGATGAGTGTAGCTGAGCTTTTTTGTTGCCTCGTCTCACCGCAGATTCAGGTCAAAGACAAGAACCTTCTCAACGTGTGCAAACTTGTGTTCAAGATCAGCCGCACAGAAAACAACGACCTGCTCTTCCTGCAAGTGGGAATCGTGGGTATGTATCGGCTAGGAGGGCGGCTCTCTTACACGAAGGGTTGCACTGCACCACGAGAGATCAGAATGGATTCTTCATCCCAAAACATGATGCTGATAGCACAAACGAGGTTTAAAAAAATGTAAATAAAGAAAAGTAAGTGGGCTTCGGCAGGACAAGTCGCTGGAGATAATGCCATTTGTACAGCGAGTGGTAGTGAAACCTGTCTTTCTGTCTGTCTGTGGAAGAGGGGGTAGGGTGTGCGAGGGTTTCCTCAAAACTAGTTTTGCCATGCAAAGTAAAATTGCTCCCAAAGAGAAGTGAAACTAATTCTGCACTATTGCTGGACTCTCATCTCAAGCGTGCACTTGTGCGTGCTTGCCAGTGCGGGTGTGGCTGTCTGTGTGCAATTGTTAGCTCTCTGCACTATGCACCCGAATACCTGATTTCGTTCTTGGGCATGGATAAGATCAGTAACAATATCTTAACCTGTCCTTGGCTCCACCAAGACAACTTGGTACCTCGTCCAGTATGAAAACATCAACACTAAGGAAATTAAATCAGCAGGGCATATTGCTTGTTGCAGCACCCCTACGTGTGCCGTGCCGGTGTTAATGGGTGATCGGCAATAGGTGATCGTCAATAGGTGATCATCAATAGGTGCTCGTTAACAGCACTTTCCCAAGTTTGGTGAATGGCTATAGGGAAGAAACGAGGCGGAACCAGGCCTGCCAACAGACCAAGTGATTATTTTTTTGAGCTACAATCCTCAACGAAACTGCATTGCACGAGTTGACCTGCAGCCTCATTAGGCTTTACCCTCCACCCATTTACGTTTGAGTTTTCCCAGTGAAGGGCATTGCATGCGTGTGCAAATCCAAAAAAATCCTTGCTGAGGGCCAAATAGGACTTTCATCTACATTTGTGAAACCGCACATTAACCTATACCTTGACGTAATTCAATAATTACACAAAAAATAATTAGGACTGACCTTTACAGGTGACTGAGCGCGCGAACATGAGAAATACATTTTGGACGGGTCGAAGATATTTCCCTCTAGTACCCAGTGATGGATAAATCCCTGATATAGGTTTTTTGGGGTTAGATCGCGTAAGTATAGATGTCGTTAAACCCGCCACCACCCGACACAGCCAATTCGTAAGGTTTGTCACGTAAACAGAACATGCAAATTTGTTAATAGGACAGTACACCGGTGTGTTGGAGAGCAAATCCACAAAATTAACAATCTGAGTACGATGTTTTGCCAGTAATTACAACTTGCTTCATCAGGCAACAGCCAGATTGATAAATATTGCTCGCAGGACGTTTCAAAGTGGTAGGCCTGGTGTGGCTGCAGGCTGTCCCAAATGAAGTCGTGGGCCGGATATGGTCCACAAGGCATGGGTTTGCTGCGGAAAATGTCTGTGTGTGTGTGCGGCACACACTCGTGGACAATTGCAGATAGCCATCCTCCAGAAATATATGAGCACAACGGCAGGCGAATAAAACACAGCAAGGTGGCACAGTGGTGAGCACAGGTGGTGCAACCCATAACACCCGGGGGGCCTGGCCAACGAGCCTATGACACTTCACGAGGCCTCCAATTGCACCTAGCCTGGCACAAGCGCCATGGTGATGTCACCGGTTGTTGCTGTTGTTGTGGCGCAGAGTTGCTGTTGGGGGTGCTGGGAGACCAAGATCTGGCGGCGAACGTGGAGGCTCTCACGTACTGCGCGGGAGCTGTGAAGTTCCTCGCCAACAGCGGTGGCGGCGGTGACGGCGGTGATGGTGGTGGTGCACTGGGCTCAGAGCTGCTGGCGCGCGGGACCCTGGACACACTGCTGGGCCTCCTGGCTCGCGCCAACACTGCACCGGCGGACAAGGCGACGGCGCACCTGCTCGTGCAGGTCTCTCAGAAACAAAGACAAAGACCCCCCGTGTAGCCTCCATAGACTATTGGGGCATTGTGGTTCACGAGCACCTATGAAGGCCGGCACAGCGCACGAGGGAGTGGTGTGAGCAACACGACCACAGCCAAGAAACCTTTGTGTTCCCATTGCTGATGTTCATATACACTGCAACAGGCACTCATTTAAGGTTGAGTTGACCCACGGGAGACACGGAACTGGTTCAGATATCACTTTTCACTGATGTTAGCCACGACTAGGATTCAAACCTTAGGTTACAGGGTTCGTAGCGCAGTGCGTGAATCACTGCAACACTACTCCCCTTGCACACACACCTTCATGGCAGAGGTCGCAAACGGGTTTTGATTCCTTACCCGTACCCGTACCCGGCCGCACCAGGGTCGCAAACGGGTACCCGTACCCAGCTGTACCCGTACCCTACCCGGCCGGGTACGGGTAGGATACGGGTATCGGGTACCTGATTGCGACCTCTGGGATGAAGCCATGTTGCAGGCGCGGGTGGGTTGATTCTAGGAACTTGAATTGTGAGAAGGGACAAGACGTTGGGAAATGAGTGACAAACGGTTACTCACCAGTGACTCACGGCCTACCCGTACCCGTACCCGGCCGCACTAGGGTCGCAAACGGGTACCCGTATCGGGTACGGTACGGGTATCGGGTACCCAGTTGCGACCTCTGCTTCATGGGTCTATTAAATGTTGCTGCTCCCAACAAAGACAAAGATTCCGGGACACACAAAGTGACAGACAAGGGCATGGTCCCCTCCTTTCCCTGCCACTCAATCGTTAATCTTGACCACTGGCTATTATCCCTTAAGCCTATTAACTTTTCTTAATGATCAACATTTTTCTGACTTACTTGAATTAATTTTGAATGACTGGATCTGGTCCAAAGATGCTTGGCACGATTTAAAGTGAAACCCCGTATCTAATTTCAAAACATGGTTATAAGAATTGCTCTTTAATTTGGTGGTGGAGGGTCTTACGACAGAAATTTAGTCAGACATAAATGTGGCTTAACTAAAAAAAATCTACTTTGCATTTTTATTATGACAAGAAAAATCACATGGTCTCTGGGTTGTGCTGATCGCGCACTTCGTGTTGTTGCCATGGCCCAGGTGACAGCGGCCGTGCGGGGCCTAGCAGACGCCCCGGGAGCCTGTGGCTTCTTCCGTGCGGCTGGGGCGCTCCCCACACTGTGCACGACGCTGGAACGCTACGAGTGCGACGCCTGCGTTTGCACCAACGTCCTACGTACATTTAGGCAAGAGCCTCTCTCTCTCTCCTGCACAGCATTGCCAATGAGCATCGAGGTGGTGGCCATCTCCCGATTGCACTCCTGAGCGAGTGGTGGAAATTACACATTCCTATGGTGGGGGTGAGTCGTAGAACCACTGCTGACTTCCCCTCATTGTATCCACCCCAGACGGATGGGCTGCATCAACCCCCAAACGGGATTTGAACTCCACAACCTTCCCAGTGTGAGCCGCTCGCTCGACTGCTGACCCCACAGGACCAGACACAGCTCCGTGCGATTGTATTTTGAACCCGTATTATTTGAATCCCAGGTTATAAATGATGTTACAACAAGAAAGGCCATTGATTGAGCACATTAAAGGAGAAACAATGCTGTTGCCAGGTTGAAAATATTCCACCGTAGTACCTGAATATTGCGGCCAAAATGCTTGGAATTGCTGGGTAAACATTATTTGTGAACAGTTTTGAAGTCTCGATTTAAAGCTTTCGTGACTGCAGGGATTCATCTTCTTGGTTCTTTCGGTAAAGTCACGTAGAATGGAAATAATAAAAATAAAACATAATAAAATAATTCTCACGACGTTTCGGCCACAACGCAAGCAGCCGTCCTCAGGTGAAGAACAGGTCTGTCGGAAAGACAGCGTCTGACAGACCTGTTCTTCACCTGAGGACAGCTGTCGGGAAGACAGCGTCTGACAGACCTGTTCTTCACCTGAGGACGGCTGCTTGCGTTGTGGCCGAAACGTCGTGAGAATAATTTTATTATGTTTTATTTTTATTATTTTCCTTCTATGTGACTTTACCGAAAGAACCAAGAAGATGAGTTTTGAAGCCGTGGGTTTCATTTGGCTTTGGAATGAAGTGGCGGGCCACATGAAATGAAGTCACAAGCCGTAGGTGCCTCACCCCTGCTGTAAGACCGTGCATCCTTAACGCTCTCCGTGCTTTGTCTGCAGCAAAGTGACGGATCACAGCGAGGGCTGCCGTGAGCTGGCTGCAGTCGACTCGTCTCCCAACATCCTCATCGCTTTGCTGCACAAGTTTCCACGCAAACAGGTGGGCGGCAGCACGTCCGCTACGCAACAAACATCCATCTGCTATATTCAATACGCACATTATATACCACGCAATGTATTCCAGTGCATTTAAAATACGTTATATACTGCACAACACAGTGTATTTAACGTTTATTATCTACTCCATAACTGAGTGCATTTAAAATCAATTATATACTACATAGTGCATTCCTGTGCATGCGATGTACTTTTCTTTCCTTTTGCCGATAAGTCACACGATCCAGCTGTTGTATTAACATTACGCACGTAGATGCATGGGCGCTGTAACCACTGCGGTGGAGCGTCACCGTGTCGTGCCGTGCGCCGTGCGACACGGGCGACGCGACACGGGCAGAGTGAAACGCGCCCTGTGACGCGCGACGCGTGCCTCAACCACGTGCCCTGTGACACCGGGTGACAGGACCTGGTAGTGCGCGTGTGCTACACGCTGGGCAACCTGGCGGCGCGCAGCGAGGCCGTTCGCGAGCGTCTGTGGCGCCACGGCTCCTGCCTGGACGTGCTGCTGCATGTCTACGCGCTCCAGCTGCAGCGCCAGCCCGACACGGGTGCGGTCGCCTCTCACAGCGTCACCTGTAGCCGTGGGTTACAGGCAAATGTTTACAGTTTCACATTGTCAACGAGCGCAATACTTTTTATGCGAAAATCCCACGAATGTTGATGTGCGGAGGTGTGTGTGTGTGTGTGTGCGTGGTCTGTGTCTATGTGGCGTGTGTGTATCTGTGCGCGTGGTAAATATGTGCACACTAAGCATTTGCCCCAACTGTCTGTTAAGGCTATACGGGGAAACTTTTTCTTTGTGGTACATTGCTCTGTGCATGCGCGTGGTGCGTGTGCATGTTGTTTGAATGTGGGGTGTTGGTGTGTGCTCATGGTGTGTGTTTGTGAGCGAGCAGACCTGGCTGAAGACGTACTTGTGAAGCTTCTGCGTGTGCTGGCAAACCTGTCGCTGCACCCTGGCCTGGGTGCAGCCCTCGCCAGCCACCCCCGCTGCATCCAGCTGCTCATCTCCACTCTTGGTGGGGTGCCCCTTTCGTTATAACTATTATTATTATTATTCATGCCCTTATGACCAGATTCTCACTATTCCAGTGTTTTTCTTCTTGCCATTTTTGTTCCAATTATGCTATCGGCGTCACGTCGTGAGATGAAAAACGTAACTTCTGATCTCTCGCAGAGCCGAGCAACCCTTTGTGCTGGGGAATGGGTCGCAGAACCGGATATTATAGAACTGCTTTTGGACCCATTCAAATTACCTCTTATAACAGGACGAGGGGGTGGGTGGCCAGCACCACAACCGGCCGCTTTTGTCTCCCCAGTGGCGATGTTCACACACCACACCAGTTACTCGTTTGAGGCTGAGTCGACCTAGGGGAGGCCCAGGAGCGGTTCAAATAATCGTCACTGGTGGTGGCCGTGAGCGGGAATCGAACTCGGGTCGCCAGGTTCGTAGCGCAGCGCGCTAACCACTACACTACAATGCGTTACGCTTCCACATGCGCGGGTCACGTGACGGATTTGACGTCACAGCCCACTTGCCGTGCAAAAAATCAATGCATTTTTGAGCTCCCCCCCCCCCCCCAAAAAAAAGTGTATTTTTTATAATTTTTGCATGGTGTACAGTCTGGAAAGTACCCACATGGCAAATTTCCAGTTTGTTGCATGTCGGGAAGTACGCTAAACATTTTGAACAGACACACATATTCACAACTTTGCCTTTTATATATATCTGGAGATGACAGACAGACCGATTTGTCTCATTCTCAGAGCTCTAATTCAGCCTAATTAAGTACAGACATTTCGTTTACATGATTGCCTTTTGTTGTGTAGTCATTGGTGACTGGGCTACTTGAGGACCTGGTTTAATCACAGGTGCCTGCCTGTATTTGAACGCAGGATCTCAGCGGTGGCAGCTTGGCACTCTGACCTCTGAGCCTTGTAAACATTATCTCTCAAATAAGTTTCTGATTACCATCAGGTTTATCTGGTTGACACCAGATTTAAGCTATTGCAACCAAGAGACGCCAGAAAATTCCTGTTGGAAGAACATTACTTCATCCACAATGTTTCATGCCTTATTTATTTAATTAGTATCCCCCTATAATCGGTTTTGTACGATAAACTGGATTGCTTGGCTAATCTGAACGCAAATGCCTGTGATCATTGCCTTCTCCCCCAACTGGTCTTTTATGTTGTTTATATGATTGATTTGTTAATATTTTGCACTGTAAAATGTTTATCAGGGAGAGAAGTGGGGCAGTGGTAAGCACACTCCGCTGTAAACCCAGCGACCTGGGTTCGATTCCCGGTCACAGCTAACATCAACGGTGAACCACTCCTAGCCACACCGCCTTTTCCAACCTGCACTGACCGGCATAGCGAAGAGTGGTCATGCAAGCCCTACAGCTGACCCCGACGTTTGGAGACCATCAATACTTTATTACGCCGGTTAGTGTATGTTGGTGTAGGGGGAACCCCCTGTTGTTAGCCATGGCCGAGAATTGAACTCGTAGTGTGCGAAGTTTCTGCGAACCACTGTAGCACCTGCCGCTCCACCCAGATTAACTTATGTCACGTACACTTTAAACATTTGCCATCTTACCTATAAACCTCACCAGGTGGCTCAATGGTAGAGTGAGTTATAATCCTGGTTGGGGGTTGGCTCAACCCTTCAATCCTCTGGAGCCAATAAAATGAGGATCACTTTGTAGGGAAGTCAAAAGTGATTTTCCTATGGACTCTCACCTCTGCCCTAGGAATGGAGAATGTATACCACTGGCTCTGGGCTGCAAACAGATGGGCACTGCCTCCATGTTCATTTGTTTAAAAATAAATTACTTTTACTTGACTATTTTATTTGTTTATAGTCAGCAATTGTACTGGCTATTGTATTTATTTTCCTTAATTTAGGTTATGTATGTATGTAGAACTTTTTTCGCACCATACGTAGCCAACCGTGCTAATGGGCGGTGCGGGAGACCGACAGCAAACTAAACACAAAAAGCAGTTGGAAAGAAACGAGTTTCCAATCTAGGTTTAGAAGTGCATTGCTCCAGTGGCTTCCTAAAGGTTAGCTTTGAAGAAAAGATTTGTATCTTCTTGGTTCTTTCGGTAATGTCACGTAGAAGGGAAGTAATAAAATAAAAATAAAACATAATAAAATAATTCTCACGACGTTTCGGCCACAACGCAAGCAGCCATCCTCAGGTGAAGACCAGGTCGGGGAGACAACATTCAGACGCTGTCTCCCCGACAGACCTGGTCTTCACCTGAGGACGGCTGCTTGCGTTGTGGCCGAAACGTCGTGAGAATTATTTTATTATGTTTTATTTTTATTATTTTATTACTTCCCTTCTACGTTACTTTACCGAAAGAACCAAGAAGATGAATCCCTGCAGTCACGAAAGCTTTAAATCGAAAAAGATTTGTAATCTCAATGATTGTTTCTCAGGGGTTGTAAATAAAAATTACTGTCTCTGTCCATCTCGTGTTGGTCGCCCGCCCGCCCCACAGAGAGCCCGGGCGTGCGGGAGCGCGAGGAGATCGTCTTGAACGCTGTGGCGACCGTCAACAACCTCTCCTACCACATAGGCCCCGGTGCCACGCTGCAGGGCCAGCAGCTGCGCATCGCAGAGTGTGAGCCCCGCGCACACCGCGGCACGAGCGCCACGCGGCCTCGCTGCGTCGGTGCCGCGGCCGAGTAACCAGGTGTGACCGGATCTCAAGAAGCGGTTGAAGAAGCAGTGGTCGTGTTTATTGTCTGTCGTACGTCGCCATGCCAGTCTGTGGGTCTCTGTGTGCGTCTATGGATCTCTATTTCAGTCTTTGGGTCCTTACGTGAGAATACCACACCAAATGCTGTATTGAACAAGGGGTATATTTCTTTGTTGTTGCCAGTGTCCGAGTAGTTGCGCAACAGATACATTTTTTTTTCCCATCTGATGACGGACGCTTGTGTTGCACCCGAAACGTCGTGATTTATTTTATTTTTATACCCACGTGACTTTACCGAAATAACCAAAGAGTATGGATTCCTGCAGTCATGAAAGCTTCAAATCAAGATTAATTAAATTAGAGACAGACTCAACTTTGTGGTGGCGTAGTTCGTAACGTGCTCATTTGCAAACATATGATTGGTTGTTACAATCGTGAGGGTGGGAGGCAGAGTAAACCAGAAAGGCGGTGGGGCTCTACTGTGGAGGAGCGTGCCCAGATCCCCGAGCCAAACTCGACGCGTCTTCGCTGCGCAACTCATCGTACAGACGTGGACAAAGTCATTTCCATGATTAATTTGCCCGGTCTCGAAGGCGATTTGGTTGCGCAACAGATAAAGGGCATTAAAAATCGATATCCGTCGATAACTCTATGCATCGTACCACTGCCACTTAATACTGTTCACAATCAAACCCTACAGCAGAGGTCGCAACCGGGTACCCGATACCCGTACCCTACCCGATACCCGGCTACCCATACCCAGCTGGGTACGGGTACCCGTTTGCGACCCTGGTGTGGCCGGGCACGGGTAGACCGTGAGTCACTGCGCCTGCAACATGGCTTCATCCCAGAGGTCGCAATCGGGTACCCGTACCCTACACGATACCCGGCCAGGTACGGGTAGCCAGGTATCTGGTAGGGTACGGGTACCCGTTTGTGACCCTGGTGCGGCCGGGTACGGGTAAGGAATCAAAACCCGTTTGCAACCTCTGCCCTACAGCGATGACCCCTATCTGTTTTGCTTATGACACCTCCAGTGCTGCTCATGCCCCTGCTGGGCCCTGGGGAGGAGGGGGTCCTGGAGGCATTGAGGGCCCTTGGGAACCTGTCCCAGAGTGCGGCCGTGCGGGAATTCCTCCACCAGCACCACGGTGAGCGCAGCAGCCACAGATGCAGCAGCGTCCACTCTGCCACATCGCCACCCGCAGTGAAGTGCTGATCGTAAATGCTGCCTGTCTGTGTTGTCTTGTGAGCTGCCTCTCTGTGTTCTGGCTGGTCTGCTGGTATCTGTGCTGCTTTTGTGCCCGCGAGTTGCCACCGATGTATCCATCCCCAGTGCCGGCGCTGCTGTTGGAGCTGTTGTCCGAGGGCTCCCAGGACGTGTGCTACTCGGCTGGGGGGGTACTGCTCAATATGAGCAGCACCGACGACGGGGGGGCAGGGCGGCTGTTGCAGCTGGGAGCCATGGAGAGGTGAGCGCTATCGGTGGTGGTGGTCGTGGGGGTCACTGTGGAAGCAACAACTCAGCCTGCAATGCTTTGACAATTGACCATCTACCAATTGGCCATGCGAGGACTTGTCGAGATTCAGGGTTATGGATACCCGGCATGCCAGCTCAACGCTCTGACCTCTGAGCCACCGTAGCCACCTTGCTGTGTTGTAATCGATTAATCATCATACGCCTATAGCAGGGGTTCTCAACCTATGTGGTATGGCCTCCCCCCTGCTAATCCAAACCATTTCCACCCACGCCTGCCCCATCAGCTCTACTCACATCTCTATTGGCTACACGAGTTGCTCGAACCTTCACTCAAACTCGTTTAATAATAATAAGCTGCAGTGGACATTTTCTCTGGCATGTTCACTATACACCGTGAGTCTTGTCCACTGGATATCAACCCTTTTAGCAATTTCCTGTTCAAGCCCATTCACTATTATTTTCATTCAAGCTTAAACATCCCTTAAGGCCGTCTATCCGAACGTAAAAAAAAAACGATTAGCACACAGGTGGCTACCCGAGCCCTTTATTAGAGATTTGTCCTGCATAGTGTCCATACTGCAGGCCTGCCACCACAGGTTGAGAACTGCTGTCCTATATTAACTGAAGTGGCAGCGACAGCCTTTTCATGCATTGCAAAGGAGAGTGGCTGAGCACTCATGGGTCCCGTGATGTGATTCCTCCCAGGCTGCTCAGCTGCCTGCAGCGCTATTGCCGTGCGGACTGGCAGCTGGGCGGATTGCTGTGCAAAGTGCTGTGGAACTTTAGCCAAGGGCCTGCTGCCACCGGCGCCAGCGGCAAAGGCGGGGGCCTGGATCCCAGCGACACCACGCGCCTTCTCGCCACGCTGCACCTCCTCCTGGGTAAGCGCCACCAACATTACAAAACATAGCATTGAAGTCACGATAACTCGCAAGCCTTTGTCAATCCACTGCCGGATGAAGACCTCCCCACGCAGTGTCGTTATGTCGGTTGTTTGACCGAACTTCACCACGCTGGCCAATGTGGGTCGGTGGAACCGAGAGGCCTGAACCAGTCCAGCGATATCTGGGTCAGACAACACTGGCCACTTGTCAACGTACCAAAATATTGGCCTCATTTGGTCTTCATGGAACGAAGGGGAGTTTCATGAAGAGGATATACTGGGGCACCCCTTCCCGTGAAAAGCCCGGTATTCTGACACTGGACTCAACACCAAGCTCTTTGCAAATTATTTTCTCGCGAACCAAGTTAAGCTTTGGTCTGGTGACTTTTAAACACTTTCACCACATGCCAGCTTTTGAACCTAAAATTTATCCAATTTAAAAAAAATAATAATTGTATACAGCTGTATGTTTAACTTTGGAAATGGTTGAAATTAGTTATGTGGCAACCATCGAGTCACGTGCCTACTGTTTAGCAACTCCGGGATCTGGCAGAGGGTAGCAAGCATTTGGCAACGAGATGTGGTGGCTTTGGCCACGGTGACATCTGGATCAGCAAAAGGGTTTATATTCGGCAGCCTGCCGCCTAAGTGGGCAGGGTTGGCAACTGTGGTGCTCAACGGGGGGTGTCGTGGTGACGCGATTGTGGTCTCCGCAGACGAGCGGACGGCGCTGGTGAGCGCGCCACTGGACGGTGGGGAAACCGGGGAGACGGTGCAAGGATACCACCGGCAGCTGTGGGAAGCAGAGTTTGTGCCGGTGGCGCGGAGGCTGCAGAAGAGAGTGCAGAGCCAGGCGGCGCCGCTGCTGCTTGAGCCGCTGTGACATCGTCGTCAAAGTGTAAATCTTCACGCTCGCACACGCGCACACAGCCAGGGGTGGAGAACAGACAGCTCCCGACCCGATCCCAAACCACTTCTTTTCATACGGCCACATGTTGTCTTCCACTTCAAAATAGCCCGCTAACAATACTCATCCGTCACCAGCAGTAGGTTGCCACAACGGCAGTGTGTGCAAAGTCAGTGATTTCTGCTCAAATGAACGTGGAGGTGGTGGGCATCTCCTGTTAATGGCCGAGCCAGTCGTGGCAAGTCCAACAAAGTGGTTCAAAATTTTTGACCCCAGAGAGATGATAGGCTGAGTCAACCCCCCAACCAGCCAGTCACTATACTGCCGGGATACAGTAGAGACTTATAATCAAGAGTACCAACACACACACCCTCTGACATCACCACCTCCAGTTCAAAAGTAAACGAAGGTGTGCAAACTACGATTTGAGTTGTGCAAGATGTGTTTAAATGACTCGTCGACAATCTCCGAGCCCGTGCTTCCATGACAGTTCCAACAGCTGCTTATTGCCAATGTCATTAAAATATACGACCGGAGATGCGGTGCTCGCCGCAGCACGATTTCTTGTGAAGCAGCACATGCAAAGACACTGTGACCCTACGCTGCAAAACACATCCCCCCCTCCTCCCATCATTCGCCAAGTAAACAACGAGGCAGTCGCTCCTGATTGCAGTATAAGTATTTATTACATATCATACAAATTTAAACCAGATTTAAAGTAATGAATTGAGCACACAATTAAGGCGTAACACAATAATAACAAATCTCCGCTTTAAGCTTAGTGCACACCACAGTAGCGACAGCTGGACCATACAGTCCCCGTCGCACGACATCAACTTCACAGACAAGCGCCAGCAACTAAACGTCAAGAAATTACACTCGCATGCTGCTTACACGCGCAATAGCGGCAGACAACAGTAAAACATGGAGGGAAACGCTAAGGCTTTGCACGTTAGCTCCGCATTCTCAAGTAGGGCTGTTAATTTGGGTTTCTTAGCGTTATGGATAATCTCATTAAAAAATATTACAATTTAAAATTATCGGTTTGTCAAATGTTACCAGTCCGCACTGGCCAGCATGGTGAAGTATGGTCAAATGAGCCCCATGACTGACACGGAGTGGCGAGTGTGGACTGTGACAGGGCTGTAAGATTGTTTTCTACATACCGTGTATAGAATGGGTTGCCGTACGGCTTGAACGTTGTTGCTTGTCAATTGGTTCGATTTGTAACCAAAGTTTATTATAGAGTCCACGATTTTCAGAAACAAAAATGTATTTCGTAAAAGATTCTGAAATAAAATCAATGACGGAATAACAACCCCATTCTAAAGTAACCGCACGTAAATAGCAGAAACAGCCGCTGTGCTGCCAGCCTGACTTTCCCAACCAGGCAGATTTGAGAACTTCTCAGATGCACCGCGGGTGGGAATCTAACCGCCCGCACCCATAATGTAGGCGAGAGCTGGGCTGGTTTAGGGCGTCATCTGGTCCAACCCATGTGAGACTAGGCTCTAAGGAAAGCTGTCTCGGGTGTGGACCAATCAACTTCAAGGACAGTGCACATTATCAGAGTTATGTTTTTTGTTTGCATTATGACTGCAGGTATTGTGGTCTATGCAAACATGACTCCTTGTAAAAAGGTGTCAGTTTTGTTGCCAGATAGAAGGGTAAAAAACCAATTGTCATATTTTTACTGGCAAATGAGGTTCCCATGGTGGTTTAGGGAGTTTAAATGTGGCATGGTCTCCCCTCCTCCACCTCCGTTAGGCCCAACTGAAGCAATGGCCACCGCTACCCAGGCGGAAGGAATGGCCTCTGCAGACATCCGGCCCCGCATGGGAACATGCACCGTGCTGCCTCCACACACCACAGCAGCAGTGATGCCACCAGTGACAGTGAAGAACACCTCTGTGCAGGTGTCACCACAGTGATGGTGCCACTCCAGTGGTGTCACCACTGACGTTAGTCATGATGTCATCGCAAGAGTGATGTCACCACTGTGCAGGTGTCACCGCCAAGTGACGTCGCCATGTGTGATGCCGACAGTGGCGCTATAAACATCAGTGCAGCGATGTCACCACCGTGGTGACGTCACATCTCGTGATGTTACCACCAAAGAGATGTCATCGCGATGCAAATGTCACCACTGTAGTGTTAACTGTTAAGTTTCTGCAGCTGTGGTTTCCTGGGCTCCAGGCCAAGAGCTCCTGGGTCAGTGCGCCCGGATCCACAGCAAAACCCCGCACTACAGTATAAATTCTTTACAAGATTGTCTATGAACATACTTTGTAGCAAAGCTTTACTTACAAAATTACATCTTTAAAAAAAAAAAATCAGCTCATTACAAAATAGAGTTGCATTACTCACAGATTGTCTTAGTACGAGATTACACAATAAAACCCGATATTTTGACACAAACTAGCTCAGTTAAGACCACAAGCGTCGCGAGACTTAAACCGCTCGCCTTACCCCCCCACAACAGGTGTGTCACCGTGCGTTCCGCGTCCCGCCCGCGCTGTTCCTGCCGCACGGTTATTGGCTCAAACGATTCCCTTTGTGTCTCATTAGTGTTCCGGCCGGCTCAGCCAATGCCTGCACCCGCCTGCGTGGAGGCCACTGAAGGAATTCTCCCGTCGGTCGTTCCTGCAATGTGTCCTCCAAAAACTGGGCTCTCATTCAGGCGTGGCGTTCCCCAGTATATCCGCTTTCTTGACAAACCCCCATTATTTCCATGAAGACGAAATTATGGACTACTCTTTTTTTTACAAACATCTGTCCTTCCATTGATTGATGAGGGCATTCTCAGAGCCACGTCGGTTCAGTTGCTTATCTGAACAAACGTCACACTTCACAATGTGCGGTGGGTGGCCCCCAGACTATTTTGGTTATCACTGTTCCAAAAAAAACACCTGTTATTTCAATGAACACCAAATTTAGCCCGAGTTTTAATGTTGTCGAGACTGCCTTCTATATCACAAATGAAACATAAGCAAAATGGTAAAAAAGCAAGCCAAAAGAATGAACAAATAGTACAGCAATTACTGTGCAGTATGGTACTAAACCAAGACTGCCTGGCGCATGATGCATCTGCGTGGAGATGCAACTGACCACAAGCGCTGCTCTGCGCGCTGTTCAGTTTTTGAACTTTGGCAGCACGATTTTCAAGTTCCGTTTTTTCAGTTTTTAGGGGCCTCCAAAAATCTTCACGACAGGACACGGTCTATCCACCCATATTATTTCGAGGACACACTGTACCATTCAAATGGTAAATTGAGGGGTGTCCTGGAAGAACTTAATAACCCACATATATATTCAATATAACTCACGCTCGTGTCACTGGAACACTTTACAATCCACTTTTTGGAGTTAAATATTTTTTTAAAAATCATATCCAGATGGCTGCACAAATAACCTGATAATTTTTTGATCAACTTAATCCACCTCTCAACAACTGCTTTCTCTACCAAGAGATGTTGTGGGTTATCACGTTGTTCCAAGACACCCCACAATTGTAGGCATGTAACGTTGCATCAATTCATCGATTAAAATCTATAATTGCGATGAAAATTATAATTGTTATACTATTGTCATATTTAAGCGAACGTAACAAAACTGTACACGCAAAATTGAAAGAAACGATAAAACACAAACGAGACGGCAAAGATCCCCAGAACAAACCAACTCTTGAACCACAGCCCTGAATTGTAACAATTCATAGAATCAGCGGTCATCGGGGAGGGGATGGAAATCTGTTACGTCCCTCGTAAAAGCCGTGGTGGTAATCCGCACAGACGGTAACTCGACTGTCACCACGTCCAGGGAAACGTGGCATGGCTGCGGGGGGGGGGGTGATGGCAATGTTGAGACCGGCATGGATCGTGGCAGCCGAGGCTCGGCGACATTACGACACCGCCGCCGTGGTGATCATCGTTGTTTTGCCCGCTCGGCCACCGCCACCCCCCACCTACACCGCCGCTATTCTCCAGTTTCTCTAGAAATCACGCCGAGGTAAAGTGTGCAAACTCTACAGAGGTGCGATATGCTGCGTACACTAAAATACTGCTGCTGCAGCGGTCACGAATGCAGTACACGGTTTGTGGCACCACGCGGGTACGTGGACGGGGGAGACTGCAGGATGACCTGGGCAGGGCTGCTTCGTCGATCACTCGCCCAGCCACCGCCCGGCCACCGGCACCCACCACCACTACACAGCGGCCTCTGTTCATCATGGCGAATTAGTGACCAAAATAAGAGAAATTAATATTGGTTAAATGCTCTAAATAGTAAAGCGAGTCCCAGTAAAAATTCTTGGCTATCTCTAAGGGCATTAAGTAATTCAAAAGCGCACGCGTGCCTGATCCGTAACCCTGCATCCCGGGCGCGCCAACGCAACAGCCACCCTGCCGCTCACGAAATGCCGAAGCTGCAGCGTGGGCAGGCGATGGCAGGCGCAACCCTCTCCTAGCACCAACACCAAAATAACACCTCTCTCCACTTGGGGACTTTTTCCTCCCAAATAAATTCAATTGATCTAGCGTCACAACAAGGACATATTGCTTTGGGGCCACTTCTTCGAAAACAGCACGTTAAAAATATTTACTATTAATATAGTAATAGCTATATAATTTTCAGCATCTATCGCAAACATACATACATTTTTTAAACTATTCAGGTGTTTATCCGCACACCTGTGCACACACTGTACAGTACAATTGAGACGTGTCTCACGTGATGGCTTTTGTATCAGCTTCCTGGTTTCCCGGCCATGCTGCAACTGGTTTCATTGAAAGGCCTAAAGAGTGTGTGGCTGAAGAGGCACAGATTAAGGCATGAATCGGCACCGACTCCTATGGCACTTGCGTGATCTCAACAAAGCACTTGCGTCAGGCGAGTGACACATGATGACATCCACTCCACGCTGGCAGCTGGCCAGCCCTGGCAACCGAAAGATTTGGATTAAACTTTTCTATCTAAGCTGGTAAAAAAAATGTCTATAATGAAGGCACTCCACTGTTATCACAAACAGCTCAACAGCTCCTATCCTCGACAATGCTAAAGGTCATTCCAACTATTATTTACACTGTGGCCACAGACTCGAATTGCTTTGTTAATGAAATAGAATCGTCCTCGACAATGCTGTTGCATAGTTTGGATGTTTGTAGCTGCACGCTGCCAGCCTTCCCACCACCCGCTTCCGTCCGGAACCCTGGGGGAGACGACCGAGCGAACCCAGCTTCTGCCCCCATTCCTTCATTTGGGAAATGGCCCAAAGGCTCTGGATTTCGGGCTCCACGCCGCGTGCCGAGCCGCACGGCCCCACAGAGCCACTGCCCTCACGGCTGCGGCGAGGCCTTTGCTCCCGCACCGTGAGCGTGGGCTGCGGGGCCGGTTGTGACTCGGATGCAAACCCACAGCTGTGAACGGGTCGGCCCGGTGTGTAGCTGCTGGGCGGATCACCGTCGGATCCCCTGCGCTGTGGCCGGTGCGGAGAAGGCATGCGGTTCCCTCTCTGGTGTGGCCGGGGCGTGGAGAAGCGCGGGGCCTCACATGGCACGGCTGGTGGGCTGGTTCGCCAGCACCGAATCGAAGCTGAAGTCGAGGCTGTCTGCATCCAGCAGGTCGTTGCGGATGATGGACTCGATGTCGCACTCCAGGTTGCTGTCGAACATGTCCAGGTCCAGGTCGGCCGGGAACCTTTCCTGGGCACTGAGTGCAGGCCCGTCCCCCTGTGGCCCCCCAGGTCCCGCTGCGTCGTGCGAAGCCTTAAGGCCCGAGACGCGAACCATATCGGGGGGCGACGGCTTGAGCGCGATCATGTGCGGCTGCGGAGGCGATGTCATTTTCGGCTGCTTAATGCATTTGGGCACGGCAAAACCGCGCTGCGCAAAGCCAGGGGCGGTGGCGGCCGCGGCGTGCTGACGGAGCCCGGAGGGGGGCTGCTGCTGCTGCTGCTGCTGGGGTCCAACCCCCTGCTGCACCCCCGCCCCCCCCGCCGCCTGCCCGAGCGAGTAGTCGCCCTCGTTGGGCAGCGTGTCCGAGTCGAGCAGGTCGCGGAAAGTGTGCGAGGAGCCGAACTGAGCCATTTGCGGTGGAAAGCTGGGGTTGTTCTCCTGGATCGTCTCCATGGGCGAGGGTCTCCACGACTGCAATCCGGCGACCGACGGGCGGAACAGCGAGTTTCCGTAGCCGTCCGAAGGCCCCGGGAAGGTGAATCCGGGTCCCGGCGGAGGCTGGGCGTGATGGCCGGCGCTGGCGCCGCCCGCCATGCTGATGTCCTCCAGCAGCTCCTCCATGAGGCTGGTGGAGCGGGGGTGCTCGCCGCCCATCGGCAGCATCTTGTCGGGCTGCGGCGCGCGCAGGTGGTGGTCGTTGATGTTCATGGTGCCGGCCAGGTCGGTGATGCAAGGCAGGTCGGTGGGAAAGGGTTTGCTGAGCGCCTCGGAGAACATCCCCGGTGCGGCAGAAGGAACGCCGCCCCCCCCGCCGCCGCCGCCGCCGCCGACCCCGTCCCCGTCCGCCACCTCCTCGAACTCGAGTGCAAGGCGCACGGGCGACACGCGGCCGCTCACCGTGCTCGCGTTGGAGCCCGTGCGCGTCCGGTAGCTGGCCCAGGGCTCGAAATCCTCGCTGGTGTGCGACGGGGATGAGGTGGCCCAGCAGCTGGGGCTGTCCGCGCGGCCTTCGGTCATGGCGGCCTGTTGGGCAGCCTTCTTCTTCACCGCCTTGGCCCTTACCTACAAAGGGGAGCGTGTACGCGACTTTGAAGACAGGTGTTATTGTCACCGTGCATAGTTGTCGAACCAGATGAGAATTCAATAAACCAAGATAGCCTCATTTGCAAGAGTGACCTGGATCAACAAAATAACAAAATGCAGCAAGGAAAATTGCACAAAATTAGAGCAGAACCACCTTACAGGAGATTAAAACTATTCTAAAAAATTATATACAGCAATCTTGTATATAAATAAAGAGCTTAATCTGTCTCAAAACCTTTAGGGTACTTCCCGACAAGGTAGACAGCTGAAATGTTGTACAAAGGTAGCTTTTAGGACTCAAACAACAGGAAACATGTGGAAATCCGAGATTTTTCATTTAACGACTCCCAAATCTCAATTTTAAGTGCCCCATAAACATTGTTGCGTGTCATTCAGAAAGCGTTCTAAATATTTTATTGCGGTTTTTTTTGTTCGATTCAATTTAAGCGAGAACATTCTTTTATTGTTTTTGACATTTCGGATTAAAGCGGTTTTGAACGAAAATAATACGCATTTTATGATGTTAAAAATCTGAATAATTCAAAACCAGTATTAAAAGTTCATACATTTTCGTTCTCTCTAATAAAAATTTTTTTTTTATCTTTAAATCGAGCGGTTTCCGATGGGTACGTATTTTAATCAGGTCATCAACGTTTTGTGGAAAAATACACATTTTTTTGAGTAGTTGTGAGTGTCTAACCGTAGATAAATATTGTCAAAATTCACATCAGGTTCATTATTTTATTTATTGAAAACTTTTTCCTCGCCAAGACAGGCTTCATGAACTAGTAATAAATCAAGTACGATTGTCCCTCGGTCAAATTACTTTTAATCTGTCACTGTATCAGGTGGTGCCAGTTTGTCTGGTCGCGGTCTCAGTGTGTGCACGTATGTCAAACTTCTTCCGTGCCGTAAGTAGCCAACCGTGCACAACAAACGAAACGCAAAAAGTGATTCTGATGGATGAGCAGCAGGAGGAGCATGATGAGCAGGTGAAAGATGAACGAGGGAGCGAGGTCTCACCTTGGCCAGCTTGTTGGTGTTCTCCATCGAGGCAGCGCGGCGCCGGGGCGACTTGCCGCCCTTGCCGCCCTCGGGGTTGAGCATCCACCAGGAACTTTTGCCCGTGTCGTCATTCTGCACGCGGATGAAGCGACTGTGCAGCGACAGGTTGTGCCGGATCGAGTTCTGAAAATGTGCGTAGCAAGACGTCGCATCCACAAGCTGGAACATCTTCCAATTTATGTAAACAATTAGCTCAAATTTGATCGATAAAGTACCGTGCACATTCTGCACGCGGATGAAGTGACTGTGCAGCGACAGGTTGTGCCGGATCGAGTTCTGAAAATGTGCGTAGCAAGACGTCGCATCCACAAGCTGGAACATCTTCCAATTTATGTAAACAATTAAAATTAATAAAATAAAAATAAAATAAAAATTACGACGTTTCGGAGGCAACACAAGCTTCCGTCTTAAGGTGGAACCGTCACAGCACGATAGCTGTATCAAGTGAGAGAAATTCCAAGAAAACAGTCCTTTCTCTCACTTGATACAGCTATCGTGCTGTGACGGTTCCACCTGAAGACGGAAGCTTGTGTTGCCTCCGAAACGTCGTGATTTAAATTTTATTTATTTTAATTTTTTACCTACGTGACTTTACCGAAATAACCTAAGAATATGAATTCTTGCAGTCACGAAAGCTTCAAATCTAGAATTATGTAAACAATTAGCTCAAATTTGATCGATAAAGTACCGTGCACTAACAGCCAAAATATCCATGGGCTTTCCCCCCTCATCTCTCTTCAGAACATGTGGGCTGTTATTTATTTAAAATGATAAGTGTTTTTGTAATGATTTGCAAGTAAATATGACATGCCATATATAATTATGGATTACTGGCTTGGTTAATGTAGGTTGATTATTTTGGCATTCCGATGTACGTTCCATGAATAGTAAACACGCGGTTGTTTTTTTTTTAAGGTGAGTGGAGTGTTTGTTATATATTTAGTCCAGGTAAATGCTATTTAGGAGATTGTAAGTGAACACTGAAGTAACAAAAAGTAGGATTGAGAATCCACCTTCCAAACGCAACATTGTGGGGTGGCCCCAAACATTGACGTTGTTGAGGCTGAGATGACGCATGGCTTAATGGAGGGCAGTGGTGGGAAACATTCCCTTTAGCCATGGCCAAATAGGACTTTTAAATATCTGTGGGGTGGCCACACGGTGACATAAGTGGCTACGCGCACTAAAATTAGAAAGCGTTGATGCCAGACCGAAAAGTGTCCCTCTAGAACCCAATTAGTGCGGCTTAACAGGCTTTCCACCGACAAAACATAATTTTGCGAGCGTTTCAAAGTGGCAGGCCCTCGTGTGGCTGCGGCAGTGAGCAATGAAGTCTCTGGCCCACGGGACACGGGTTCCCCGGGATGGCCACAAGGCAATAATAAAACACAGGATCTCTGCGTATCCCAACTCAGCTCGTGATGCCCGCGTGTCGCCCGCGTGTCTTGCCACTGTCGAAGTGAGGGTGGCACGTACCTTCCACCCGGCCGAGCTGTTGTTGTCGCCCTTGTCCTTAAAGTAGGGCACACACCGCACCATCCACTCGTAGATCTGCGCCAGCGTCATGCGCTTGTCGGCCGTGCTCTCGATGGCCTGCGTGATGAGGTCCGCGTACGACAGGTTCCCCCACGGGTTGCGTCGCGACGAAGACGACGACGTCTTCTTGGGTGTCACGCCACCACCTCCTCCGCTGCTGCCCGTGGATGAGCAGGGCACCGGGCTGCCCAGCGATGGACCCGGAGGGCTCTCCAGCCCCCCCGGAATCTGACCTCCACACAACTCGGGGCCCCCCGAGTGATCTGCGAAACCATCGGCGGGCGGCGTGGGGGCCCCATCGGGAGGCAGCGACGCCTCCTTGCCCGGCAGGCGCGGCCACGTGCACGAGCGTTGCCGCGTCTGGGGCTCGAACTCCGGGTCGATCTCCACCCCCTCCAGCTGATCCACATCGGCCTCGGCCATCTCTTCCTCCTCCTTCACGCTGCTGCTGATGCTGTGGTCGATGTCCACGCGAAGACGGGTCTTGTTTGAGGTTAGTTTAGGCAGCGGCTAAAGCTGGGGTTGGGGTCAGGGGGTCACACCACCGTGGGTTGGGAATTGAGGGGTGGTACTCGGGTGAAGGAGGGTTGGGCGACTGTTGGGATTGGAGCAAATGTGACAGATGTGATGTCCGTATTCTATCAGAACTAGTATCTCGTTTGTGTTGTGGAGCTAGTGCTGATGTTATGGTTAGTGCTGATGTTATGGTTAGTGCTGATGTTATGGTTCGTGCTGATGTTATGGTTAGTGCTGATGTTATGGTGAGTGCTGATGTTATGGTTAGTGCTGATGTTATGGTTAGTGCTGATGTTATGGTGAGTGCTGATGTTATGGTTAGTGCTGATGTTATGGTTAGTGCTGATGTTATGGTTAGTGCTGTGTGTTATGGTTAGTGCTGATGTTATGGTTAGTGCTGATGTTATGGTTAGTGCTGATGTTATGGTTAGTGCTGATGTTATGGTTCGTGCTGTGTGTTATGGTTCGTGCTGTTTCAAGGCTAAGTGCTGCTGGCTTGTGTCCTGGCTATGGTCAGGGGCTGTATCACGACTCACGTGGAGGGTGTTTTGGTCTACGCGAGGTCTTTATTTAGCCAAGTGCTGGTGGTGTCTGGGCCGCGGCCGTCTGAAGGCTGCGGCAGAAGCAGTGTCCAGGGGTCGGTGCTGGGACCAGAGACAAAGTTTCCGTTCTCTGGTCAGAGATTCTACCGAGGGCTAATGTCGCGGGCTAAGGGGTCAAGGTGGTCGGGGCTGTGGCGAGATGATGATGAGGGCTGCTCGTGCTCTCGGGCTGTCGGGGACGAGCGCGGCCTCTGGTTAACGTCAGGCCAGGCGACGGGACGACGACTGCCGACGGCTCCCTCTGCGCGAAGGGGTCAAGCTGCTACCGCTGTAGGGCTATGGCTGCGGACTGCGTCTCTCGCAGTTCTTGTCGGGGCTGCCGCGAGGGCGAGAGGCGCTGCTGGGCCGCGTGGCTGCCATTTTGTACCCGGGACTTGTTTACCGACAGGCGGCGAAGGCGGTCGTCCTCCCTCCCTCCTCGTCCTCCTCGTGTCTCTCTCGTGTCTCGTCTCGTCTTCACGTGACGCCGCCGAGCGGCACGGCGCTTCGACACGCACCGGGCGGCGGGGGCTGCCGGGGACGCGGCGACGGAGAGGGGGGGGGGGTTGGAGGCGCCGCGCGTCGTTCCTCTCGTTGTTTTCGAGCCTCGCGGTGACGACGACGACGACGCCGCCGCCGCGGGTTCCATGGAGCTCCGCCGCGCCGCGACCGCTGGGCGGACACCGACACCCCCATGGGCGTCATCGTCAAGTTGGACGCGGTGAGTTGAGGAGGCCATCTTACGTGAGGGAAAAGTTGGGGTGGTGGGGGGGAGTTTAGTGTGAGCTTTGTGACGTCACGACCCCACCAGCCCCATACTCTGCCCCCCCCCACCACCACCCCCACTCTGCCCCCCCCACCACCCCCCCCACTCTGCCCCCCCCACCCTCTGCCCCCCCCACACTCTTCCCCCCCCAACACACACTCTGCCCCCCCCACACACTCTGCCCCCCCCACACACTCTGCCCCCCCCCCACTCAGCCCCCCTCCCACTCAGCCCCCCCCACACTCTGCTCCCCCCCACACTCTGCCCCCCCCCCCACACTCTGCCCCCCCCCACACTCTGCCTCCCCCACACTCTGCCCCCTTCCACACTCTGCCCCCCCCCACACTCTGCCCCCCCCACACTCTGCCCCCCCCCACACTATGCCCCCCCCCACACTCTGCCTCCCCCCCACTCAGCCCCCCCCACACTCTGCCCCCCCACCCTCTGCCCCCCCACACTCTGCCCCCCCCACACACTCTGCCCCCCCCCACACACTCTGCCCCCCCCACACTCTGCCCCCCCCACACACTCTGCCCCCCCTCCACACTCAGCCCCCCCCCCACACTCTGCCCCCCCCCACACTCTGCCCCCCCCACACTCGCCCCCCCCCCCCACTCTGCCCCCCCCACCTCTGTCCCCCCCCCACACTCTGCCCCCCCCCCACACACTCTGCCCCACCCACACTCTGCCCCCCCACACACACTCTGCCCCCCCCCCACACTCTGCCCCCCCCCCCCCACAAACTCTGCCCCCCCCCACTCTGCCCCCCACTCTGCCCCCCTCCCACACTCTGCCCCCCCCCCCACACTCTGCCCCCCCCCCACACTCTGCCCCCCCCCCACACTCTGCCCCCCCCCCCCACACTCTGCCCCCCCCCACACTCTGCCCCCCCCCCCACACTCTGCCCCCCCCCCCCCACACTCTGCCCCCCCCCCACACTCTGCCCCCCCCACTCAGCCCCCCCGCCCACGTGCGCACTGCGGCTGGGCTCAACACCCCCCCCCCGCACAAAGATGGCTGCGCCGCCGCCTCAGCCCTGGGGGGGAGGGGGGGGGGCTCGCGCCGCGGCTCGCGTCTCTATGAATCGACACGGCGAGTGACGATTCCGTTCGCGTCGCGATTCGCGGATCGATTCGTGTTTATCTCGTTTAGTTTGCCAACGAAATAAGTGCAATAGCGTCCAAAAGCGTCGCCTTTTTTGTTTATGATTCCACATCGGGTCACATTGTTTAACGTGACGTTGCTTTAATTGGCGTAGATGTTTCAGGATAAGCGAATTGTATTAGATCGAACGGCAACTGTTGCAAGTCATGTTGGTACAACCGAAATTAGATACAGTATCGTCAACATTTGACTCGCTCATTACATAAGAATCGATGCATCATTTATTTTTCCAGCATTATTACACAAGTAACGATTTAGCCTAAATTCGGAATCGTCGTGAGAATTGTTTTATTATGTTTTATTTTTTATTATTTTATTACTTCCCTTCTACGTGACTTTACCGAAAGAACCAATAAGATGAAAATATAATAAAATATTTTATTGTTTTATTTTTATTATTTTATTTATTCCCTTCTACGTGACTTTACCGAAAGAACCAAGAAGATGTTCATGAATCTTTTCGTATTTCTTTGGCTCCGTATATATTTAAATTTCAGCCGGTGTAACGCAATTCAATATAATTCACCGCTTTGCTGTCGATTGCTATCGGAGCAATCCTCACGCGTATCTCTGGCGTCAAATCGATTAATAGACTCTCTATATATAATCGAATAATTCTAGATTTGAAGCTTTCGTGACTGCAAGGATTCATATTCTTAGGTTTTTTCGGTAAAGTCACGTAGGTAAAACATCAAAATTAATAAAAATCAAATAATTTTATTTTTATTAATTAATAAAATAATTTATTTTTATTAATTTTGATGTTTTACCTACGTGACTTTACCGAAAAAACCTAAGAATATGAATCTAATAATTGACTATTATAATCGACTAATCGGGGGGCGTGGCCCTAGAAGCTCGGCTCCCATTGGTCACTGAGATCGTGAGTGGGCTTGGGGGGGGGGTCACGTGAGAGAAGCGGGTGACGGGTGGGGGCATAAAAGTAGGCGTGGCCACCAAACGACAAACGCTGTGATTGGTTACCACGCCGCGTCTCGTGCTCGAGTGGGCGGGGCTAAGCGAGCGTGGGGGAGGGGGGGGGCCACGGACTCGACCACGGGATTGGTTCGTTTTGCCTTAACGCGGCTCCCATTGGCTGATTACGGCGAGGTTCCGTGGGTGGGGGGGGGGAAGGGGCGTGGCCACGTGACACCACCCATGGGGGGGGGGGGGGAAAGAGGAAAGGGGGCTAAGCGAGCGTGGGGGAGGGGGGGGCCACGGGATTGGTTCGTTTTGCCTTAGCGCGGCTCCCATTGGCTGGTTACGGCAAGGTTCCGTGGGTGGGGGGGGGAAAGGGGCGTGGCCACGTGACACCACCCGTGGGGGAGGGAGGGGGTGAAAGAGGAAAGGGGGGGGGGCGCGCGCGGTAGGGGGGGGAACGAGACAGTCACGTGACGCGGCGGGACGACGCCATGGCGGAGGCGGTGGCAGACACTCGGCGTCTCCTCACGAAGCCCCAGGACCTCACGGACGCCTACGGGCCGCCAAGCAACTTCCTCGAGATCGACGTGAGCAGCCCGCAGACGGTGGGCGTGGGGCGCATTCGCTTCACGAGCTACGAGGTCCGCATGAAGGTGAGAGGCGGGAGAGGTCCGCGTCCCGTGGCCAGGCCTCGCCCATCGCGAGATCTGCTCCGTGAGGGGGGGCCCCGGTCCCCTGCCCCCTTTTCCTGGCCCCCCTATCTCAGACCCCCTAATCCCCATCGCATGCTTCTCCCCCCCCCCTTCCTTATACACTTCTCCAGGCCCGACAACCCCCTTCGCCTAGGCCCCCGGTCCGCTCTCTCGGACCCGTCAGGAGTCTCTGGCCTCTCGCTTGGGGATTCGGGATCTCCACTCAGGCCTCAAGGGCCCAATTCGGGATCATTATTGGGGTCCCTGGTCCTCCGCTGGGTCCCTCTGTCTCGCTTCCTGGGTTACCTGTCCACTGTTAGGTCCCCTCCTCCCCTAGAATCCAGGTTTCCTGTGGGAATCAGGACCCCCCCACTTAATCTCCCCTTCCCCTAGAATCAGGTTTCCTGTGGGAATCAGGACCCCCCCACTTAATCTCCCCCTCCCCTAGAATCAGGTTTCCTGTGGGGTTCAGGACCCCCCCCCAACTTCATCTCCCCCTCCCCTAGAATCCAGGTTTCCTGTGGGGTTCAGTACCCCCCCAACTTAATCTCCCCCTCCCCTAGAATCAGGTTTCCTGTGGGGTTCAGGACCCCCCCAACTTAATCTCCCCTTCCCCTAGAATCAGGTTTCCTGTGGGGTTCAGTACCCCCCCCCAACTTAATCTCCCCCTCCCCTAGAATCCAGGTTTCCTGTGGGGTTCAGGACCCCCCCAACTTAATCTCCCCCTCCCCTAGAATCCAGGTTTCCTGTGGGGTTCAGGACCCCCCCAACTTACTCTCCCCTAGAATCCAAGTTTTCTGTGGGGTTCAGGACCCCCCCAACTTAATCTCCCCGCTGCGTTTCCTTCCACCCGTCCCCCTCCTCCCCCGCAGACGAATTTGCCGATTTTCAAGCTAAAGGAGGCGACGGTGCGGAGGCGATACAGCGACTTTGAGTGGCTCAAGAACGAGCTGGAGAGGGACAGCAAGGTAGGGGGGGTCCCCTTTCGCACTAGGGTCCCTCACCCCCTATCAGGGTCCCCTTAGCACTGGACGGGGGGGGTGGGTTGCCCGTCTGGTCATGGACGCCCCTTTGCACTGGGAACTGGGCCCCAATTAAGTCGTTTTCGAGTGACCTGGGTAGCCAAATGACGAAATCAATAACGTGGATACATTAACAACACCGGAGCAAAATCCTCCAAATAAATAGAGTAAAACCAACCAAATGGAAATCGGAGCAAATATTTTTAAAAACTGCATATTTGTTAAGAGAAGATGCAACTAGAGAGTAGCTTTCGGAGATTCCACTGGTGAAGGATGCGGTGGAACGAGCGGATGTGATAAAAGAGGCACACGAGCAGAGTTGATGGAAAAGGAACAGCTGACCGCATGACGTCATGGGACTTGCTGTTTAGAAGAGGAGTGTGGCTCCTTAACACCCGGGGGGGGGGGGGTGCCTCTCTCACACTGGGGTTCTCTGCGTGGTCCGTCTTCCGCTTGATCCCCGGGGTGTCTCGTTTAAAGATTGTGGTCCCCCCGCTGCCCGGCAAGGCCTTCACTCGTCTGCTGCCCTTCCGCGGAGACGATGGGATCTTCGACGACAGCTTCATTCAGGAGCGGCGAAGCGGCCTGGAGCAATTCATCAACAAGTAAACCATGGAAGCATTCATAATTACAGTGACCTTCTGCGCAGGTCGGCGAATTTTTGGGTTGGGCCGTGTATTTCCTGCGGACTCCGCAGGAAATCAGCTGTGCCGCTATTGATGTTATAATTCTTGGGTTCGGCCGCGTAATGACGTGGCCAAATTTACGTTGTAAAAAACCCTCTTACGACCTGACATTGCCAAACAAATGTCGGTGTGTGTCCCACGTGATTTACACGCCAGTGATTACTGTTTCAGCTCGCTCGCTGGTCAGTTGAAGAACAATTATCACAACCAAATGTAGCAGTTAGATACGTGACATTTAACTTTAAACTGTGGCGTCTTAAGGAAAATCCAGGCAGTCTGTCCCAGCCCAGCCCAAACATACAAGCATCATTGGCTGCGGAAACCTGTTATATCTTGTAATGCTTTGCGCCCACGTCCCGTGCTCTCCCCACTTATTTCAACCCACTTTGCTGAGCGTGGTGAAGTTTGGCCAAATAAGCACCCACCAACCACGAGACGAGGCCAGGCCTTCGTGCAGCAGTGGATTGACAAAAGCCAAGGAGTTAGCGTTGGGGGTGTCAGGTCCCGACGTGGTCAAGCAGCATCTCAAGCTCCGCTAATCGCAACTTGTACGTTAGAGACTTCCGTGTCGAGCTGACATATGAGACCCTTAGGCTTGCTTATTTTCATACTCGGTGTCTACTAATAATAGAAAACTGCTGGTATGTCAACTCGAAAAACATGCCGCCTTAAAATTTCCCACTTGTCTCGGGAGGCCCCACAGTGTGTAAAAACGTTACGATTTTCGACCACAAGTTTGCCTGTCTTCTCGGCTCTAAAGAAGGACCATTGCCTGAAATGTCAGATATTTGTCAACCACAAGTCTGTTTAATGATAAGTGTATACCTGTGCACCACTACCAACAGTGCCTTAATATTTGTGCATCTGCTGATGTTTAGCATTAGCACTGCACGCAACTGATAGTAAAATCGGCGAGAGCTGCAGTATGGGGACACACACACGAGGACTGGAGTTTTCAGTTGAGATTCGCCGAGTGAAGCGGCATCGCAAATCCAGGTAGCGTGCAATTTTTTAATGATTCTCACGGGTGTGATGTAATGCCTGTACCATGAGCGCTGGGTGGCTAAAATGCCGCAAGTTGGCACAGTCTGGGGTATAGCTGGTGTATCTACCAGTCATCTCAGTCAGCCAACCCATGCCACCTTGGTCTGTCCCGAGACCACCTGTCAGCGAACCTTCGACACTCCACGTGGCCTCAAAGTGCACCTGGCCTGGCACAGGCACCGTGGTGATATCACTGTCACTTAGTGGCGAATGGTGGGTATTGGTACCATGAGCGGAAGAATCAATTGTAACCTGCAACATTTCTAAGAGTGGGTACAACTCGCAAACCTTAATGTTTGCGGGTTGGAAGTTGGTCGACTCGAATTGGTTATTTTCCAACATTCTTGCGGATGGTAGTGATGTAACATTAAAACATCCCTATATGAATCCAAAGACATGTATTACTCTTGTGATAAGGGCTTGAAGTCAGCTGGGTCGGTCTTGATCAATGACCTGGAAAATATATCCAGACCAGGCACACAACATCCAGTATTCCTGTTATCCTATGGCTATAGATACAAGCTATGTGCCACCTACTCCAATCTACCAGCCAGAAAATATTCAGTACGAGCTTAGGTCCTGCATGTTATCCTACACACGTCACGAGCAGGCGAGAATGTTATTCTAGATTTGAAGTTTTCATGACTGCAAGAATCCATACTCTTGGGTTCTTTCGGTAAAGTCACATAGGTGAAAAAAAAAAACTCACGACGTTTCGGGCGCAACACAAGCGGGCGCTTGTGTTGATGACGGGGGATTGTGTTGCGCCTGAAACATCGTGAAATTTTTTTTTTCACCTACGTGACTTACCGCAAGAATGTTAGTCGACAAATGGACCGCATCGTTACATGCCAAGCACTTGTGTTGTGACTTCCGTGCCACGCCGACCAGAACCTGACTAGATCTCCTGTGTGCTCACAGGATTGCCGGACACCCGCTGGCGCAGAATGAGCGCTGCCTTCACATGTTCCTGCAGGATGAGACCATCGATAAGGGATACGTGCCTGGCAAAGTGCGACAGACATAAGCCAGACGGAGCCCCCCCCCCTTCACCCTGCTCTCATTTCCCTCCATTATCATCGTCACCCTCATCACCAACGTTGTTATCGTTATGGAATCTGTCTCACTTTTGGCCACTACTGAGCTTTGTGCCATGGGGTTGAGGGTGTTTTTTTTCTTTCTAAACGCGTCTGACCGACATCCGTCGCATTCGCGCATTATCTCTTGTCGACGCTAACTTGGTCGAGAGCGAAGCCGTTTTCACGCGGAAAGTAAAACGACACTTATAGTCTCACGCACTTCTTCTTCGGTCGGCCGTCGATATTTTTTTATTGCAATTTATTTAGCCCTCGTAGATTATAACCGGATTTGCTGTAATGATGACGAATGTTGAAAAGAGTGTAGCTGTATTTACGATAGAGAAAACAAATCTTTCACGACGACGCTCTGGAGCCCAACTTTAATGTACAAAATAACCAAAAGTCATACGCTGCTTTACAGATCCTCCTAATATGCATTATATTGTCATTTAAATAAAGTAATCACGCTGTGGAGACTTTGTGGATTGCTGTAGCTGTGATGGACTTGATAGAAGGGGGGTCTTTGTTTAACGACACCGCCACTAACAAGCCACGCCAAGCTGCCCGGGACTGCCACCACCCACCCTGAGGACCACTCATGTACAGACAACACTTTTATTCCCTTGTCCAATGGTTTATTCTCACCTTCCTGTAAACGTCGAACAAATACAGTATTTCTGTGGACGTTGGGCTTTTTATTCTCGTGCCTGGGAGAGGGGGATTGTCACGGTGCAGGACTTGATAACGAGGGCTTGAGAAGGCCTTCCTTCAGTAGTGGGTTGATCATGGCTTACAAGGACTCGGATAATGTGGGGCTGAGGTTACCGTCCTGATCGCCTTCAAGGTTTATCTGTGCTGTGGCTGCCTGTTGGGTTACAAATTGCTGCTTTGGGGACTTTGCCACTGGCCTTGACCGACTGGCATTGCTATTGCTTCCGCGCATGTGACTGCTGCCTGCCTTGTTCTTACATCGAGATGGTTAATGGAATTGGCCCAGCATCCCAATGTAACCGCATCTTCCTCAAAATAAAGACATGAGAGTAAGCCTTTCTTGGTTAAATTAGGGGCATTGTCGTCGTCGCTCAGCTGCACCTTTTAAATATCGTGACGCACGAAGATGTAGGTGGATGTGTCGGTGCCGATTGCCCAACACTTTATTTTTGGCGACTTCTCTCGCATAAAACAGGCAGAGGAAGAATGTGAGCACCGCCCATTTATTTTCAGCAACCAGAGGTTTATTCCAGCAAAGTCTTTCGAGGTGGATGGTACATATTACTGTGCCCCGGACACCACATCCAGTATAACTCTGACTAGTCACGTACCACCACGTCCAGCCTAGCAGGGACCTGGAAAATGTTCCATGAGAATCTGGCAACGAATAGTTGAGTTGTAAGCGATGAATGGAACACGCCTTCAGTAACAAAAGTAGCGGGCAGCATCGGCCTCAACTGCGTGCTGCGAACGTCGCTGTCTGGGGGGGGGGGGGTCATGCGGACTCTGCACTCTCCAGGATGCTGCTCTTTTTCTCGAAGTATTCTCGGAACCAGGCGATGTGCTCGCGCTTCTGCGCGACGGTCAAGTATGGGTTCTTGGAGAGCCCCGTGACGACGAGCTGCATGAAGTGACGCACGGGCCCCGAGGAGGGGAACTCGGCGAGGTGACGCTCCAGGAAGACGTGCTCGTGGAACGGCACCGCCTCCTCCTCTTCCAGCCCTGGGCCACGTGGCGCAGAGGGACACCAGCACACGGCATTGATACGACACTCGAAGGGGAAGACAAACAAAAACCCATGTGTATCGCATTAAAGTGCCACTAATCCTGACCAAACACCGCACCAACTCTCGCGTGCCAGCACCGCATGACGGAACTTCGCCGCACATCAACCCACATGCCTCATCTCGTGTGGAAACCCTGTGCACCACACACAAAGCTCTTAACACCACTAACACCACACTACAACTCCCCACGCAAATTCCACACTTTAATTGCAAACTCTATCCTCGAAGACTAACCTTACACAAACCCACACACCCCACAAGTGACCCTCAAAATACTCGATTCGTACATCAATCAATCCTGCACTCCGCAGCATCGCAAAAATCTGCAGTGACAGAGTGGGGCTCCTGATGAACAGCAAGATCTTGGGCTGCACCTGAGAAGTGCCACTGAGTTTGTGCCAAGACGGCTCTGGATGGGTGCAGTTATTGGAGGAGCAAAACTTGCGAATAATAACCTATTATAATGATGACATAAGCAGATAATACACTTTCCCATGTGTTCATGAAAAATAAAATTATCTTTACACATCCTATCAGACACATGGCCTTCAGGAGCATAGTTTTAATACAAGGAAAACTGCACTGGTTTTGATATTCAGTGTCTCATCAGCAGTCCGGCTTGCTTAACCAATCCGCCATACGTTTATAGGCAACAAGGATCGGCTGCGAGACGTGGGTCCTGTCTTCTTGGTTCTTTCGGTCAAGTCACGTAGAATGGAAATAATAAGGATCTCAAAGTTATGTGGAATCCCTCCCCGTAGAGGCGGTTACTTGACCGAAAGAACCAAGAAGATGAATCCCTGCAGTCACGAAAGCTTTAAAACGTAGGTCCTGATTCGATGCAAATCTGAGTTATGGGGGACGCAGGAGATGCTCTCCATAGCCTGGGCTCATGGCTCCCCTTGGAGCTTGGATACTGTGGCCGGCGCAGACCGCGATGCGAGCACTCACCCTGCTCATTGTTCACTGGATAGAGCCACAGCTTCCCTTCCTCTGTCCACTGGATCATCTCCTCGAAACCGTTGCGTGGCGCGTGGCTCACTGTTGCAGCGATGGCGCTCTCCTGCTCCAGCTCCCAGAGCGTCGGCTCAAACGCTGCGCAGGAAACGCAACGGGGTCACCAGGGCCGGCACCCACGTGTGGGCGCGTGTGTGTGTGTGCGTAGTGGGGAGCGACAGTGTAGCGGTTAGCGCGCTGCGCTATGAACCCAGCGACATGGGCTCGATTCCCGCTCACGGCCAACACCAGTGACGATTATCTGAACCGGTCCCGGGCCTCCCCTAGGTGTGTAAACATTGTCACCAGGGAGACAAAGGCGGTCGGGCGTGGTGCTGGCCACCCACCCCCTCATGTACCGTTCCGGCCTTCATAGGTGCTCGCTAACAGCACTTGCCCCTACAGTCTGTTAAGGCTATATGGGGGATCTTAGTGTGTGCGTAAGGCATCACGCGGCGGTGCCCCTTTGCCCACTGGCGCGGCTCAGGAGGCGCCAGGTTGTTTTCCACTGCAGAGGCCGAGTCGTGTCGCCTATATGATGCGCAGTCATTAAAATAATTAATCGCGCTCCTGGCTCAGATTCTTGCCCAAGCCAGATTCTGATGGGCTTTTGAGGCCAGGGTGTTACAGTTTGGTTCTGGTTCAACTCAGAGGTGCATACGTACGGTGCGAAAGAAGTTCAACATACACGTTACAGAACACCGTGGTGCCTTACACAACACAGGAGTCTTGTATCGATCCACCCCCTAGCAGATCGAGATTTGCTGCGGAGGCGTGCAGTGTAAATGATGATGACCAGATGAATTGTCGCGTTTCATATCCGAGAATGTTTTTCATGCTGTGAGCGCCTCTAGTGGCCACAGAGGTCACATGACCCAGCCACATACAAATCTAACAGCTTCCTACGGCACAGCCATTGCATGCCGATGAACCATCGCGCGTCACCACGCGGGTTCAAATGGACTAATGGCCGGGGGGGTGGAGGTCAGTGCCATGATGCGGTCTGGAGACCCAGCACCGGTTACGCACCCTGCTGCTGCTGCTGCTGCTGCTCGCCGCTGGCGGCGATGGCGTCGTCGCGTGGCAGCTCTCTGAAGATGTTGAGATGCCGCCTTGCCAAGCGCTTGTTGAACCTGCAAAGCAGCGAGGGCACGATCAGTGAGACCGCCTGCAGAACACGCGTACGGCTATTGAACACCGACAGCAGTGGCACACCGACTCCCAAGCTCCAACGTCACGCACACGAGCATTACAACGGCCATCGACAATTGCTACGAGGGGACGGTGACGTCACCACGGCGATTGTGCCAGGCTCGGTACATTTTGGGCCTGGCTTCGGAAAGCTCGCTGGTAGGTCACGGAACAGACTGAAGATGACTGGCAGATGCACCATCTGCACTGTGCCACCTCGCCGTGTATTGGCCGTCATCGCGAGAGTCGCAGACGCGCGTGCCTATGTGCACCACCCCCGGCCGCACCTTTGAATGAGTTCTTCGTTGGCTTCCCTCTTGTGCTGGTGGCTCTGGAAGCCCTGCCAGTCCTCGTCGAAGCGAATCTGGTTCATGGACTGCGAAGGGGTGCTGCTCTTCCGCGAGACCCGCATTGCCGAGATGATGTCACTGCACACACGGCGACATGCCAAGCTCACGGGCATGACGTGTACTCACAGACACCTGCTCCACAAAGACACTCGTGTACACACACACGGGAGCTGTCGCCAGCGGGGTATGACGTGGGCAGCGGTGGCGCGGTCGTCACTGGTTATTACCGCGGTGATGAATGTAGCGCCCTCTAGTGGCAACAGGCGCCACTTTGACATTTTCATACAAGGTCTACGAATCAAAAACAAAGAATCCTTACACGTTCATCAATTAATGGACGTACTTATACGCCCATAGTGAATAATCCACTTGACTGGTAAAATCCAAGTCAGGTAGCTTTCATCTCCCCCCCCGACCCCCGTTTGCGATGGCAAGGCATGACCTATGTGATTCTTATGAATGACCCCACGACCCCACGTGCCTCAGGCTGCCGAGGTCGCCCCGGCGTGCCGCGTCGCTCTGGGCCTCGTGCTGTCGCAGCTGATCCAGGAGTTCCGACTCCGTCTCCTCACGGCGCCCAGGGACGTCCTCCGCTACGGCGCGGGCAGCGGCAGCCAGCGGCGGCGGCACAGGCCTGCAGTGGATAGAGCATGGTAATCGCTCACCGCTCACTCACCACTCAATCTCTGCTCACCATTCACTACTCAATCACCGCTCACTCATCACTCATTGTTTATTACTATATTATCATGAGCAGTTCACTGTGAAACTAACAATGGACGATGATATCCTATCCAGGATAGCCTCGAAACTGCTGCAGAAGGCTCCTGCTACGTGGAGATGTTCGGGCTAATTCCATTACCGCGATGGGTTGACAGCTATGGAATGTCATTGTGCCATTTTTTTAGATTATTTATAGACGTTTAAATATCCAACTAAGTTATTCCTGACGCACGCGTTCATCGTTTTAAGATACACTTCATCTCGCGCAGTACAATCAAGTTTGTTCCTACGAGAGGATTTTGCCACGAGGCGTGGTGAGGAACAGCCCTCGGCCACCACCGCGCTCCCATCCACACGCCTGGACCATCTCCCCCTCCCCCGGGAGCCCCCACCACCTCCCAGGGACCCCCCCCCCGGGAACCACTCTCACCTCGGGACCCCCCCACACCCCCAGGACCCCCCACCACCTCCCCGGGACCCCACCCCCCACGACCCCCCCCCCCCACCCCGGGAGCCACTCTCACCTCGGGACCTCCATCCCCTCTCAGGGACCCCCCCTCCGGGAGCCTCCACCACCCCCCCCAGGACCCCCCCCCCACGACCCCCCCTCACCACGACCCCCACCCCCCACAACCCCCCCCCACCCCCCCGGGAGCCACTCTCACCTCGGGACCCCCACCCCCTCCCAGGGACCCCCCCCCTGGACCTCCCCTTCGGACCCCCCCTCCGGAAGCCCCCACCACCCCCCCCCCAGGACCCCCCCCCCCCCACGACCCCCCCCCTCACCACGACCCCCACCCCCCCATGACCCCCCCCCCACCCCCCGGGAGCCACTCTCACCTCGGCGCCGCTCTCTGCCGCTCGCCGCCGCCCTCCGTGGCGGGCGGCGGCCGGAGCGGTCGCTTCGTGCGCACCTCCACCCGCATGGAGCCCAGCACGCTCAGCAGCCGCTCCTCGGGGGAGCCTCCTCCTCCTTCTCCTCCTCCTTGTCCTCCTCCCACTCCTCCTTCTCCTCCTCCTCCTTGTCCTCCTCCCACTCCTCCTTCTCCTCCCGCAGTGGTCGACACACGACGGCGAGCAGCCCACAGGCCCCTGGCAGCAGGAACATCACACGCGGGCTAGAGGCCACGTACTAAGGACAAACACCCCCCCCGACCCCGTACAGCTCTAAACAGACTCATCTTCTTGCTTCTTTCTTCTTTCGGTAAAGTCACGTAGAAGGGAGATAATAAAATAATAAAAATACAAGATCATAAAATACAATTCTCACGACGTTTCGGCCACAAAGCAAGCAGCCGTCCTCAGGTGAAGAACAGGTGAAGAACACTTGATGCAGTAATTTTAGCTGTGATGGTCCCACCTGATGACGGAGACTTGTGTTGCCTCCGAAACGTCGTGATTTATTATTTTATTTCCATTATTAACTTTTAATTAAATTTTTTACCTACGTGACTTTACCGAAAAACCCTAAGAGTATGTGAAGAACAGGTCTTTCCGACAGACCTGTTCTTCACCTGAGGACGGCTACTTGCGTTGTGGCCGAAACGTCGTGAGAATTTTATCTTATTATGTTATATTTTTATTATTTTATTATTTCCCTTCTACGTGACTTTACCGAAAGAACCAAGAAGATGAATCCCTGCAGCCACGAAAGCTTTAAATCGAAATGTAAACAGACTGTTGTTGCAATCAGTGTTAGCAGTGGTGGTGGTGCTGCCAGCATCACCCCCGGCAGTGTCAGCTCCGCTAACGCTGAGAGATGTCACCGCACCGACTCAAGTAATCGATAGAGAAGGTCCATGACCAGTTCAGATATTCCTCATCGATTTGTTGACCGTGGCCCAGTGCGCGCACCACTACCCCCCCCGGCTCCCCACACACGGACACGCGCATTCACAACCGATACCCCCCCCAAATTTTTATCTCCCAATTGTCAATATCGTTCTGCAGTCACAAACGTCCCTGAAGTAATCGATACGCCGTGACCCCCCCGCCCCCCCAATCTTCTTCCCCGCCTGGGTCACACGCCGCGTGATGGCCACGAGGTAGGAGGAGGTCATCTGGAGACACGAGGGGGGCACACGAAGGATTACGACGCAGAGCCACGTGGACCCCCTGGGACACCCCCTGAGACACCAAGAGACACCCAGGGACACCCAGAGACACCCAGAGACACCAAGAGACACCCAGGGACACCCAGAGACACCCAGGGACACCACACCAGAGACACCCAGAGACACCAAGAGACACCCAGAGACATCAAGAGACACCCAGAGACACCAAGAGACACCCAGAGACACCAAGAGACACCCAGGGACACCCAGAGACACCCAGAGACACCAAGAGACACCCAGGGACACCCAGAGACACCCAGGGACACCACACCAGAGACACCCAGAGACACCAAGAGACACCCAGAGACATCAAGAGACACCCAGAGACACCAAGAGACACCCAGAGACCAGACACCCAGGACACCCAGAGACACCAAGAGACACCAAGAGACACCAAGAGACACCCAGGGACACCACACCAGAGACACCCAGAGACACCAAGAGACACCAGAGACATCAAGAGACACCCAGAGACACCAAGAACACTCAGAGACACCAAGAGACACCCAGGGACACCCAGGGACACCCAGGGACACCCAGAGACACCCAGAGACACCAAGAGACACCAAGAGACACCCAGGGACACCCAGAGACACCCAGAGACACCAAGAGACACCCAGGGACACCCAGAGACACCCAGAGACACCCAGGGACACCACACCAGAGACACCCAGAGACACCCAGAGACATCAAGAGACACCCAGAGACACCAAGAGACACCCAGAGACACCAAGAGACACCCAGGGACACCCAGAGACACCCAGAGACACCAAGAGACACCAAGAGACCCAGGGACACCCAGAGACACCCAGGGACACCCAGAGACACCCAGAGACACCAAGGGACACCCAGAGACACCCAGAGACACCCAGAGACACCCAGGGACACCCAGAGACACCCAGAGACACCCAGAGACACCCAGGGACCCCCAGAGACACCAAGAGACACCCAGGGACACCCAGAGACACCAAGGGACACCCAGAGACACCCAGGGACACCCAGAGACACCCAGGGACACCCAGAGACACCCAGAGACACCAAGATACACCCAGAGACACCCAGGGACCCCCAGAGACACCAAGAGACACCCAGGGACACCAAGAGACACCAAGAGACACCCAGAGACACCCCCCACGGGATCTCTCTCTCTCACCCGTCCGCCCAGGCCGCCACGAGGCCACGCTCCGCATCACCTCCCCGGGCCCCGCATCGCACGTGCGTTCGCGCCGCGTGGCCCAGTAGCATCGCCCTCATCGCCATCCTCATCCTCGCCATCGACATCCTTCCTCGGGGTCCCAGCGCCCGCTCTGCAACGCGCCCGCCGCGACTCGCACCAAGTCCACGCGCGTTGGGACCCCCCCCAGAGGTCGGACTCTCGCACTCGCCCAACATGGCGGCCGCGTGCCTCAAGCTCCCTGTGCCGACAACTCACCCAACATGGCGGGCGGGCGTGACGTCATGTTACAAATTCTTAGACTTAGCGGGCGTGACGTCATGTTACGTGTTGCCTCCGAAACGTCGTGATCTTTATTTTATTTTATTATTTTTATTAATTTTGATGTTTTACCTACGTGACTTTACCGAAAACACCTAAGAATATGATTCCTTGCAGTCACGAAAGCTTCAAGTCTAGAATGTTACAAATACTTAGACATAGCGGGCGTGACGTCATGTTACGTGTTGCCTCCGAAACGTCGTGATCTTTATTTTATTTTATTATTTTTATTAATTTTGATGTTTTACCTACGTGACTTTACCGAAAACACCTAAGAATATGATTCCTTGCAGTCACGAAAGCTTCAAGTCTAGAATGTTACAAATACTTAGACATAGCGGGCGTGACGTCATGTTACGTGTTGCCTCCGAAACGTCGTGATCTTTATTTTATTTTATTATTTTTATTAATTTTGATGTTTTACCTACGTGACTTTACCGAAAACACCTAAGAATATGATTCCTTGCAGTCACGAAAGATTCAAGTCTAGAATGTTACAAATACTTAGACATAGCGGGCGTGACGTCATGTTACAAATTCTTTCCAGATTTGAAGCTTTCGTGACTGCGAGGATTCATACTCTTAGGTTTTTTTTCAGTAAAGTCACGTAGGTAAACATTTTTACATTTATAAAAGTAAAATAAAACATTTTTATTTGTTTCATTTTACTTTTATTAATTAAACATTTTTAAATTAATAAAAGTAAAATAAAACAAATTTTTAAATTTGTTTCATTTTACTTTTATGAATTACATTATTTTTGCTACGTGACTTTACAAATTCTTATCAGCCATAGCGGGTGTGACGTCACATTACAAATACTTACAGTAGCTGCCATTCTAGATTTGAAGCTTTCGTGACTGCAATGATTCATACTCTTAGGTTTTTTTTCGGTAAAGTCACGTAGGTAAAAATTCATTAAAAAATACAAATAATATAAATACCTGCCATGGCGGGCGTGACGTCACGTTACAGATACAGTACCTGCCATTCTAGATTTGAAGCGTTCGTGACTGCAAGGATTCATACTCTTAGGCTTTTTTTTAGGTAAAGTCACGTAGGTAAAAAGAAATAATAAAATACAAATAATATAAATACCTGCCATGGCGGGCGTGACGTCACGTTACAAATACTTTTCTTGGCGGACGTCACTTACCCAACATGGTGGGAGTGACGTGACGTTGCCAACACTCAACCAACATGGCGGGAGTGATGTCATGTTGCAACAACTTAACCAACATGGCGGGAGTGACGTCACGTTACAATGCTTACCCAACATGGCGGGTGGACGTGAAGCCTCCCAGCGTTTCAAACAAAACTCGACATCCACTTTTGTTTGAAACGCTTAGGAGCGGCCTGAGTTGCAAGACATCTGTGCCCTCTCATCGCAGCCCCCACTGACGACCACAGTAAAGAAACACGATGTCCTCGGTGCAAAGTCAGATAATCTCTTTATTGTACACGGGTTTAAGCGCTGGATTACAACACAACAACAGCAGCGTTAACTGGAATAAACCGTCCTAACTTTTGACAAACAAAACAAAAAGCTGTTTCCAAACGCGTCTCACGCTCTCACAGCATCACGGGCAAGGGAATTTTGGTCTCACGCCACCCACTCGTCAACCTCACACCAAACCCCAAAGATCACCCCCTTTCCCCCTGTAAGCCTATACCAGGGGTCGGCAACCAAAATAACAAAAGAGCCATTTCCTTCCAATTCGGTACAAAATTCAGTATTTCAAGAGCCGCAATGCATCTGAGTACATACGTACTCATCGTCAAGAAGCAGCCCGTAAAGAGCCGCATGCGGCTCCGGAGCCGTAGGTTGCCGACCCCTGGCCTATACGAACTGTTTGCGGTAAGCGCTGTTCGCAAAGCCCCTAATAGCTGCTCGCCAAACCCTGGCCAACTCGCCACGTATAACCAAACTACCCCTGCATGCGCCAGCACCTACGGGATTGATCAGAATCGGGCCGAGCGAGCAGCCCTTTTATCTTACAAGCAAAGCCCCGCCGAGCGATGGGCCATTTTTCAGAGGCGACCTGGCCAATACGCGCAAATAGCTCGTCGAAGTGGCTAAAATCATCGCCATCGCACGTGGGGATTTATATCAGCTGCCAAATATTCTAAGCCCATGTGTGTGTAAATGTGGAGGGCAAAACAGTGAGGGGCCCGGAGAACAACCCACGCGCCCCACAGGGAGATCACGAGCACTCCAAATATCGAGGCATCGGGGTCAGAATCGAACCCAAGACCTGGTAGGGACCAGGCGAGGTAGTTAACATCTCAACACCGTGGCGTCTCCGATCCGGTGTCTGCCCAGTGTGACGAGGTCCCGGGCTCGACTGTCCATCTCGTGTGCTTTTTCAGCCCCGGCTCGCAACGCGTTCGAGATAGCATCTCCCCGTCATCTGGATGGGAACCCAGCCGTGGGTATTGGGCGCTACAGGAGCGCGGCTGCCGGAGAGGCCAACGTTGTGGCGGAACGGCGGCAGTGGGTCCAGATGGGGCCCGTGAATTGGACCCCGTGGGTTGAAGCGATTCGTGCCGAGCTCTGCTATGCGCTCATGCGTGCGAGTTGTCTCCGGCGTTCCTCCCACACGAAGCCAAAGCTCTCGCTACCAACGGCATTCAAGGCCAAACATCCCAACGTATCAGCAGCAGCAGCACCCTCCTAAATACTGTACAGTTAAGACCCGGTGAAGCTCTGCTTGGTAATTAAATGGACGGTATTGCTGTTGCACTGCACTACTCTCTCATCGAACTGCACGGTGCAGGACGGTCAAATAACCACCACGACCCGCTGGATTAGTGCCTCCTTGCACCTACTTACCGCAGTAAGTAGGTGCAAGGAGGCACTCATCCAGCATGCGTGCGACCGTGTAAACAGCAGGGGACAGCATGTGTCCACAGTGTAAACACGACAGAAGCCAGATTTGCCCACTCGCCAAGTTTTGTTGCTAGATCTAGGGAGAGACACGTTTTGGGGGTTTTCCTGGCAACACAGTTGAGTAAAAATGACTCGCGGCCAATCGAGTGACTTTCTGGGACGTGGGACGTCGGATGAGGGACGCGGGATATCCTCCAAGGTGTGGGAGCAACTCCAGGACCCTTCTGAATCCTGTATCCGTGTCCTAGACGGAGTAATGGCAACTCTCCCCTTTGAATCGGCGATGCTGCCCTCCGGATGCCGCTTTTCCTACCGAGTCCGGCGTTCAGACTCCACCGGCTCTGGCGGTGCGGGCCCCCTACTGCTTGCACACGATGAGGTTGCGCGTCATGTCGAACGAGTTGCCGTCGGGCTGCAGGGTGAGCGTGGTGCCGTCCCGAGAGAGGACGCGCAGGAACCCAAAGTCGTCGAGTCCGAGCACCGTGGCCTCTGGTCCGGTGTCGCTGTTGAGTCGCACCTGGGTCCCGCTGCGGGTGGCGGGGGGTGAAGGGGGGAGATGCGGACACGCGGAGACGACAACACGGCATGTTATAACGTGGCGATGGGGGGGGGAGCGGCGCGGTGACGGCACTCGTGCCACCTCACCGCAGGAAGTTCCTGGGTTCGATTCCTAACTCTGGATGTTTTCTGTGCGGGGTTCTACCCCTGTTCTGCTGAGCGTGCGATATTATGAATGTGTGCAGTTTGTATGTTCTCCCCTGTTCTACACAGGTTTGTACAGGTTCACCAGTTTCCTCCCATGGCTAAAAAGACACAATGTGAGTGGTATTGGCCAAACATGTTGAAAGATGACCTGCAATTTGCTCAATTGGGATTACACACAGCAACAACATCTCTCCCTCCTGCGGAAAAACTTTGCAGAACCCAATAAAAAAAACATCTTGAGACTCAGGCTTCCCTGCGTAAACAAGCTCAAGAATAAATAATGAAACCCGCTCACCCCCTCAACAAAACGTGTGACTCATCTTCTTGGTTCTTTCGGTAAAGTCACGTAAAAGGGAAATAATAAAATAATATAAATAAAACATAATAAAATTATTCTCACGACGTTTCGGCCACAACGCAAGCAGCTGTCCTCAGGTGAAGAACAGGTCTGTCAGAAAGACAGTGTCCGAAACGTCGTGAGAATTATTTTATGTTTTATTTCTATTATTTTATTATTTCCCTTCTACGTGACTTTACCGAAAGAACCAAGAAGATGAATCCCTGCAGTCACGAAAGCTTTAAACCGAAATTTAAAAAGTGCGACGTGTGCGTGAAACAGCAGCGCCCAGCCGGCCGATGTGTTACGGTGCCGATAACCCGGGCCAACCGCAACCACCGCTGTGGTTTAAAGCTGTCCTGGCCTAGGCCGAGCAAGTGGACGAGGCCGGGCCGAGGTCCATCTTGGCGTTGTTCAAAGCGACCCGGGCAACACGATCCACGCTCCCGTCCCCTCACCTGTGCAGCCAGCGCTGGTAGTACAGCGGCAGGACGGCAGCCGGGCCGCCCGCCTGGAACGAGTCGACGAGCCGCTCCAGCTGCGTGACGGTGCTCGCGATGGATCCGGCGGTGCTCATCGGAGCCAGCGGCGCATCTCCCGCTCTCCTGGCTCCGTTCCATTCCGCCACGGCGGCGTTCACGCACCATGTGGGGCGGTCGTTGCTCACGTTCACGCCGCAACCTGGTGCACCGAGAGCGTCGTCAACACCGGGAAGTGTGTATGGTACAACGCACATTATTCTAATCTCGTATTGCGCGTCGCAGCAGCGATATGGTCCAGGAGTGTCTGCTTCAGGAGAGAGTTTGTGTAGTTTTGCTTTTCCTCCTCTGTTGAAGGAACGCAGACTACAGCGGTTTACTTAGTCCATAGCTTGGGTTGCACGGCCAGTCGCACCGTGACTTGTCTTTAATATTTCATTCATCATGAGATTTGCTCATTAGCTTATTGATGTTCTGATACAGTTGATGGTTACACCGGTGTTTTCGAAGAGGAGGAATGTCTTTGTGTATGTCAGTGGCGATTGAACAGTGGCTGCTGACGTGTATACCAACGCGCGCGTACCAATGAGCACTTGGAAGGTGTCTCCAGTGAGGGTGGAGTTGACCAGGACTCCACCCACCTTGAACTCCGACCCGTAGTAAATGTCATTTGGCCATTTGACCCTCAAGTCAATGTCCTGCGCCCACACAGTTCAGCAGACACGTGCGTAGCGTGAGCGCAGCAACAGAGCAGCGATTCCCAAGCGTGCGAATCGTGCAAGCAAGAATCGTGCAAGCGAGAATTATGCCGATTATACGCCGACGTCGGCACAAAAAAAGGAGTACAATAAAAACGAGTCAAATTAATTAAATCTGGAATTTCACTGTGATGATACCGACCTAACTTCGAGTGCGTCTCACCGATTGCTCCTTCAAGGGTATTATTACACAGGGATTCTTCGATGCAAGGTAGATCATACATTGTACCATTAGCAGGGTAATTACAAATCGGGGGTGAGAGCAGATTGGATGATAAGACAATGGGCCAGTCGGACCGCCACTCGTTTTGTTCAGCGTTCCGCCTTGATATGAAGTTGAACGTTGACTCTCGTTGCCCACCCTGCCAAGTGTTCGAATGCCCTCCCCCCCTTTGAAGCAGTGCCGGCACGCTGCGTTGGGAAAGTGGCTCGCGACGCTTTTGTATCTGGACATCAATCCAAACGGTGTCGCGTAATCGAGTTCAACAGGCCAGCCGGCTTGGCGGTGAAGCGAGCGGCTCGCAACCGGAAGATCGCGAGTTCAAATCCGGGTTGGGGGAGGGGGGGGGGGTCGACTCGGCGCATCATCCATACAGAGTTAATAAAAACGGGTACCACTTCCACTTTGCCAGGAAGACAACAGCGCTCGTCCTAGGGACAGGTGGGGCACGACTGCGATCGAGCGATGAGCTCGTGTGAACGGCCTGCGCGAAAGGCTGTGACCCTCGCCTCGTATCCCGGCGCCGAGCGCACGCCCTCTACCACCGCCAGCGCCACCAGGTGCTGCAGGAACGGCAGGTGCTGCCCCAGGCGCGAGTCGGAGCGCACCGCCAGCGGCAGCGTGAACATGGCGCAGCCGACGGGGCTCAGCCACGCGTTCCCGCCCCGGCCTGGAGGACAGAGGTCGCAAACGGGTTTTGATTCCTTACCCGTACCCGGCCGCACCAGGATCGCAAACGGGTACCCGTACCCGTACCCGGCCGGGTATGGGTACCCGTACGCTACCCGTACCCCATACCCTACCCGAAATGAGTGACAAACGGTTACTCACCGGTGACTCACGGCCTACCCGTACCCGTACCCGGCCGCACCAGGGTCGCAAACGGGTACCCGTACCAGGCCGGGTACGGGTAGCCGGGTATCGGGTAGGGTACGGGTATCGGGTACCCGGTTGCGACCTCTGCTGGAGGAGCAGCGGCCCAGAGACAATCGAACAACGCCGGGTGGCTTCTCCATGTCAGCCGGGTCGGCCAGCCGGAGGTTATTCCCACACCTTGCACACCACCACGTCCAGTATACCCGCTCATCGCTATGGCCGTGGGTGGCTACTACGGGTCACGTGCCACCTGTTGCAGTCTACCAGCAACCTGGAGAATACTTGGTGAAAAATTAAGCGCTGCCTAGGAACCATAGACTACGAGACCCATAGACTTACATAGTACCCATAGATTTACATAGGATCTGCCTGGGTCAGTGCTGTACAGAATATTCCCACACCACAGTACACCGCGCATCCAGTATTCTTCTCATCGCTGTGGCTACTTGTAGTCGCGTGCCACCTACTCTGGTATACCAGCAGCCCGGAAAATATATTTGAACCCAGCACACCACATTCATCACGTCTCTCACGATGGCTGCGGACTGACCTTTGCCCTGAGTCTGCCGGGTGGCGATGGCGATGAGGCCGACATCGTCTGGAAGGTGAGGGATCACACTGAGACACACACACGCGCACACATTGCTGTGTGAGTTCGTATATAGGAGGCATCACCATTACTGATCGTCGCGGCGGCGACATTGCACATGTGAACGGTCAGAGTGAATTCCTGCTTAAAGTTGCACTTAGACAGCGCTCACCACTTGCTTACAGACCATTTCTACGGCAGAGACAAGTTAATCCACATGACAAACATTGTTGATTCACCCACAGAGTAGTATGCATCTTAACTTTTGATTTAAAGCTTTCGTGACTGCAGGGATTCATATTCATATTTTCTATTGTTTTATATTTATATTATTTTATTATTTCCCTTCTACGTGACTTTACCGAAAGAACCAAGAATATACATCTTATCTTTGTTTCACCTTCGCTAGCCGCGTGTGTTAGGGCCATGCTGGAGGACCACCTCTGCCATCACTGCTATGAATGCTGTAACCAAGCTCCGTGAACTCAGGGGGGGGAGGCTATCCACTCGGTTTATCGTCGTGCACCCACGGCAGGATATTTTTACTACGTTGTTCATTCGTGTTTTTCGCGCTGTTCATTGTTCATGCCGTTTACAGCGAGTTCTGGCACAGCTTTCGCACATTCCCTCCAGCCAGGATTGGAACTCGCCAAGCGACCTGAAATTCAATAACTCAGTCGATAATGATGATGATGATGATGATATGATGATGAGAGCCCGCTCCGTGAAATGCCAGCAGCTCCGAGTCCCCTCCACCAGAGACTGCCTCCCCCAAAACGTAACCGGATTTTTGTCATTAACGCAAAACGATTTCCCGCTCTCAAACTCAAGACACGCAACTGGGACGAATCTGGAGGCTTCTAAAACCCCGTAAGAAGATGTGCACGGTTCGATTTAAAGCTTTCGTGACTGCAGGGATTCATCTTCTTGGTTCTTTCGGTAAAGTCACGTAGAAGGGAAATAATCAAATCAAATAAATAAAACATAATAAAATAATTGTCACGACGTTTCGGCCACAACGCAAGCAGCCGTCTCGTTCAGACGCTGTCTTTCCGACAGACCTGGTCTTCACCTGAGGACGGCTGCTTGCGTTGTGGCCGAAACGTCGTGAGAATTATTTTATAATGTTTTATTTTTATTATTTTATTATTTCCATTCTACGTGACTTTACCGAAAGAACCGAGAAGCAGACGTGCACGGTGAAAATGTTCGGTCACACTCTAAAGGTCAAAGGTCAAAAGTCGTCCGTCGTCAATACCACAGGGCCGCTGGCTTCTGCCGGTCGTCACGAGTCGGAACTCGACTGTACAATTAACGTTACTCGGGTTCTGTGGTTGTCGTGCACGTAGACGGTTTCTCAAAATGTAATCAATCTCAAAAGTTACTGATTGGCCGTGTCGGGTGGTGGAGGGTTGCGACACATTTATAAATAACGCGATCTAACCCATGGATAATACTGGCCGCGAAAGCCTACGTGTTAAAAAGCAATCACGTTCATCTTGCAGTTTATGCCAATTGTGCATTCAACTCCAATTGGCCAGATATCTCGCTGAACTCGTAATGGCCAATAATTAAAGAATGTTGGTGCCCTGCATGGACTCGGCTAATATGTGGCGGCGCCAAAGGGGTCTTGCTGGCTGCGATTGCAAACATCGTCCTGACGATGCCCCTCATCGCAGATCCCACCACCACCACCAACACCACCACCCCGAGCCATTGGGGGGATCACTGCCCCCTGCAAGCACTGGATTTCCTTACATTGTATTCGCACCGGTCGCGGCAGATTGAACCTTTCTGCAATTGGCAAAGAACAGGATCGCCCAAATGCGACTTGCTCGCATCACAGCAGCGGTCTCTATGTGAACCTAGGGGGTCTCGTGTGAACTCGCGTCCACTCCGAGCCTTGCACCCGCGGTTCACGCTCGCCGTGCTCTGAAAGCCAGCGGCTTGGCTCCCAACTCGAGTGGGAAGCCAGGACGCTCACCCATCAAGCAGCTCCATGGTGGAGCCCACCACCTCACAGTGCACCACCAGCCGCCCCAGCAGCCGCGTGCGCAGCATCCCGCGGTACGTCTCCAGGTCGAAGTGCGGCGGGGTCAGGAGGTCGGGGGGCGCCTCGGTGACGACGGGGAGCAGGGTCGGCGTGGCGACGGCGCCGTCCGCGAGCGAGCGCACGAACCGGAGCGAGACCCTGCGGGATGCCAGCACCCCGGACTCGCTTAGCCGGGGCTCCAGGGCGCTCAGCAGGGAACGCTTCATGCGCTGGCGACACGAGGGACACGGCACACGAGCCGCACCCAAACATTTAGCACTGCTGATAGGTTTTTAACCTTTCAATTGGTACAAAACTGACACCTTTATACAAGGCATCATGTTTGCAATAACCACAACACAAGCAGTCAAAATGCAAACAAAAAGAAACAACTCTGATGATGATAATGATATGCACTGTCCTTGAAGTTGATTGGTCCACACCCGAGACAGCTTTTCTTAGAGCCCAGTCTCCATTGGTGTTGGACCAGATGACGCCAAAAGGCGTACAACTCAAAGACAGCGCACTATCAGAGTATTGAGAGCTCGGGGTAAGCATTTACACTATGAGACCTCCTTTACCAGTGGAAAAATATAGTAATAGGTTTTAACCCTTTCAACTGGTAAAAAACTGACACCTTTATACAAGGCAAAAATAATAATAATAACAGTTCAATTTATAACGAGCGCAAATTTGCAGACGTAGTGGCCGCAACTCAGAGGCGTGGAGCCAAGTTCAGAGTCGCTCGAAAGCGCGTGGGTTGTAGAGGTGAGTTAGTAGGTGTCTCTTGAAGGAGGCGATTGAGGTGATGCTGCGAATGTGCAGAGGGAAATCGTTCCAGACTGTTGGGGCTGCCACCGAGAAACGGCGCATAGACACGATGACCATCCTGGATCTTGGTATCAAGAGGAGGTCGTGAGTCGCGCTGCGCAGTTTTGTACCAGTTGAAAGGATAAAACCCTATTACTATATTTTGCCACTGGTAAAGGAGGTCTCATAGTGTAACTGCTTATTTTATCGCCAACTGGCCAGGTAGCTCGGCCGCAGAGCGAGGTGATCATCAGTTGCAGGGTTGCGAGGTCAAATCCCGGTTTGGGGGGTTGACTCAGCCTATCGGGGGAGATAGAATACCACTTTGTGGGGAAGTCAGACAAAATTGTTCTCTGGTTAGTCTCGTTTTTACCACAGGAATGCGGAATTTCCACCCCTGAGAATGAGCACCGCCTCAATGCTCATTTGAGCAGGAAAAGACTTTGACCACTGTCGCCGGTTCTTTCTCAGGCGAGTCCCTAATGGCAACACGACTTTACGCCAAAGTTTAATTCACACTGGACCATCTTTACGGGAGGTGACCCCGAGTCACAGACAGAGCCAATGCATTAAGACGTTCAACCTCGGTTGCAACGCATTCTAAACGACAGGAAATCCACGCCTCTCTCTCTCTCTTTCTCTCTCTCCCCGAGCGGCAGTCTCACCGGCTCCAGGGCCCACAGTATAGCCGGGGTGAGGGTGGGCGCGTCGCCTGGCCCACAGTTCAAACCCAGGTGGCACAGGATCTCGGCGAGAACTTTGCAGCGCGCTTCGCCGTCTGTCGCCAGGACCCCCTCGACTCCGGCCAGGGAGCCCGTCAGGTCGACCTAAGACAGGCCAACAAAGCACACACGCGCACACGTACACTGACGACGAGTACGCGCGCGCGAATCAACACGTGCAATGAATTAACGTAGAGACCCGGGGCGCGCACACGTGGGTGGACACACTGGCTCTCATGCACACTGAACACCGTGGCCTGTGCACACAGATGCCAAGCACTGCACTACTGCACTCCGTTTGTCAGTAGGCGTACAAAGACACACACACGCACGCATGGGTGCACACAAACAGGTGTACGCAATGATACAAGGGTACAAAGACAAAGCTATAGCCTTGACAGACTTTTTGGACAAGTGCTGTTAGAGAAGCACTGATGTTTGTTTAACTTCTTTCTGACCGTATGTAGCCAACCGTGCAAATCGGAGGTGCAGGGGAAGGACAATAATCTAAACACACAAAGCAGTTCTAAAGAAACTAGTTTTCATTTCTCAATGATTTCCTCTGGGAAAACTGGTTTCCTCCATAATGCAAAATTCTGAAGAAGGTTCAGCCAAATTTGCCAATGTAGGAACCTCCTGAAAAAGATTAGAAATTCGGTGTGAAGCTTCTCTCGATAAATATGGGAATATTAGTAACAGGCACACTGGTGTCAATATTAAGCTTGATTTGAAAGCCAGCACGGCACACAAGGGGGTGGGTGGCCAGCACCACGCCCGACCGCCTTGCAAAGGTACACAAACTCTATGCACATGCCGCTTTGCGCACGCGTGCACACGCACACACGCGGCTGTGTAGCGATGGAGACCTGGCAGAGCACCACGGCGCCGCCCTCCTCCCCGTAGGCCTGGTAGACGATCACGGCTTCCCCTCCAGACCCGGCCAATCGAGCCCAGACCTCCACGCACCCAGCATCCTCCAGGGCGGCCGTGACCTCCGCGCCGTCACCTCCGACCCCCACGATGACCCCGTCGGTGGGTGCGCTAAGGATGACATCGGGCTTGTCGCCGCCCCTCTGGAACCTGATTGGCTGCAGCAGAGAGGGGGGGGGAGGTGCATCTTTTGTGCACAAGGACAACGTGTACCAATGTACTTGTGGCCGCACCATCAGCCATGATCATTCCACTGCTGGATGAAGGCCTCCCCCCAAGCTGCCGCCATCGCTCGGTACCTGCGACGTAATGGGCCATCCACCTGCAGCGAGTCGATTTCAACGCTCCATCTCTCCCCCGGTGGGCCGTGTCCCCTGATACGTTCCACCACAGGGCTGCGACTCCCATCATTATCCTTGACAATCGTCCATCGTCTCTTCTGGGCAGCAGGCCCTGCCCAAGCCCACTCACTTTTCTCAACAGTTCTAATGACGTAAGGCCCCACTGGGCTAAGCAGCTCTGCTACAAGGACGACCACAGCTCAAGGCCGCAGCAGCAGTGACAGGACATCTCGGGGGGGAAATGCGCAAACGAGCAAGAGCAAAATGAAATATTTACACAAAACCCACACCAGGATAACACAGCAGTGCTTACGTACAAACCGCATTGTCCAAAGTTCATATGCTGGGTGAAAAATGAAAAATTAAATACATGCAGCCACAGACGGTCAGTTGCTGCACTGAATAACAAAATGAACATATTGTGCAATGTACTCAGTGACTGGGGGGGTCTGTGGACAGACCGATGTTTTTGAGTTGATGCCGTGCAGATGTTGCCCAGCATATTGAGTCACAAACGCCGACCCCGAGCAGTGCTCACGTACCCCGCGTACCCGGCGTGGCCCGTGCACACACGCTACCTGCGCCACGCGTGCGCCCTCCTCCTCCTCCTGCCCTCCTCCTCCCCGCCGCACGCCCACGCCACCGCACGAAGCGCGCGAGCAGAGCGCCAGCACGGCGCCGCCGCTGGCCGCGTACGCGAGGAAGCGCTCGCTCGTCTCCTCGGGCAGCGGCCGTGGCGACGCCAGCACCAGCAGCCGCGTGTGCTCGGGCCACGGGTGGGCCCGAGCCGGCGCCTCCTCCAGGCGGTAGACGGTGTAGTGGTCGGGGCGCAGCACCGAGCGGAGGGCGGCGCACGCGAGCACGAACCTGCCGCACGAGCAGAAGAGAACACGGAGGTACAAAGCCCGGACGTGAGTCGACAGCGCAGATGGCTGGAGGGGGATTCGGCCAATGAGGGCAGCAGAGGAGAAGGAGCGATCTCCCACTGAGCGGCAGGCCCGGCTGCTGGATCGGAAGGGGGCACACGAAGGGGAGCAGACTGAGAGGAGAGGGGCAAGGTGAGCAGGGGCGGGTCCTTGGAGGTTCTTGCAGACGGGGCGAGGGCGATTTTGTAGGCGATCGAGGGCTAGGGCCACGGGTTTACGAGGCTCGCGCGCCACGCCAAACGCACCTGCGGTCAGCGTCGGGCCCGTCCTGCCCGGTGTAAACCAGCACGTTGGGCGGCTTGTTCGACGACCCGTGACCCCGCGCTCGCGTTCCCTCCCGCGCCTCGCTTCCCGGCTCGTCCGGCCGCTCGTCCTCCGAACCGCTCTGCCGGCCGCCCCGCGGGTCTTCCCGGCCGTCCGCCCTGGGCGCGCCCTGGCGCTCGGGGTCCGTGTTGGCGGTCCGCTCGCAGTCGTGATGGTCGTCGTCGTCGTCGTCGTCGCTGTCGCAGTCTCGCGGGAGCTCCACGAGGTTCTCCATGGAGGCGGAGCGCACGGACTCGATGGTGCTGCTCTCCAGCCCGAGGCACTCGCAGCAGCTCGACAGGTGCAGGGGCCGGGCATCCTCGGGCTCCTCCCCCGTCGACGCCGCCGCCGCCGCCACACGCGGCTCGCCCACGTGGCAGCCGGCGCCTCTCGCATCGCCGAGCGGCCCGGCCATCTCTGCCGCGCCCTGATACAACCGGCAGCGGTGGCGTCAGCGTCGTGACGACGTTGTCGGTTAATATCCAATCTCAGAACGGATTCCGGGCGCCTCCCACATCGACCGGCAGCGACCGGTTCGGTGAGCTCAAATTTCGGGATTGCCAATTGTCATGGCCGACAGAGCATCGACAAAGGGTTGTGAAGTATTGTTGATGTTGCGCGCACACGTGTGTGTGCACGTGAGAGAGGCGGTGGCGAGCGATTGCCGCCGTTCATGTGTGTGACACACGGTGTCAAGGTGTACGTAAGTCCTATCACGGTTAACGTCTCGAGCAAAATAAAGCAACTTTGCTGCTTCTGCTTAATAAGTTTCACTTCCCTGAGCCATACGTGTCAAGGGAGCCAAAGTCCACGGGATTTAAGTGAAGGCTGGATTTCTTAACACGACTCTGACCCCACCCACCCAGGGGTGTGGGAGAGGGCTTCTCGCTCGGCCACTGGACAACAAACGTGTTTGTCAATCCACTGCTGGATAAGGGCCTCCCCCTACACCCTGTGGGTCGTGGTGGTTATGACCATACTTCACCGGGCTGATCGGAGTGGCCTGGTGAAAGTGGGGAGCACGTGAACGTTTGAGTGACCACCATGAATTCGGCAAGTCTGCAAGTCTAAGCTAGCCACGATTTAAATTTAAATCTGTGCACAAAGCCCCCAATACACACATACCGGAGATTGCGTGTCTACGAGTACATTCCACATGTGTGTGTGCGTAGTGTATGAGCATGTTAGTGTAGTCGCTCGGTGTGTCCCGTGTACCGTGCGTGACAGTGTTGTCTTAGGTAACAATTTACACAACTTCAGACTGGTGGTATGTGCAGCGCGTCCGGGAGATTGTTCCACGTTCAAACTCTACGCTCGCGCTACCAGCACGGAATCGCTTGTGAGAATCGATGTGATGGCGGTGAGCAGGAAGGGCCTCTCATGCCTGCATGATGAACAGCGAGAGCAAGTTGTGGCTGTAAAGTAGGCGACTGTCTGAAGGGAGACCAGGTATGAGAATACAATTCTTGAGTATCTACCCCCCTCGCACGCCAGGGGGGGGGTTTACTCCGGGCATTCCCGTCTCCTCCCACATGTACACACACTTCTTCGTAGAGTTGGGTAAACATCTACAGAGAGGATCACAGAGCTTGGACAACTGTTGGCATCGCAGCCTGGCTGTCTATCGACTCGTCTGTGGTTGCCTGCGCCTTCGCTGTTATGAGATAAAATCTCCGTGAATGAAGCCGTTTAAAATTCGATTCTCACCAAGTTTTCCTTTGCGTGCGTTTTTTAATTATTAGTGCTTGTGCACCGCTGCCAATGAAGTAACTGTAACATTTCACTCGATTCTGAACACCTATAGCTGTGCTCAGGCGGTCTTCTCGCTGATCGTGTATGGAGCGGTGCAGTGGGAGGCTTGACCTGGGCTCTGGGCAGTCGAGTGGCGGTGACCTCAGCCTCACAGGTCACCTCGGGGTCGCCTTTTGGTCTCGTTCCAACAGAACACGCTGGGTTGTGCCTGCAGAATACAGCAGCCATTGTCAACATGAGCAGCGATACCTAGACAGTATTACAGATCAGAGAGCTGGACTCTAACTAAGCAGCTTGAGAAGAATGTTGACATTTGAGGCCAGGTGTCGGAGATAAATGCTTGACATTTTCATGGAAAGACAGGAGAACCCATGCAGAGGTCAGGAAGGGAACGTAGCAATGCGAGTGTGGAGATGTGATGATTCTAGATTTGAAGCTTTCGTGACTGCAAGGATTCATGCTCTTAGTTTTTTCGGTAAAGTCACGTAGGTAAAAAATGCAATTAAAATTAATAAAAAATAAAACAATAAAAATCACAATTTTTATTATTATTATTATTTTATTGTTATTAATTTAAATTTCATTTTTTACCTACGTGACTTTACCGAAAAAACGAAGAGATGTGATGAGGCAATAGTGGCTGGGCTGGGTGGGAGGAGGGCCGATTGCCTAGAGAAGAGACACTGGGGTGGCCTCCACGGGTCCAGCGACCAAGGGACAGCCAAGGCCTAGGAGGAGGAGACGGTGGGACCCTGTATAGGCAGATTATTGGGGGTCGCGTGGCATCAATGACTTTGGTCACAATGACATCTTGGTCTATTGCCCCGTGGGTGGTTTATCCAGGATACGATTTTCCACAGTGGACCCCGTGCTGTGTACAAGAGAGTCCCGACACGCACGGTGTACACACACACGATGTACACACACACGGTGTACACACACACGACGTACACACACACACACACGCACGGTGGACACACACACACACGATGTACACACACACACGGTGTACACACACACACGATGTACACACACGGTGTACACACACACACGATGTACACACACGGTGTACACACACACACGGTGTACACACACACGATGTACACACACACACGGTGCACACACACACACGATACACACACACGGTGTACACACACACACGGTGTACACACACACACACGATGTGTACACACACACACGGTGTACACACACACACGGTGTACACACACACACACACGGTGTACACACACACACACGATGTGTACACACACACACGATGAACACACACACACGGTGTACACACACACACACACGGTGTACACACACACGGTGTACACACCCACGGTGTACACACACACACGGTGTACACACACACACACACACGGTGTACACACACACACGGTGTACACACACACACGATGTACACACCCACGGTGTACACACACACACGGTGTACACACACACACGATGTACACACACACACGGTGTACACACCCACGGTGTACACACACGCACGGTGTACACACACGCACGGTGTACACACACGCACGGTGTACACACACGCACGGTGTACACACACGCACGGTGTACACACACACACGATGTACACACACACACGATGTACACACACCCACGGTGTACACACACACACGGTGTACACACACACACGGTGTACACACACACACGGTGTACACACGCACGGTGTACACACACGCACGGTGTACACACACGCACGGTGTACACACACGCACGGTGTACACACACGCACGGTGTACACACACGCACGGTGTACACACACACACGGTGTACACACACACACGGTGTACACACACACACGGTGTACACACACACACGATGTACACACACACACGGTGTACACACACACTGTACACACACGCTGTACACACACGCACGGTGTACACACACACACGGTGTACACACACACACGGTGTACACACACACACGGTGTACACACACACACACGGTGTACACACACACACACGGTGTACACACACACACACGATGTGCACACACACACACGGTGTACACACACACACACGATGTGTACACACACACACGGTGTACACACACACACGGTGTACACACACGCACGGTGTACACACACGCACGATGTACACACACGCACGGTGTACACACACGCACGGTGTACACACACGCACGGTGTACACACACACACGGTGTACACACACACGGTGTACACACACGCACGGTGTACACACACGCACGGTGTACACACACGCACGGTGTACACACACGCACGGTGTACACACACGCACGGTGTACACACACGCACGGTGTACACACACGCACGGTGTACACACACGCACGGTGTACACACACGCACGGTGTACACACACGCACGGTGTACACACACGCACGGTGTACACACACGCACGATGTACACACACACACGATGTACACACACACACGGTGTACACACACACACACGATGTACACACACACACGATGAACACACACACACGATGAACACACACACACGGTGTACACACACACACGGTGTACACACACACACACGATGTACACACACACACGGTGAACACACACACACGGTGTACACACACGCACGGTGTACACACACGCACGGTGTACACACACGCACGGTGTACACACACGCACGGTGTACACACACGCACGTGTACACACACCCACGGTGTACACACACCCACGGTGTACACACACACACGGTGTACACACACGCACGGTGTACACACACGCACGGTGTACACACACGCACGGTGTACACACACGCACGGTGTACACACACGCACGGTGTACACACACGCACGGTGTACACACACGCACGGTGTACACACACGCACGGTGTACACACACGCACGGTGTACACACACGCACGGTGTACACACACGCACGGTGTACACACACACACGGTGTACACACACACACGGTGTACACACACACACGGTGTACACACACACACGATGTACACACACACACGATGTACACACACACACGATGTACACACACGCACGGTGTACACACACGCACGGTGTACACACACACACGATGTACACACACACACGGTGTACACACACACACACACACGGTGTACACACACACGGTGTACACACCCACGGTGTACACACCCACGGTGTACACACACACACGGTGTACACACACGCACGGTGTACACACACACACGATGTACACACACACACGATGTACACACACACACAAGGTGTACACACACACACGGTGTACACACACACACGGTGTACACACACACACGCACACACAGCGTATGCGCACCTGTGCAAGACTTGGCACCCGACAGCTTCTTCAGAGCTTTCGAGTTGCACTTTAGGAGGGCCCGCTTCAGTGCAGAGGAAGCCCTCTAAGTCCACGGCTGTCACACACAGGCACGCACAAACACACAAACACACAAACACACAAACACACAAACACACAAATACACAAACACACAAACACACAAATACACAAACACACAAATACACAAACACACAAATACACAAACACACAAATACACAAACACACAAACACACAAACACACAAACACACAAACACACAAACACACAAACACACAAACACACAAGTACACAAACACACAAATACACAAACACACAAAAACACAAACACACAAACACACAAATACACAAACACACAAATACACAAACACACAAATACACAAACACACAAATACACAAACACACAAATACACAAACACACAATACACAAACACACAAATACACAAACACACAAATACACAAACACACAAATACACAAACACACAAATACACAAACACACAAATACACAAACACACAAATACACAAACACACAAATACACAAACACACAAATACAACGATCGCCCGTATAGACTGAACAGACTGTTGGGGCAAGTGCTGTTAGCGAGTTGCACCTATGAAGGCCGGCACGGCACACGAGGCGGTGGGTGGCCAGCACCACGCCCGGCCGCCTTCGTCTCCCCAGTGATGATGTTTACACACCGCATCAGGTAATCATTTGAGGCCGAGTCGACCTAGGGGAGGCCCAGGATCAGTTCAGATAATAGTCACTGGGTGTTGGCCTGTGAGCGGGGATCGAACTCGGGTTACCGGGTTTGTAGTGCAGCACGCTAACCACTACACTTACTGCTCCCTGCATGAGTACAGAGACAAAGAAACAAAGATCCCCCATACAGCCTGTAACAGACTGTTGGGGCAAGTGCTGTTAGCGAGCACCTATGAAGGCCGGAATGGCACACGAGGGGGTTGGTGGCCAGCATCACGCCCGGCCGCGTTTGTCTCCCCAGTGGCGCTGTTTACACAATGCACCAGGTACTCATTTGAGGCTGAGTTGACCTAGGGGAGGCCCAGGACCGACTCAGATACTCGTCACTGCTCCATCTCGAACTCGGGTCGCCGGGTTTGTACAAACACACTAAACGTTTTAATCTTACCGGGTAAGGCCCATTGAGCTATGTAGCTCTTATTCAGAAACGACCCGGCCACAAATGATAGCTCAACAAAGAGGATCATCACGTGGAAATGTACAGCAGCCAAATAAACGCGTGATGTGGATTATAAATGTGAAGGGAAAAACCGGAGGACCCGGAGAAAAATCCACGCCATGACGGGATCGAACCCACGACCTCCTGCACACCAGGCGAGGTAGTTAACATCTCCTAGCCACCGTGATGATGATGAGAGAGAGAGAGACACGCAAACTCCAAATATACAGCAGCAGGCGTCAGGGTTAGGGATCGAACCCACGACCTCCTGCACACCAGGCGAGGTAGTTAACATCTCCTAGCCACCGTAATGATGATGAGAGAGAGAGAGAGAGACACGCAAACTCCAAATATACAGCAGCGGGCGTCAGGGTCGGGATCGAACCCAAGACCTCCTGCATACCAGGCGAGGTAGTTAACATCTCCTAGCCACCGTGATGATGATGAGAGAGAGAGACACGCAAACTCCAAATATACAGCAGCAGGCGTCAGGGTCGGGATCGAACCCACGACCTCCTGCATACCAGCCGAGGTAGTTAACATCTCTTAGCCACCGCGGCACCCATCTGTGTACCACAAGCAGACACGAGGCAGACGCCCTCAACTCGGCCCTCCGGCGTGTGGTTTAAAAAAAAATGACAGTGGCCGACAACAGCCCCCACGGCAATGTCATGGAACGACCTATGGCTGTCATGCAGAGATGTAGCCTCACGGCAGGAGATGGGGTTGCAGTGTGTTGTGTGTGTGTGTAGTCAGATTTAGTTGACTGTTAAATATGAGACTAAGCAGGCGGTGCGGTAGTGTAGCGGTTAGCGCGCTGGCTACCCGAGTTCGATTAGCGCTCACGGCCAACACCGGTGACGATTATCTGACCCGGTCATGGGCCTCCCCTAGGACGACTCAGCCTCAAATGAGTACCCGGTGCGGTGTGTAAACATCGCCACTGAGGAAACAAAGGCGGCCTGGCGTGGTGCTGGCCACCCACCCCCTCGTGCGCCGTGCCGGCCCTCATAGGTGCTGCTCGCTAACAGCACTTGCCCCAACAGTCTGTCAAGGCTACGCGGGGGACCTTTGTCTCCGAAGACGCGACATTGTTCGCCGGCGCCGACTCACAGATGAGCGAGTGGGCCTCCTCCCCCGAGTCGAGCTGGAGCCCGACGGTGAGGAAGGCCGCTCCCAGCCTCGCGAAGGCCTCTTCCGTGGCTTCGGCGAGGACGCGGCGTGGCTCCCCGAGCCTCAGCGCCAGCGGCACGCAGCACCGGGACCACAGTGCCGCCGCGCCGGCCTGCGGGGCCTCCCCGCCGGGGACCGCCCCGGCCGACGGGGAGCGAACCTCGACCACGAAGGTGACGAGGTCGGGGCCCCGGGCCCGCGGGGCGCCGGTCCTGATCCACCCGCTCACGTCGACGCGCACCTGCGGCAACACGGAGACATCGACACAGCCATCATCACCCCCCATCACACACACAGCCATCATCACCCCCATCACACACACAGCCATCATCACCCCCATCACACACACAGCCATCATCACCCCCATCACACACACAGCCATCACTCCCATCACCCACACAGCCATCATCACCCCCATCACCCACACAGCCATCACCCACACAGCCATCATCACCCCCATCACACACACAGCCATCATCACCCCCATCACCCACACAGCCATCATCACCCCCATCACCCACATCACCCACACAGCCATCATCACCCCCATCACACACACAGCCATCATCACCCCCATCACACACACAGCCATCATCACCCCCATCACACACACAGCCATCACTCCCATCACCCACACAGCCATCATCACCCCCATCACCCACACAGCCATCACTCACACAGCCATCACACACACAGCCATCACCCACACAGCCATCACACACACAGCCATCACACAGCCATCACTCACACAGCCATCACTCACACAGCCATCACACACACAGCCATCACACACACAGCCATCACTCACACAGCCATCACACACACAGCCATCACTCACACAGCCATCACACACACAGCCATCACCCACACAGCCATCACACACACAGCCATCACTCACACAGCCATCACACACACAGCCATCACCCACACAGCCATCACACACACAGCCATCACCCACACAGCCATCACCCACACAGCCATCACACACACAGCCATCACACACACAGCCATCACACACACAGCCATCACTCACACAGCCATCACACACACAGCCATCACCCACACAGCCATCACACACACAGCCATCACACACACAGCCATCACTCACACAGCCATCACCCACACAGCCATCACACACACAGCCATCACACGCACAGCCATCACTCACACAGCCATCACACACACAGCCATCACACACACAGCCATCACACACACAGCCATCACTCACACAGCCATCACACACACAGCCATCACACACACAGCCATCACCCACACAGCCATCACACACACAGCCATCACACACACAGCCATCACACACACAGCCATCACTCACACAGCCATCACACACACAGCCATCACACACACAGCCATCACCCACACAGCCATCACACACACAGCCACCACTCACACAGCCATCACCCACACAGCCATCACACACACAGCCATCACACACACAGCCATCACCCACACAGCCATCACACACACAGCCACCACTCACACAGCCATCACCCACACAGCCATCACACACACAGCCACCACTCACACAGCCATCACACACACAGCCATCACACACACAGCCATCACACACACAGCCATCACTCACACAGCTGCGAGGACTTCAACTCCACTGCTGGATGGATGAGAGGGAGGTTGGTGGGGGGGGGAGGTTGGTGGGGGCGGGGCAGGTTGGTGGGGGGGGGAGGTTGGTGGGTAGAGGTTGGTGGGGGGATAGAGGTTGGTGGGGGGGGAGAGGTTGATGGGGGGGGGGCAGGTTGGTGGGGGGGGGCAGGTTGGTGGGGGGGGGTTGGTAGGGGGGGGAGGTTGGTGGGGGGAGGTTGGTGGGGGGAGGTTGGTGGGGGGGGAGAGGTTGGTGGGTACAGGTTGGTGCGGGGGGGGTTGGTGGGGGGGGGAGAGGTTGGTGGGGGGGTGAGGTTGGTGGGGGGGGGGTTGGTGGGGGGGGTTGGTGGGGGGGGTAGCCACCCACTGTCCCCACTCACGCCGTCTAGATCACTTTGCTTGACCATACTTCACCAGTCTGGTCAGTGCGGGTTTGTGCCGGGAACACCGCTCCCCTCCCCCCGCCCGCAACTAAGGTCAAGGTGCCAGGCTAGGTGCACTCTGCTCACCTTGGGCTGCACGAGCTCGCACACGCGGCCCTGCCCGCGTCCCCCCGGCGTGGGGCAGTCGGGTCGAGACGAGAGGGAGAGACTCGCCGAGTCGACCACGGAGCGACGCAGGGCGACGAGGATTGCCTCGGGAGACGACGACGACGCCGAGGAGGAGGAGGAGGCAGCAGCAGTAGCAGCAGCGAGACGTCGCATCCTGAAGAAGAGGTAGACGTAGCAGGCGGTGAGTAGCATAGCGGGGGTGGTTGCCGGCTGCTGGTGACGCTGGCTGTGCTGCTGGTGGTGCTGGTCGCGATGATCATGGCCAGAGAGGGCCCAGGTCGCATGCACCGCGGGTGGTGGAGGTGGTGCTGGTGGTGGTGGTGCCCTCTTGTGGGTGGTGCTGGTGGTGCTGGTGCTGGTGGTGGTGGTGCCCTCTTGTGGGTGGTGCTGGTGGTGGTGGAGGTGGTGCTGGTGCTGGTGGTGGTCCCCTCTTGTGGCTGGTGGTGGTGGTGCTGGTGGTGGTGCTGGTGGTGGTGCTGGTGGTGGTGGTGCTGGTGGTGGTGGTGCCCTCTTGTGGGTGGTGCTGGTGGTGGTGGTGCTGGTGGTGGAGGTGGTGGTGCTGGTGCTGGTGGTGCCCTCTTGTGGGTGGTGCTGGTGGTGGTGGTGGTGTCCTCTTGTCGGTGGTGCTGGTGGTGGTGCTGGTGGTGGTGGTGGAGGTGGTGCCCTCTTGTGGGTGGTGCTGGTAGTGTAGTGGTCACAGTGGTGGGGAGCGGTGGTGCAGCGGTTAGCGCTGTGAACCCGGCCACGTGAGTTCGATTGCTGCTCAAGGGCAACACCGGTGACGATTATCTGAAGCGGTCCTGGGCCTCCCCTAGGTCGACTCAGCCTCAAATGAGTACCTGGTGCGGTGTGTAAACATTGGCAGTAGGGGGACAAAGGCGGTCGGGCGTGGTGCTGGCCACCCACCCCCTCGTGTACCGTTCCGGCCTTTGTAGGTGCTCGCTAACAGCACTTGCCCCAACAGTCTGTTAAGGCTATACGGGGGATCTTTGTTTGTAGTGGTCACAGTAGGGGGCACAGGTGGTGCATCAGCCAGTCATCTCGGTCATCTCGGTCAGTCGACCCGTGGCACCTGCTGGGTCTGCCCCGTGACCTCCTGCCAGGGGGCGTTCGACACTTCACGTGGCCTCAAGGTGCACGTGGCCTGGCACAAACCTCGTGGTGACGTCACCGCCACTTAGTGGCGAATGGCGATTGTTGTTGTAGTGGTCAGCGATTCGCTGTGCTACGAACCTGGCGACCTGGGCAACACCAGGTGACGATTATCTGAAGCGGTCCTGGGCCTCCCCTAGGTCGATTTAGCCTCAAATGGGGAGACAAAGGCGGTCGGGCGTGGTGTTGGCCACCCACCCCCTCGTGTGCCGTGCCGGTCTTCACAGGTGCTACTCGCTAACAGCACTTGCCCCTAGTCTGTTTAAGGCTATTCGGGGGATCTTTGTCTTTGCCCTCTTGTTAACAAGCCCCCGTTAACAGAGGCCCACGCCAAACTCGGACGAGATGACAAATTAAGAATATCTATAACACAGGTGTTTTTTTGGGAGGGTTAGATCGCGTAAATATAAATGTTGTCGTTAAACCCGCCAGCACCCCCGACACAATCAATCAGTGACGTTTGTCACGTAAACACAACATTTACCTGGCCGTGACATAATTGTGGATTTGCTCTCCAACACACCGGTGTGCTGTACTCGTGACGAATTGGCATGTTTTTTTATTTTACGATCATGTGACAAACCTTACTAAATTGACTGGTCGTGGGTTCGATCCCAACCCTGATGCCTGCTGCTGTAGATTTGGAGTTTGCGTGTCTCTCTCTCTCTCATCATCACGGTGGCTAGGAGATGTTGACTACCTCGCCTGGTATGCAGGTCGTGGGTTCGATCCCGACCCTGACGCCTGCTGCTGTAGATTTGGAGTTTGCGTGTCTCTATCTCATCATCATCACGGTGGCTAGGAGATGTTAACTACCTCACCTGGTATGCAGGAGGTCGTGGGTTCGATCCCGACCCTGACGCCTGCTGCTGAATATTTGGAGTTTGCGGTGTCTCTCTCCCCGTGGTCGCGTGGATTTTTTTCCAGCTCCTCCGGTTTTTCCCTCCACTTTAAGAATCAACATCACGCGTTTATAGTATTTGGCTGCTGTACATTTCAAAATGATGAACCACATCGTTGAGCTATCATTTGTGGCCAGGTCGCTTCTGAAATAGCTCAGTGGGCCTTATGTGTTTAAATTAAAATATAGTTTTAAAATAGTTTAAATACGTTTCCCATGGATAATCCTTACTATTCAACCACGAGTCTCATTGGCAGTTTTCAATTGCTTGCCTGCCACTGAATATTGAGTGTATACCCGCGGACGAGATGGGGCGATGGAATCGGCTCATGTTCAGGTTCTGGGTGGATTATTACTTTGTAGGATCGTGAGAGGCCTTCATCCAGCAGTGGATTGACCATGACTGATGATACACAAGTGACAATAAAGGGTGATCAGTGTACAAGGGTGGTGCAGATGTCGTGACCCCCAAACATTTATTTTTCAAACTCTTTGGTTCTTTCGGTAAAGTCACGTAGGTATCAAATAACATAAATGAAACCTGATGTGATAGACAAAAACTGATATCAGATTTGGAATCAGCACCCCAAAATTACATTAAAACCGTTGGAATACCTCATGTCAGAAAAAGTGTGTTGACCAGTGATAATCAATGCACCTGCTGGTCTGCTTCAACTGGTTATTCCCGATTCCAACTTTCCGTATGTAGCCATTTTTACTGTGGCATAAATTGGAATGTTGCGAGGTCAAATCGTGGTCCTTATTTATTTAGTGTGTGTTCGCACCAAGCACTGATCCACGCCGAACTCCATCTCTCTTCCACCATACAGCAAGCCGATCCATCGAGTGCTCGTGCCAGTAATCCCAGAGGGGTTTACGAGACTTGAGACGAACATGTCCAGGGGCAGTTACCGAGTTCCTCGCAGATGGGCAGGATCGGGTGTAATATGATACACGGTTGAGTTCGCAGACTGTTCAGGCACCTCTGCAGATAACCGAGGGGTGCAATGTGATGAAAAAAATTAGCAGGACCCTCCTGAAAGTCTTGAGACTGAGCTTTCCCTGGGTAATAATGTAGCAATGTCTGATGAGTAAATAGTTTACTGTGCACACTTTAATAATTCACGAGACAAATGGTTCTACTCTAGAACCGCCCCTCATGGCAGCAGACCCAACGCACTCGGGGAAAACCAAACGCAGTCCTGACGTCCTCACTCGCCACAAGTGCCATCACACACACACGAGCCTCGACTCATTACCAATGAGAACTTTATTGGATCAAGACGGCAATGTACAGCTTGGCCGGTATCTATCATACAGGATCACGATTCTCACGCTGGGCAGTCAGTCGTACTGCACAGGGGACAGCTGCTGGGAGTGAATTCCAAAGCTTCTACGAAGCCCGTGGGAGTGTGATCATTAGCCCAAACTAAAGCGTCTTGATGCAACCAGAGGACGCGAGTGATACGTGGCTTGGCGCCGCCCCCTGCCCGGAACAAAAGGAATGCACGTTCACGTTATTCCGTCAAAAGATAACTGCTGGCAATAACTCGGCACAATCACTGGTAATGGCAGGCAGGCAGGCAGGCCCACCACGTTGAGTGGGGGTGACGCCACGGCTCGGTAAACGGACTGCACCGCGTACCGATCGTACACCGATGCACGTGAACAGGTCCGCGCCCCTGGCCACGAACATATTCGCCCGTACGGTTGCACACGAGCACGGCCCGATAGCCTGGGTCACTGCAGCGAGGCCATCGCTGCAGACAATTTCAATGTTGCTTTTAAAAACTGCAGAAGCAAACATTGACGTCTGACGCTGTTAATTGATCAACTACAGTAAACGAGTGCTGAAAGATGCAAATCCTTAGACGGCTAAAGAATCGGCCGGTGGTGTCTTCGAGGAGTCCCGGAGAGGCTAGTTCGATTCCAGAGCTCACGATTGCCGGGACTACAAGGTGCCGCGTCTTCCATCACCCTGGAGCATTGGTCACTGTTAAATAAATAACTCCCAAAACAATTCTGCAGATCTGCATCTCATGTAGCGATGCTCTATATTTATTGGGTGACCAGCTGCCAGATTGAGTTACATCGGAGCCGACACCAGTGAGGCACGGACACCTCTGCTCCCGCCTGCCCCACCTTGACGTGGACTCCGGCTGACTTGGCCAAGAGAAATGTTTGGTTCTCCACTTAAATTAAGATCAACAATTCCCTTTGATTTGTGCTCATAGCTTATTCTGGGAAATTACCTCAACGCAATATTCAATTATTCGCAAAATCAGGCTTGGCTTGCGCACAACTTATCAATGTGACATCAGCCCTTATATTAAAACGATTCGTTTTACCCTAGCCCAATTTATCCCAGCCCTAAAAGCCTGCCCCCCCCACCCTAACACTCACTAACCACATTATTGCTTTACACTTCATATATCTGTGTGAAAACTCGTGAGGTTGGTAAATGTCGAATGAGGTGGCACCGATTGGCTGCACGAATAAAAGGCAGAAGTAGCAGGGCTCCATGCCCTCCGAACAGATCACTTCACTGCAGAGGTCGCACACGGGTTTCGATTCCTTACCCGTACCCGGCCGCACCAGGATCGCAAATGGGTACCCGTATCCGTAACCGGCCGGGTACGGGTAGCCGTTCCCTACCCGTACCCTACCCGAAATGAGTGACTCACGGCTACTCACCAGTGACTCACGGCCTACCCGTACCCGTACCCGGCCGCACCAGGGTCGCAAACGGCTACCCGTACCCGGCTGGGTACGGGTAGCCGGGTAAGGTACGGGTATCGGGTACCCGGTTGCGACCTCTGCTTCACTGCCACCCCATTGCCACAGCCAGAGACCTGCAAGGGCAGCCAAGATGGGCTGTGATTTCAAGCCGAGTCAGTTCTACCACACGAAGCAAACTTGGGAAGAATGAAATCTAGAGGGATGGTTCTTGGCAAGCTGTGACGATTCTAACAACATAAAACAGGGATTGCATTTCCCTCCCTCTAAGAAAATCTACTTTGATCCTTTTTTCCCTCCAAATGAACGCATTTATCCAAAAGCAACAGTCAGCTGACAACGTTTTAAAGAAAAATCTTCCTTTTCTAAATGTGGCCCCTTGTGGAGGAGAGTGGCTGAGTTGGAAGGACCTGAACAGGTGGCTCTGCCAAACCCGACCGTCAAACCTCCAAAACGCAGCTTCCATTTTTAAAGCTATCAATGACAACTCTTCTAGGACACGTGAAGGCGAACCTGCGATCATCACTTACAATATACCACCGTCAAATAATCATAAAACTAAAAATTATTGGCTAGACATGACAGCCATGTGCAAACATTGATCCGAAGGAGAGTGCTGCAATAAGTAAACACGAAGGACTCGCACACCAAATGGGCAAACGGGCGCCGCTGTACGGGGAAGGGGGTGAACGGGGACCGTCATCCCCATCCGTGCACTCCGCATTCACTCCAACGCGCCCTGACAAATGTTTGCGCTGAGGCCTACGTGGCCTTAGGGACGAAACTGAAGCCGGCTCTCCTTTCGCTATGGATAATCACAATCGCGCACAGCGCTGGATTAACTTTTGTGTTTTTTTGTACCAAGTACGCTTGTAACATTCTAGATTTGAAGCTTTTGTGACTGCAAGGATTCATACTCTTAGTTTTTTCGGTAAAGTCACGTAGGTAAAAAATGAAATTAATAAAAATAAATTAATAAAAATCACGACGTTTCAGAGGCAGCACAAGTCTCCGTCATCAGGTGGGACCGTCACAGCCAGATTTGCTGTATCAAGTGAGCTTGTATTTAAGAACTTGCATCTTGGAATCCCTGCCTCACTTGATACAGCAAATCTGGCTGTGACCGTCCCACCTGATGACGGAGACTTGTGTTGCCTCCGAAACGTCGTGATTTTTATTATTTTATTTTTTATTAATTTCAATTTCATTTTTTACCTACTTGGTGACTTTACCGAAAAAACGAAGAGTACGCTTGTAACAGTGATAATACCGAAAGAACCAAAGAGTAATAATAGTGGCGTTGGTGAAAAGCTGTCACCTGGTCATCCGGCGCCGACTCCTTGCCGAGACTTATCTTGAAGTGTCCGATTCGTAAACAGTTTTTACCAAGTACCAATTTAAAAATAAAAAATTGTGTCAAGTATTTCCCAAAAATATTATGAAGCGTTATGATTACCTTAAAAAAAATTGGTATGCGGTAAGACGGTTTAAAAATCAGAAGCCTACCGTTTCAATCGGCAGGGTTTGGTGATCATGTAATTATATCGGAGATTATGTAGCGCACGTGCGCCTGCCAAATCAACGGACGCTTCCTCGTAAGCCACAGCGCACGCTGCTTCCCGCCTGCCGCTCATTGCTGGCAGCGCTGCCGAGCGCAATCCAGTGCCGCACTTCCTCGCGCCACGTGGGTCAGCCGTGGCTACTTTGGGCCCTGTAAACATTGGTTTCTCAGTTGGCACTTTCATCGCATCACAGACCAAGCGCCCAAACTAAAGCGCGGCGTACGAACACCACGGCAGCAGGTGGCATCGCGACCGTGGCTCCACGCGTGGCACAAAGTCCCATTCTAAATGTGTTTGGAGTGATTTGTTAAGTCACCCAGGATTTCAGCACTGACCCGCCTGACGCTAACTCTCGAAAGTACGACGCCGGAGAGAATTGTAATATTGTCCAGCAGGCTCAAAACATGCGGGGGGGGGGGGGGGGAATGATTCGGTGACGTGGCCGTCGGATACACGTGTGGGTCGCCCCTTGCTTTGGCAGCGCCGGGCGCGGAGTTGTGAATGCGGACTGTGGATCCCAGCAGCGACACCGCGCGCACACATGCACACACCCACACACACACCAGACTCGCACACGCACGCACGGCACCTCCTAGTGAGGCTCGCCTGACACTATTACACAAGTAAAATATTAACGAGACCCAACCCTGCGTTGCTCACATAGAGCGGCGGTGGCAACGTTCCACCACAGCGAACCCGCAGCAGCGAGTCGCACTGAATGGGTCCCATCCCAGCTCTCTATACTGCCAGTGTATATACCGTATACCGTCAGTGTATATACATGTGTATGGCCATTACCGGGCAAAATGACTGCTCTTACTGTCCACAAACCAACTGGCTTAGGCCCTTGATATGCACTCAATTACCATTTCATCATTATCATCATCATATTTATATTAATCATAAAAAAACAAATGACTAGAACATTTCATAAATATGAACAATTCCCCCGTTTGTGCTGCTAACAAGGGATGTCGTGCGGCAAGCACCACACCCGGCAACCCGACCGATGTGCGCGCTCGGCTGCCGGTTTTGAAACCCACGTTTTGCCATGGACCGATTTTGTTCGAAGCAAAAATATCGTAAGAAAAAAAGTTTCCCCAAAAATTGTAATAAAGTACGAGATCAACCCTTTTTGCAAATCGGTCCACCGTAGCCGGGTTTCTTTTTTTTTATCAAATCGGCAGCCTCCTACGGCCAAGATCGGCCAGGCAGGCGGGTACGGCGCACGCCAGCGAGGGACAGTGGAATGACTGGTGGGGGAAGGAGGCCGGGGCCGTGCCGCCGCGGTCGTGGGCCACGATGCGAGGAGAGGGGTGTGGGGAGCCGGGAGCCCGCGGGGCTTTCTATCGTTTGGGTGGGGGGATGCGAGGGGGTTGGGTGGGTGGGGGGGGGGCGTCGTGGCCCCAGTGCTTGCGGGGACCGGGCAGAGGAGACGGACGGACGGTGGTGACGAGGGCTACTCGCGACCGTCCTGGAAGAGCTGCAGGTCGAGCCTCGCCGTGATTTCGCCCGTCGGGACTTCGTGCAGCAGCAGCCTCTTGCTGATGGGGCCCTTGGTGTCCTGGTCGCGCTTGATGTCGGCCACGCGGATCTCCGTGCGACCCAGGAAGTCTGTGCGCGCAAGCGGATACCACCACCGACGCCGTCGTCGTCACAACCTCAACCGCCATCACCGCCACCGTCACCACGTCAACGACCATTACCACCACCACTACCATGACTGTCAACAGCACCACTAGCAAGCACAGTGACCACCACCACTACCATGACTGTCAACTGGTGAGCGTGTGATCTGTGTGTGTGTGTTATGTATGTGGGTGTACTATGTGTGGTGTGTAGTGAATGTGGTATTTGGTGTATGTGCCTGCAGTACATTTTGTGTGCTGGTATGTCTAAGTGGTGTTTGTATGAGATGCATGTTGTGTAGATTGTATGCGTGTAGATGGTTTGTGTGCATGCTGTTATATTTGCAAGTGGTGCGTATGTATGGTATATTGTACGCGGTCTGCGTGTGTGTGCGAATAGTATATCTTGTGTGTGGCTTGTGTTTGTCGTGTACTTGTGTGGTGTGGCGTACGCGCGCGGTGTGGTGTGGCGTGCGGTGTGGCTGTGCGGTGTGGAGCGCCTTGCTCGGTTACCGTCCGGTGAGAACTGGTCGCGCTCGAACACGGTGATGCACAGCACGTCCTGCTCCAAGTCCTTGACAAAGAACTGGCAGTTTGAGTTCCACTTGGGGTTCACGCTGTCCTGTATCGTCTTGGTGATGTGGCACTGAGCACCCATGGTCACCTCGCAGTACGGGTTACTCTTCCCTGCGCTCGCCACACACACACGCACACACCGTGCATTCTGTCGCGTGGCGGGGAGTCCGTCGGCAATGTTTCTCTGTCCGTGTCGAGGTTGGCGAACGAGCCGGTGGACGGCTTCATGAGTCGCCCGGCGAACATCTGGAACGCGGCCGGGCGAGGGATGGAAGTGGGAAGTGGGGGTGACTGAGTGTTGTTGCGTTTTTTAAGAACCTGTTGGATTGCATTTCTGGGGTCACAGGATGAATTCCATTTTGTACCTCCTACAGAAGCGCGTGTGTGGGGCAGTGATCGGTGATGCGTACTGATAGATCTACAGACTCGCGTACAAAGCAATGCAAGGGACAGATATAATAGGTCACTGCCAGCGACTCCTTAGCTCCACGTTCACGGAGCAGGCGGTGGTTTAAGTGCAGAGCGCGGTGTCTGTGAGACGAGGGACGGCCGCTTAGTCACGGAGTTTGGAGTTTCGATGCGTGACTCGCTGGGGACATCACAGGCCTCATCCCAACCACCCTCAGCGCGTGCGACCAGGTCGTGGTGCCGCGCCGGCCTCACCGTTGGAGCGGCACGCCTTGAGCTCGATGCCCTCCACGATGTTCACCATGAGCCGGCCAATCCCGGTCGTCCGCTGGGTCCGAGCTGCTCACGCACGCGTCAACACGTGTGAGCGGTTAGCGCTATGCTGCGCTACAAACGCGGCGTGTGACCTCTCTACCCTGGTACACACACAAACTCTCTCTGTATGTGTGTGCTCTCTACCCTAGTACACACACACACGCACACTCTGTGTGTGCGAGTTCTCTACCCTGATACACACATGCACTCTCTGTGTGTGTGTGTGCTCTCTACCCTGCTACACACACACACTCTCTGTGTGTGTGTGTGTGACCTCTCTACCCTGGTACACACACACACACGCACTCTCTCTGTGTGTGTGTGTGAACTCTCTATCCTGGTACACACACACACTCTGTGTGCGAGTTCTCTACCCTGGTACACACACACACTATCTGTGTGTGTGTGTGTGCTCTCTACCCTGGTACACACACACACGCACTCTCTCTGTGTGTGTGTGTGAACTCTCTATCCTGGTACACACACACACACACTGTGTGTGTGTGTGTGTGCTCTCTACCCTGGTATACACACACACACGCACTCTCTCTGTGTGTGTGTGCTCTCTACCCTGGTACACACACACGCACTCTCCCTGTGTGTGTGTGTGTGAACTCTACCCTGGTACGCACACACACGCACTCTCTGTGTGTGTGTGACCTCTCTACCCTGGTACACACACACACACACGCACACTCTCTCTCTGTGTGTGTAACCTCTCTACCCTGGTACACACACGCACTCTGTGTGTGTGTGAGCTCTCTATCCTGGTACACACACACACTCTGTGTGCGAGTTCTCTACCATGGTAGACACACACACTCTCTGTGTGTGTGAGTTCTCTACCCTGGTATGCCTTCTCTCTCTTCTTTTTCTCCGTCTCGATGTAGAGCTCCGATGCCGCTTTGATCTTCTGCACCCACGCGGTCCTGTGTGGTGAACACGCGTGTGTAGTGAACACGCGTGTGTAGTGAACACGCGTGTGTAGTGAACACGCGTGCGTGGTGAGCACGTGTGGTAAACACGTATGTGTGTGGTGGGTGTGTGTGGTGAACACGTTATTTTAATGGTTTGTGGTACATGTGTATGTATTATAAATGTGTAGTGTATGTTTGGTGTATATTTATGCGTGTGGTGTATGTGGGTTGTGTGTGAATGAATGGGGTAGAATGTGTAAAATGTCCACGTGCAGAGATTTTTTTAACTTTCGTAATTTTTCGTTTTTCCTCCAAACATGCCACTTGTCCGATCGGCATCACATCATGAAACAAGAATTGCACTTTCGGGAACTCTGCATTTGAAGTGCAGAAAATCAAAAAAATTACAAGCTGGGTGTCTCAGCCGTAGAGCAAGCGGCTTGCAATCGTAAGGTTGCGAGTTCAAATCCTGGTTGGGTATTGACTCAGCCCTTCATCCCTCCGAGGTGGATAAAACGAATACCAATTTGTGGGAGAACTCAACAGTGGCCATCCTACGGAGAGACTCGCCCCTGCCATAAAGATGCCGAATTTCTACCACTGGCCCAAAGGTTGTGAACGGGAGATGAGAATCGATGCCCCAATGTTCATTCGCGCAGGAAACCCCTCTGGACGTGCGTCTCGCGAGAGGCGGGGTCCGGTGCACCCCCCGTTCTCGGGGGTGCACCGCCAGCCGAGGGTGGCGCGCGCCCCAAACCTCTCGTTGATGTTTTCGGCACGCAGGGTGTAGACGCGGTCGATGTGGGAGATGTGGAACGCCGGCTCGTCGCCCGACGGGTCCGAGGGAAGCTTCACCAGCACCTCGTTGAGGAAGATGGGCTGTGAGCGGGCAGCGGGCAGCGGGCATCCACGGACGCAGGGGGACATGGGGGCAATGACACGGGCGCGGCACAGACGCTTTATAAAACGGCCGTGGGGCGGCAGAGAACTTCTCCCGTGGCTTCATCTCTCCCGGGATAAGTTTCCGGGTTGCTCGTCGACTGCGGTAGATGGCCACAGCCGTGGTGAGAGGTATTCTGGATGTGGTGTGCCGGATGTGGCCTCTCATCAGCGCCAGGCTGGGAGCCACAACCGTCACGGATTAGGCATCGATTCCTACCCGTTGTGAATCTACACGGGCACCAGTAAATACAACAAAAGCTAAACGGTGTGCAAAGCAGCATGCAAAGATTCGCGCTTGCAATTAAACTCAGTGTCAGGAAGAAGAACAAGAACACGTGGCTCAGAGAACTCTGCATGCACCACACTGACTGTGAAATCAGGTCCGTGGGCTTGGGCAGGACATGCCGAGAGAGGGCGGATGACCGGCGAACGAGGGGAATGAAGGAGCTGCAGCCAAAGGGGAGAGCGTTCACCGCGCTGACGGAGCTACGCCAAGAGAGAGTCGGAGCTACGCCAAGAGAAAGTCGGAGCTACACCAAGAGAGAGTCGGAGCTACACCAAGAGAGAGTCGGAGCTACGCCAAGAGAGAGTCGGAGCTACACCAAGAGAGAGTCGGAGCTACGCCAAGAGAGAGTCGGAGCTACGCCAAGAGAGAGTCGGAGCGTCCTCGCGGCACGCTCTGAGAAGGAGGCGACGGGCTTGAGGGATATTCTTAGGTTTTTTTTTGTTGTAAAGTCACGTAGGTAAAAAAATTTACAATTAAAATTAATAAAAGTAAAATAAAAGAAAAATCACGACTTCATCTTCTTGGTTCTTTCGGTAAAGTCAAGTAGAAGGGAAATAATAAAATAATAAAAATAAAACATTATAAAATAATTCTCACGATGTTTCGGCCCAAGCTTCCGTCCTCAGGTGAAGAACAGGTCTGTCAGACGCTGTCTTTCCGACAGACCTGTTCTTCACCTGAGGACGGCTGCTTGCGTTGTGACCGAAACGTCGTGAGAATTATTTTATTATGTTTTATTTTTATTATTTTATTATTTCCCTTCTACGTGACTTTACCGAAAGAACCAAGAAGATTAATTCCTGCAGTCACGAAAGCTTTAAATCGAAATTTAAAAATCACGACGTTTCGGAGGCAACACAAGCTTTCGTCTTCAGGAGGAACTGTCACAGCACGATAGCTGTATCAAGTGAGAGAAATTCCAAGAAAACAGTCCTTGTATATATATACTGGTTGAGGGTGGGTGGAGGCAAGGCAGGCACCTGGATATTATTACTATTGTGAGGGAGTCCTGCGTGCCACGGTGGAAGTATCGCGGGCTCACCGTCTTGTACATGCGGTACTGCAGGGTGGACTTGCGGCTGAAGAGTTTGTCTCCGGCAGCGCCGAGCGCGCGCACGGCCTGCGTGAGCAGCAGGAAGTCGTTGAAGAGGAATCCGAACAGCTCCTTGCTGCTCTTCACCTTGTAGAGCTTCCCACTGTAGAGGAACTTGCGAGGCCCCAGGCAGTTTGTCACCGAGTTGAACACCAGTTGCTGCAGCAGAGGGAGAGAGGGAGAGAGAGACAGCTGCATTGAAGTCAAAAGTCAAAGTGATCTCCTCTATACAGCGCTATGTCAGAGGTGGACTTTCAACATTCCTATCGTGGGGGTGATCCTATCCATAGGACAACCACCGTTGACTTCCTCACAAATTGGCCTCATTTATCGACCCCCAGAGGGATGATGGGCTGAGTCGGTCCCCGACCAGGGTGTGATCGGAAGATCGCGAGCCGCTCGCTGCTCCGCTGCCTGAGCTGCCACATTGAGCGCGAGGCGGAGGGTGACGTGGGCCGTGCGAGCACGCCCGACCGCAGTCCACACAGAGCCGCCAGGCGGTGCGACCTCTGGTTCATGCACTGTCACGGTGGACTGCAGGATGTCTGAATAACGAGGACGAAATATCATGCACATGTATGCATGTGCTGTGCGAGTCTGCGGGTTTCTGTGCGAGTCTGTGGTTCTCTGTGCGAGTCTGCGGGTCTCTGTGCGAGTCTGCGGGTCTTTGTGTGAGGGTGTGGGTTTCTGTGCGAGTCTGCGGGTCTGTGTGAGGATGTGGGTTTCTGTGCGAGTCTGCGGGTCTTTGTGCGAGTGTGTGGGTTTCTGTGCGAGTCTGCGGGTCTCTGTGCGAGTCTGTGGTTCTCTGTGTGAGTCTGCGAGGCTCTGTGCGAGTATGTGGGTCTCTGTGCGAGTCTGTGGGTCTCTGTGTGAGTCTGCAAGGCTCTGTGCGAGTATGTGGGTCTCTGTGCGAATCTGTGGGTCTCTGTGTGAGTCTGCGAGGCTCTGTGCGAGTCTGTGGGTCTCTGTGCGAGTCTGTGGGTCTCTGTGCGAGTATGCGAGTCTCTGTGTGAGTCTGCAAGGCTCTGTGCGAGTATGCGAGTCTCTGTGCGAGTCTGTGGGTCTCTGTGTGAGTCTGCGAGGCTCTGTGCGAGTCTGTGGGTCTCTGTGCGAGTCTGTGGGTCTCTGTGCGAGTATGCGAGTCTCTGTGTGAGTCTGCAAGGCTCTGTGCGAGTATGCGAGTCTCTGTGCGAGTCTGCGGGTCTTTGTGCGAGTGTGGGGAGGCACCTCAGAGAGGCCGTCGCACTGCACGTGCGCCTGGATCCACTCGAGCCGATCCGAGTTCTCCTTCTCCCGCACTCCCTCGTTCACCTGCGAGCACAGCTCCTCCGCCTTCTCCAGTGCCGAGCGCAGGTGAGCGTGGTCGGGGTGCTCCACCCCCGTGTTCTCCAGGATCTGGACCGGGAGGGCGGAGAGGTGAGGGAGGTGATGGGGGCGACGGTGGTGTTAACAGGGGTGCAAGGGGTGACACTTCACGTGGTCTCAAGGCGCACATGGCTATGGCACAAGCGTCGTGGTGACGTCACCGCCACTTAGTGGCGAATGGCGGTTGTTGTTGTTGTTGTTGTTGCAAGGGGTGAGAGCAGGAAGAAGAGTCAGGAGAGTCGGGCGAGAGGTGAGCGGCGAGTGGTGTGTCCCCCAGGATCTCGCACGCGGTGAGGAGGGGTGAGAGAAGAGGGGCGAGCAGTGAAGAGTGCGTGGAGTGGATTGCACATTTCTGACAGTGGGGGGACAGATCACAACACAACGGCTAAGGGGGGTGTGGGTAGGACCGGGAGGGGACTGCTGTGAACAAGGGGTTCGAACACGCACCGCAGCTGTGAGGGAGGGGGCGGCAACGCACGTTTTTGATGATGAGCGGGTACCGCGTGATTCTCTGCATGGGCTTGAGCAGGAAGCTTGAGAGAGGCATCCCTTTGCAGCGTGGATCCATCGCCAATTTCTGCAATCGGCAACAGAGCCGGCGTCAGTGCCGGAAACACGGATCCGCCGACTCCGCGCTCGTTACCGGATTAAAACACGTGAGAAGTGATGACACACGGCAAATGACAGCATCATATCGCAATCGATTCTCTAGATTGAAGTCTCATTCCTTTAGAACCGATTTTTGTGTTTAGTTTGTGGTCCTTCAACCGCACTTCCCGATTATCACGGTTGGCGACGTACGGTGCGAAAGAAGTTCAGCATACATATATACGTGAGATCGTGAATCGAGTTTCATCGACGGATCGATGCACGGGTCCCCATGCCCGAGACGTGTGTCGCCGATGCTCCCGGCAGCGCCTCCCTTCCGCACCGTCGCCGCGTTGTACCAGCCCAGTCAGGAGACTAAGAGTGCGGTCGGAACTCTCTAAGAGCAGCGCAACCCTCGGTATGAACAAAACGGCCCGCAGAAGATGTCACAGAGATAACCCCGGCATCGCTTCAAGTGACCTCTGTTCCCCCACAGGAGGGAGGGCAGCACTTTAGAAAACTGCTCCTCCACCGACAGTAATGTTCGTCACATGACGGTCAAACGGATTTCCTTTTTTCAGAACTGAAATTTATCCAAATTGAGTGCAGAACCAAACTGAATGTGATCAAGGTTTTTTGTTTGTTTGTGTGACTGGGTTGCAACCATCATCAACTCACTACACTTGAGACCCGGCTTGATCAAAGGCAGCTAAAGAGCCCAGCGTCAGACCCAGCATCGCAGCGGTGCTCTGGCTAAGTTTCCCCAACCTCTTTGAGCCACCCTGGCACCTAATGCCCTCCGATCTGCGAGTTACAGCACCGAGCTGCCCTGCATCGCCCGAGCTGCTCCTCAACCTCCGTCCACATCCCGGCGTCCACCGCCTCCTCCCCCCACCCCCCCCCCCCCCAACGTCGCCCACACCTTGAGAGAGTCCTTGAACTCGGGCTGCTCGTCCGTGTTGTGCTGTAGAAGCGTGGCCCCGTTGAGCTGACAGCTGCAGAAGCGGATGTACGGCTGCATGTGCGGCAGCTGCGCAGTGAGGATGTCCCCAATCATCTGCACCGGCATCCGCTCCCCTGACATCTTCTTCCTTACGCGCAGAGCCCTGAGAGAGGAGGGGTGCGGGCGGTGATGCTGCAGGCACCTGCCTCGCTCATGCATAATCGCTCGTTTATTCAGTCACTCACTTGGGTGCTTCTCGCTCATTCACGCACCAAGATCTCACTCGTTAATGAGTTCACTCATTAACTCGTTTACTCACTCACTTACTCATGCTGCCGGCTATGGCTGCAAAGTTTGGTCGTATATGTTATGTATATCGTTTATTGTTACATTTGAATCACAGTTCCGATGATCACTGTTACATTGTTTTTATAGCTCTATTTTGGTGATTTCGAAAACGTTTTGGTTTAGCCATATTTGTTTGTTGTAGTACAGAGTTATAACTTTAATCTAAATTGTCTTATGGTTGTTATTGTTTGACTTGCATCCCACTGGGATTTTCCACACGTCGTTGATATACGCTGCTTTTTCTGGAAGACTTTGCTGTTTTTTCCTGGATCTTTCTGTTGCGCGTAGTCACAATCTTTCTTGATCCTGTTTTTGTTTGTTGCGGTTGCACCCGAGTCAAGAGCCGCATGACTCACAGGGTTATACCAAATAAATTAACTGAACTGAAGAACTGAACTTACTCGCTCAATCATTAATTAATTTAATCACGCACTCTTCATTCATTCATTCACCGCCATCTCACGCACCTGTGCTTCATTCATTCATCGGTGCCTTATTCACCTGCACCTAAGGAGCACGTGATGTCGGTCGCAGTTTTGGCTCGTGGTTGAGTTTGTGTATCGGTGAGCGATAAAAATTAGTGGTCGGGTTAGCGGTCGGGTCAGCGGCCAGGCCACCAGTCGGGTCAGCGGTCAGATTAGCGATCCGTGTGGGTGACCGGCTGAGCGGTGAAGTGGCTGCGCGTGAGCACGTCCTCACTTGAGCAGCTTTATGTTGCACATGATGAGCTCTTTCCAGTTGACGAATATCATCGCCATCTCCTCCTCGGTGAGACTGCCCGACTCTGCCATGGGCTTCTGGAACACCTGCGTCAACGCGGCGTTCGCAACAATTGGCGGAAATTATCTCGGGGTGAGCTCTGTAACTCGACGCAGCGACACGGCACACGCGGGCAGCGAAGGGACCGGCTGCGGGATGGTTATGACATGACGTCTACTTGCACGCAGACGTTCCAATTCGTGTAACGTGCGACAAAGCAAACGAAAGGCAATGTTGTTACGATTACGATCAAAGCCAAGCGCGGCACGTTTAGTACCACCGCTGGGCATGAGTTCCCTGTTATCCAACTATGCCACAGGCAGTGCTACGTGCAGACGTGTGGTGGCCACACGAAGGATGGTCTTTTCTCTGCCAAAGAGATTTTCCGCTCAAATGAGCATTAAGGTATGGATGCCGATCTCCTGCTTACAGCCCTGAGCCAGTCGTACTTTACACGTTGCCATGGCAGGGGTGGGTCTATCCATAGGACATAGGACAACCACTGCTGACATTTTTCTTAGGTTTTTTCGGTAAAGTCACGTAGGTAAAAAATTTAAATTAATAAAAAATAAAATAAAAATCACGACGTTTCGGAGGCAACACAAGCTTCCATCTTCAGGTGGAACCGTCACAGCACGATAGCTGTCTCACTTGATACACTTGATACAGCTATCGTGCTGTGACAGTTCCACCTGAAGACAGAAGCTTGTGTTGCCTCCGAAACGTCGTGATTTTTCTTTTACTTTTATTAATTAAATTTTTTTACCTACGTGACTTTACCGAAAAAACCTAAGAATATGAATCCTTGCAGTCACTGCTGACATCCCCATGAAGTAGTACTCATTGACCGACTCGGGAGGAATTATCGGCCGAGTCGACCCCAAACCAAGATTTTAACTGGGACCCCGGCAACTTCGAGCTGCACGCTTTCCCGCTAAGCCACCTCGATCTGCACTCGGTACTCATTTGAGGCCGAGTGGACCTAGGAGAGGCCCAGCACCGATTCAAATAATCGTCACTGGTGTTGACCGTGAGAGGGAATCAAACTCGTGTCACCGGTCTTTTAGGATTAACAGACCTTCCCAGAGTTATAACTTTTAAACAAATCTGGCTTAATTGATTACAGAGCCAACAAACTGTCCTGGAAACGCAAAACGCAAAGTCCTCGCCAGACAGCCGATCTCAGCGTCCAATATGGCGCCACTGCCGAAACGGAACCGCCGCGCGCTTTCACCCCGACCCTCGGCGCAACAGCCCGGCCCGCACGCCCAGCGCCGTCCTGTGGCGCCGTCTCTACCTCGGTGACCAGCGTCAGGTCGCTCATGTAGTTCTCCTCCGTCTGGATGAGCTCGTGGATGTATCCCTGCCGCTTGCGCTCCGCTGGCGGCAGGCTGTCGAGGGCGTGGAGGTCGGCGCACCCTGCACGCACGCACGACACATGCAGACCCTCCGTCGTGTAGCCTTTAACAGACTGCCAAGGACAGTGCTAAGGGTGAGCACCTATAAAGGTCGGCGCTGATGCTTACGCACAGCGCAATGTAGTCATTTAAGGCCGAGTCGACCTACAGACCTAGGGCATCCCACACAGACACACACTGACATACGTAGACACGCACGCACGCACACCAATACGTACAGAGGAACCTCTGGGTATGCTATCGGTGACACGTGGACTCCAATGAGAAAACACATGGGCCAGCATCTATCGCCGCAGTAAAGTACACAAGCGACGTGAGGTCGACTTCATCGAGGCGAGGTCAAAATGGGTGTGCGTGCACACGCACGCTCCTACGTCCGCCCATGACTCAGCCCCAAGGGTCCAGGGCCCAAGGGCAACGTTGTCAAGCCCTCGTGGTGACACCTGCCACTCGAGTGGGTTAGCCCGTGTCCCCCCCCCCCATATCTCATCTGCCAAGGGTCTCACAACTGCGGCTGTGTACACAGTCCACACCGCGTAAACAGCAGCACATCCTTATACTACTATTGGTTATCGGGTGTGATAATGATCTTAAAATAACATCAATGGTGGCATGATGACAATATCAAATCACGTTGGTCTACTGCAGGCTGGGCTCACTGATCCTGTTTCCATGCCAAAGGTTCCCTGTCTGCACCCCCCTTCCTCCCATCTCCCAGGATCAGCTCTTCGCTCACCGACCGTGTTGCAAGCCATGCACTGCCGAGACCGCCTACTCACCTTCTCTTCCCATTCACAAGACCACCTGCTCGCTCACACCTCACCACCCAGGCCCCACATCTGCCACGGTAGCTCTCTGTTTTTTTTTAAAATGACCAACAAAATATTGCACCTGCAAATCACGAGATTTAAATTTAAAAAATCCCATTTACTCTTAAAATGCTTCGATTAAATTTTTGTCAATAACAATGTTGAGGTCTTGTGGTTTAAATGTCGAATGGGAAATTTGTCCCGTAAGTCGCACAATTTATTCTCAAGTACAGCTGGGTCTACGGCAAATCGTACTCGATTATTTTTATTGCGGCCAATTACCCGGACCCCCTTTACGTATAGCGGGCATCCCAACACCTCAAGAAGGCCGGAAACCCATCCAAAAAGCCACACCGAACGTGACGTGACAGATGATGACGTCACCAAGCCCCACCCATCATTTCCCATCCAGTGGCACATGTGAGAAGGGGTGGCTCCCCCCCCCTCCCCAAAATGTTTTTCTGTTATCCAATCAGTCGAGTAATCGGCAGAGGAATCGATTACGCGAGCAATCGGATTGCAGACCAGCTCTACCCACAAGGCAACTGGCGGTACTACCGTGGCCGCCTCCGCGCCCGTCGATACACAAAAGACACTGTGTGCAGGATCTTGTTATATAACCTTTAATAGTTTTAAGCAATAATTTCTTTAATGTTATACAATGTATGAATACAGATCCACCATTTGTTTTACTCATAACATGTGCCAACAGGTTATGTCACCGCATAGAAAATACATGACAATCACCGATCTATGTAAGTAGACTTTCTGCATCAGGATCGACGGACAACAATGTTTAATTGGACACTCCAAGCACGTGTTTTCATCGTTATAATTATTTAATAGCAATTTTGCAACATTTAAACTAACGCGTGTGCAGTAATACTGTAGCTGTAGTCAGCTTGCAAATGTAAGCCCTCGACACAGGCTGACACAAAAGAATACAAGTTTCCCCTTAAAGTAACGCTGTGGTCTCGGGCGTGTGCAGGGCTTATCTAAGCAATGCATTACACGCGCGACACGTGGGGGGGTGGGTGGGGGGCAAAGGACGTGTGACCCTTGGCGACACGGACACCGAATTCCTGCGTCGAAACACTGTGCATGTAAACTGCGGGGGGGATTCCCATCGGACGCAACTCCCCGCTGCCGCTGTGATTCGTCGCATCCCAACCCAAATCGAACTTTACAAGCGAGCGTTTATCGAGGGCATGCGAGGGCACTCACAAGTTGACGAGCAGGGCGCAACCCCTTGGCAGTAACACTGTAGTGTACTTGGATTCATCGGCCCGATGCCGGGCACGGCTCTGACAGCGCAGGGCCAGCATATTGACACTCTCAAGGCAACAGCAGAGACGTTAAAGTGTTCGTAGTGAACAAAGCTTTAGTGTTGTTGCACGGGCATCGAGCAAGCGAAGACACAAAAAAAATCTCGCTTGCCAACGTGGACTCACAAACGTCTCCAGAGCACCATATTAACTAACGTTTGTGCAATCACACATGGGGGCCAATTGTAGTAACGCTTGCGAGACGCATTTGTGTGCCGTTGCCCTAACTCTGGGAGAGCACGCGCGTGTGCCCACACACACACGCGTGCGTGGGAGCAAAACGCCACCTGAGCGCTGAGCGCGCGAGGTTTGGGCGCCCGGGCAGCTGGGGAGGGGAGGTTTTGTGCTCATGCGACCGAGAATCGATTCGGATTCCTCGCACTGCAGAGCAACCGTTCGCTAGAGAGAGAGAGAGAGAGAACGACCACGAAAGTGGACATCACAAAACTACCTCCAAGATCCCTTCAAGTTACCTCATTGTCCCACACGGTTAGGGGGAGCAGCACTTTTTTTATTCACTTGCTCTGCACATTAGGGTGAGGCTCGTTGTGCAAGTCCAACTAAAAGTTTAATCTCAGAGCTGGGATGTTGCCCAAAGAGATGCAGTCCCAAACTTAATGCAATGGGTTTTTTTGTTGTTGTGCAGTCATTGGTGACCCACCACCTTACCCTGCGCAGCGCCCACAGCCGGGAAGGCCACATTGCTGAAACCACCCTCACGGTGGCAGGGAGACAAACTGGCTGCACCGATGCTAAGATTGAGCCGGACACCACAGCGCCGCATTCGAACAGCACCTGATGCGGATAACACCTAACGGAGAGATCAAGCCCAGCCTCTGCGTTGGAAAGCACTTGTTATACATTCCATCATCACAAGTCAACGCCTAGGCATCCTCAGCAATATCGATAGATTTTTTTCCCCCAACCCTTACCAGCAGCCTGGCTGCACTGGCTACATCAGATGATAAGAAATGATGCAGGCGGTCAAACCAATGTGGCATTGGGGCCATGTGTGAAAGCACCAGTCGAGTATCTGCGACACCGAACGGTAATCGTCAGGGCCCTTCTGCTGCCACTTCTCCCACCGCCTAGTGTTTCTCGCTATACCGTCACTATAGCCCGCTGTTGTGTACAGCCACATTCGTCCCACTCCTACATAGCCACGTGTTTTAATGAAGGTACAATCATTGAAACTTTTTTTTCTTCTTTTTGGGTTTTTTTCTTTTTCGAAACGAGATAAAAATGACACTCATGCAAAACTGGAGGCGCGCATGTGTGTGTGTGTGTGCGTCGCCACACAACGCTTGTTGACGCGGCCCGATGTCGGGCGCTGGCTACGAGTCACGAAAAGAAAGGGCGGCGCAAGTCTGACTCTAGCCAACTTAATCTGGCGGTAACATCGCCACACGCCGAACCAGCTCCTCGATATGCAAGAGGTCACTCCCCTTCCCCTCCCTCACCGTCGGCGCGCACGGCTTCAGCACGAGCCTCGCAGATGAGGCACATTAGGTACGTGCGTTATCAGAACACCGGCGGCCGATCAGATGTTCTAACCGATCATCAGAACATCCATGAGAATTTCTCTACGGGGGGCTGCGCACTGCGCGTTTGGCCCCGAGCGCATGCCTCTGCCTCCGAGCTGTCGAGGCAGTGAAACGCGCTTCGTGGAGCGAGCGAGCGAGCAACTCGTACCAATCACTGTAAACCGCTGCATGGCGGCTCGCTCCCAGGGCCCGGCGATGCTATCCGCTCATCGCCAGCGGCAGTGAAGGCCGATGGTGCGCAGCGCAAGCGCGACGACGACGCGAGCGCGACAGCGGCGACGGCGGCAGCGCAGATAGAACGGCGGCACGGTACCTCGAAGCACGTCAGTGAACACATCGGCAAGCAAAGGACGCGATCAACATGGATGCTAAACGCCAACGTACAGTGGGTCTTTCTGAAACGTATCCTCGGTGGTCACCAACTCGTGTGCTAAGTCTATACAAATTTAAAATGGGAGAAAGGCTTTAGCGAAAAAAGCAAAATGCATTTCCGATGATTTTTTTGTTCTTATTACGATTCATTTTGAAAAGAGATACATTCAGATACTGGTAATGAGTGGACAGACGGGGGAGGGGCCGTCACAAAAAGACCCACTATTTCTCTGTGCTGCCACAGCACAGCATCATATGCATCGTCCCAGAGCTGCTCCCCGGACTTCCCCGTCAGCAAATCACAAGGGCTGATGCTGCTGCTGCTGTTGCTGCTCTCAGTTTAAAGGCCAGGCAACCAATCCGGTGGCAGTGAAATGGGGATATAGTGGGTCTCTTTGCGGCGGGCGGGCAGACGGGTGGACGGACGCGCGGGCAGGGGAGAGGGGACACAAACATGGTCCTAGAGAGAAGGAGAACACAAAGAGAAATAAGCAAATAAAAATCATGAGCCAAACCAAGCAGGGGCAGGATGCACATGTACAACACTCGTGCGCGCTCACGGACGTACCGACACGCACGCAGCACCAGAGGCGCACCCAGGGGGGGCAGGGGCAGAAGGGGCAGTTCTGCTCCCCACTCTCAAAAATTCAGAGCCCATCTTGGAGTATTTCCATTAATCTAAAGCTGTAAGCAAATAATGATCCATTCTTGATGCATATTTCATATTCAACGTTAATAATTGTATTGCAACTTGCCTACCTCCAAATTGTTTGGCTGGGTGCGCCACAGTGCAGCACTCTCACTAACAACTACAACCACAAACCCAACCACTCCCCCCCCCACCCACCCACCCTACCAGCCCAGACAGATCTACGAAGGTTTGAAGCTTTCGTGACTGCAAGGATTCATATTCTTAGGTTCTTTCGGTAAAGTCACGTAGGTAAAAAATAAAAATTAATAAGAGTAAAATAAAAATAAAATAAAAATCACGACGTTTCGGAGGCAACACAAGCTTCCGTCTTCAGGTGGAACCGTCACAGCACCAGTATATATGGGGTAGTATCTCTTAGAATCTCTCATTTACTTGATACAGCAATTGTGCTGTGACGGTTCCACCTGAAGACGGAAGCTTGTGTTGCCTCCGAAACGTCGTGATTTTTATTTATTTTTATTTTACTTTTATTAATTTTAATTTTTTACCTACGTGACTTTACCGAAAGAACCTAAGAATATAGATCTACGAAGGTTCTCCACCAGCACTGAAGAGCCGTGAATCACAATAGCTCTGCAGTGCACTGGGACTTACGCTGCAGCAGAAACAAGTTAAGAGGTTTCGATTTAAAGCTTTCGTGACTGCAGGGATTCATCTTCTTGGTTCTTTCGGTAAAGTCACGTAGAAGGGAAATAATAAAATAATAAAAATAAAACATAATAAAATAATTCTCACGACGTTTCGGCTACAACGCAAGCAGCCGTCCTCAGGTGAAGAAGGACGACTGCTTGTGTTGTAGCCGAAACGTCGTAAGAATTATTTTATTATGTTTTATTTGTATTATTTCCCTTCTACGTGACTTTACCGAAAGAATCCAAGAAGAAGTTAAGAGGTCTCCCCTCTGTAGGACGCCCTGTGTAGTACCACCACTGTCAACAACTCGGCACAGGAAATCACCGCAGGCAATCACACGTTGCAATAAACAGACCCCGGCGTGAGCACACACACGTGGATGGAAGCGCAAAACAAAATTAATAACAAAAACAAAATTCAAGCCGGCTATTCATGCTGCCACCCCTCGTGTGACAGCAACCCACAGGATTTGGTGCCGTTCAGGTTGTAGGAAAGGAGCCGGTCGTTTTTCTACGTCCGAGTGTTGCCCAACGGAGTGAGTTCTGTCCCACGAGGACCTGGAGTGCGTGACCGAGCTGTGTTCACGCCACCCTCCCTGCCACCACGGCCTTCGCTGCTTAGTGGCTGAATCCACCACGACCGCCCCTATTGCCCAGCCTTCTTCTGCAGCTGCCAGCCCACCCTGCAGTTTCTCAACGACTGTATCCCCAGTGTTCACACCATCACTAATTTCCTGTGTAGCGCAATTATCTACAACCATAGCAGCGATTGTTAACCCCTCTTGGTTAAATGTATTCAACTGTAATGGAGGCACATTACAGAATCCGATACGAGGAATGTCTGGCTGGCATGCACAACCGCGTGCAGAACGCATTTGTCATGGGGAGACTCACTGATGTGGCAGGCGCAAGCTGACCACCATTCTTCCTGCACAGCCTACAGGAGCACCTCGCATCACTGCGGCCCGTCCAGGCTGGAGATGTCCAAGCGCACACGGCCAAAATCCTTCCCATTCGCCGCAGGGTGACATCAATTCCGTTTCCGAGTGACTACTGTGCGTTTTAGTCAAGTGTGAGCCGGAGTTGGAGAAGCGTTTTTCAAAGACCAGCGCCCAAGTCACCGCGAGTGTCTAGTCCTACATGGTGCAGCCAACCGGCGCACATCAAATGCACTGCTGCTGGCTAGGAAACAGAGTGGAGGCCACAGCAGTTCACAGCGGTGTCTCCATCACTGAACGACTACAAAGACCGCAACCTCTGCACCCAGCATCGATTCACGCGGTCACACGCACCAGTGCGCATCCCGCACTCACAGGGCGATTTAAACATATCTACACGGGATGGGCGACCTCCGCGCATAACCACTTGTCATAGCCTGCTGTGCGGCTACGTGGTGGGGCAGCAAAGAGGAAAGTAGCTAAGCCTTTCTTGTGCTGTACCTTTATAATCCCATGCCTATGCTCCCTGCTTTCAATAACCCCTATGACTGGCACAGCGTGGGGAGGCCCTCATCCGGCAGTTGAATGATGGCAGGGCTGTGTAAGCACGTTATTGCTCCGTGCTGTGTTACATGAGGCCACGTTAAAAACCAGAAAAAATATCAATTTATGGCACTTGAGAGTCTGGTTTAATCTCAAGTGGCTGAGTGGATTCATGCCCACAGTGGCAGGGCTAGTGCTCTACCTCAGTGGTGCTGTCAAGTGCTTGACATCTCAGCCACCACCACCCAGCTTGCCCCCTTTGTCAGCCGCATGAGGCAGTGCGATCTGACGCCACGATCGGTCGGCGCAGATAATGGCAAGTTGTTGTCGTCAGAGTAGAAGCCACACCAAAATCACTTTCCTCCTGAGCACCACTTGAGGCAATGAAATCTCGCCAAAGCATTCGTCACATGGCTGTCCTTTTCACAAGAACCTATTCGTTAAAAAAATACCCGATTAATTTGCTACACAAAATGGTGCTTTAAAAATTTCAAACAATTTGCTTCATATGAAGGTGACGTGTCAGTTCAACGTTGCCGCTTCTACATTTTCAACGTAGCAAATGCAATGTGATAGCTTCACAATGATTAGCTAAGGACCATGCCGCCATGCAAGCCGCTTGAGGCAGACCAGCACACGTCACCTTGTGTGGCGTCGGGGGGGCCCGGCCGTGACGGCCACAGCGCGCGGTCTCTCCGTGGACCAAATGAAATGTCTCGGTGAGTTAATCGAGCGAAGGCGAACAAAAAAAACGCCGATTTCTCTCGTCAGCAGGGTTGAGAAGCTTAAAGACCACTGTGCAAGGATGCGAACGGCATTCTTGTGTCCTTGCCTGTCGTCTTTTCTCGCAATTTCTCTCATCGTTTCAGATTTTTTTGTTAAGTACTTTGGTTATAAAGTAGGATACAACTCAGGGTTGCCCCCCATGTGCAACAGTAGTGAGATTTCACTGCCGGGAGAGCGGGTCGCTCAGGCAGAGTGGCCCCAGGGCCCGCGCGGGGCCGCGTGTCCTGCGTGCGCGAACTCACATTCATAATCAACGTTTTTGGGTTTAGATCGCGTTATTTATAAATGTGTCGTAACCCTGCACCACCCGACACGGCCAATCAGTAAAAAAGTGTCACGTTGACAAAAGACAAATTAGTTCACTGCTTTAGCCCACCGGTGTGTTGAAGCGCGAAACCACAACATCGTACTCAAATTGTAAATGTTGTGGTTTCGCGCTTCAACACACCGGTGGGCTAAAGCAGTGAACTAATTTGTCTTTTGTCAACGTGACACTTTTTTACTGATTGGCCGTGTCGGGTGGTGGAGGGTTACGACACATTCATAAATAACGCGATCTAAACCCAAAAACGTTGATTATGAATAATATTGGTCGCGAAAGCCTACGTGTTAAACGGACTCACATTGTTGGCTGGGGTCGGTGTCGGTCGTCTGCTTGACGTAGTTGGAGGGGAAGAGACCCACGGCGCCGCCGAGTTCCCCCTTCCACCAGTCGGGGTCGCTGCGGCTCAGCACGCCGATGAGCTGCCCCTTGGAGAAGGAGAGCTCGTCCTCGTTCTGCGCCACATAGTCGTACACACCGATCACCTGGCACACTGTGACATGCGGGGCGGGGGTGGGGGGAGCGACAACCTCAGCCAGGCGGACGACCAGAACGTCCACCACCACCATAAAATATTTAAAAATACTTAAAAAAAAAACACGCTTTAATGAAATGTACTGTTCGAGCTGCCCCTTCCCCTACCCCCTTCCCCCCTCCCCTCCTTCCACATCCCCCGCCCCTGGGCGTGGCTCCCCGAGGCTTGTCGTGACGTAAGGGACCACGTGGTGATTTACAGGCAACGTCTGTTGAGCGTGGACAATTAGAGCCGTAAAAAATATCGTTTAAAAATATATATATATTTTTAATTTTTAATGATAGAATATAGTATTGTCACCAGTATGACATACCTATACCAAGTTTGCAGTCGATACGACATTGGGAATACGGTTGAAATTGAGTTACAATATTTTTGGATACGACAACACATACAATAAGTTAAATAAAAGTGTGTAAAAAGTTTAAACATATATGTTTTGGATTTTTTATGATAGAATATCGTGTTGTCATCAGTATGACATACCTATACGAAGTTTGCAGTCGATACCGCATTGGGAAGTGTGTAAAAATTGAGTTACAAGATTTCTTTTTTGAGGATACAACAGACGAAGTGAGTTAAATAAAAGCGTTTAAAAAAGGCAGCACATTTCTCTGGGCATACGCATGAGTGTGGACTCGCGCACAGAGTACACGTGTGCACCTGTGCCTGTGTGCATTTGACTGCGTGTATATGTTGGGGGAGTGGTAGTGCAACGGTTAGCGAGCTGCGCTATGAACCCGGTGACACGAGTTTGATTCCCGATCACGGTCAATTATTTGAACCGGTCCTGGGCATCCCCTATGTCGACTCAGCCTCAAATGAGTGCCTTGTGCGGTGTGTAAACATCAACACGGGAGAGTCAAAGGCGGTCGGACATAGTGCTGGCCACCCACAACCCCGTGTGCCGTTCCAGCCTTAATAGGTGCTCGCTAACAGCACTTGCCCGAAGAGTCTGTGATGCCTATAAAGGGGATCTTTGTCTTTTGTGTGTGCGACTGTGTATGTGACAATGTTCAGCCAGTCATCTCGGTCATCTCAGTCAGTCGACCCGTGGCAGCTGCTGGGTCTGCCCCGTGACCTCCTGCCAGCGGGCGTTCGACACTTCACGTGGCCTCAAGGTGCACATGGCCTGGCACAAGCGTCGTGGTGACGTCACCGCCACTTAGTGGCGAATGGCGAATGTTGTTGTTGTTGTGACAATGTTCATGTGCCTACACAATATGTACACCTGTGACTGTGTATGTGTGATTGTGCACATGTAAAAATGCGTGCGTGTGCCCATCTATAATGTACGTGTGACTGTGCATGTGTGACTGCAACTATGCGTGACTGTATATGGAACTTTGCACATTCCCGTGCACGTGTTCATGCGCAACTGCGCCTAACTTGACTGTGTACGCGTGTGACCGCGTACGCGACGTGTACGCGTGCCCTTGTGTGTGCGCGTCATGTTTCTCGTGTGCGGGCGCGTGCGGGCGTGTGCGTGCATACCGGTAGGCGTGGTGAATGGCACCGACTTGGTCCCCTCGCTGGGCATGACGGGAGTCGACTTGCCGCTCGTCGGACCCAGCAGCTTCACGTAATTTGCCGGGAACCACCCAATCTGGCGCTTCTTGCCCCGCGCCTGCACACGCGCAACGGAGCTCCGTTAACGCTCGCGCACGCTCACGCTCACGCCCTGCCACGCCACGCGGCGAGCGCGTGCCAAGTGCGAGCGCGTAAGTGGTTGGCTGACTCAAGGTGGTCAGAATGCTGAGCTGGCACCACTGAGATCCTGGGGGATTCGAACGCAGGTTTCAGCCGCCCATGATCAGACCAGATTCTCAAGTGCAGAGAACTGATGGCCTCAGCCCAGTCCACCAAGGACTGCAAAAAAACCCACCCATCATGTTGAATTTGGTTCTGCACCTAATTTGGCCGAATTCTAACCGTGAGAATCAACAAGCACGGATTTGATTGCCATGCAATGAACATTTTCGCTTTGGCAGGGTGGGTGGAAAGGTGCTACTCTCTACTGAATGAACCAGAGGCCACTTAAAGGAATCTCAAAAGAAGTTCCATGCTATCCACTTCCGTGGTCCATTCTCTAAACCGGGGGGGGGGGGGGGGGTGGGGGGGTGGGGGGGTGATGCCCTTCTGTAAGAATTCCACATCTCGTCTCGTGACATGACGCCGGAAGCGCAAACGGAAAAAAGAATTGAGGAATAACGCACATAAACGATGCTTTTAAGCACGCTCCAGCGGTGCAGTGGCAAGGGGAGTGTGTGCTGCACTTGCCTGCAGCTCTCCCTCCCACCAGCCGTTTGTCGCTTTCTTCCTGATGAGGATAAGTTGCCCGGGCGACAGGGTGAGCTGCTCGGGCCCCGTGGCGGTGTACGACGCCACCACTTGCGCAATCTCTGTCGCACACACAAACGCGACCGCACGGACGCGATCATCGTCGCACAAGAGCGTGTCACTGCCGAGTGAGTTGGTGGGGCAGCGAGAGTCAAAAAAAAAAAAAGTAAAGTCCAACCCACCTGGCTTCTTCCCCATGCTGCCGGTCTTTCCAGCCTGGCCTGGTGCCTGATCGGAAATAAACACAACAATTACACGAGGCAGGCAAAAAAAACATGCGCGTCGATGGGTCCTGTAACACTTTTGAACACGTGTTTATCCCCGGAAGCATAAATTAGTGATGGCAGTGGTGGTAGCGCTTGCGCCAGGCACACGAGGAGCCGTACGTCCGTGATGAGAAAATGGGGCTCAGGTATCAGCGCTGCACGAGAGACTGGGTAATAAGAGGTGGGTCACATTTTAGTTTTTGAGCGAATCTCCAAGTGTTGGGCAATTCCTTCCGAAATTTGGCCAGATTTCAAAACGGTAAGTCTCTAATTAGGATCATCAGCCGACCGAGAAATTAGCAAATTGGTCGGATGAAAGAACAACCAGAGATAATGCATAAACGCTCTCAACCTTAGTTGTAAGGTGTTAAACACAGCGGTTAACGCTGGCGATGATGATGATGATGATGAACCAGGGGCCACTGTGTACCTCACTGTCCTTGGGCCGCACGTAGTTGGAGGGGAAGACCCCAGAGCGGCCCTCGATTTGGCCCGTCCACCAGTCGCCCTCCCGTCGTGTCACCACGATGACGTCGCCCTGCGCGAACGTCAAGTCGCCCGGCTCTCCGCTCTCGTACGCGTACAGCGCCACAAACTCTGCAAACGCAGCGGCAGCAGTGGGGGTGCAGCGTGAGCACGGAACGTCCCCGCGTGCACACACAAAGATAAAGATCCCCCGTATAGCCTTAACAGACTGTAGGGGCAAGTGCTGTTGGCGAGCACCTATGAAGGCCACAACGGTACACGAGGGGGTGGGTGGCCAGCACCACGCCCGACCGCCTTTGTCTCCCTAGTGGTGATGTTTACACACCGCACCAGGTACTCATTTGAGGCTGAGTCGACCTAGGGGATGCCCGGGACCGGTTCAGATAATCGTCACTGGTGTTGGCCGTGAGCGGGAATCGAACTCGGGTCGCCGGGTTCATAGCGCAGCGCGCTAACCGCTACACTATCGCTCCCCACGCGTGCACACACACACACTCACACTCCTACGTGCCCAACACCACGGGTGTAACAACTTCTCAGCCTCCACCAACCACTGGTAAATCGTCATGATTCACGGTCGCGATTCTATTCAAGAATCAATTCTTTTGTTTGCGGTGCTTTACCCGTCTCGTGCTATTTACTGCGTTTCTTCTGCCCCGTTTGAACAGTTGTGTACGTGCATATAGCGTGGGTGATAGGAGGCAGTATTGTGTGGTGACTGGCTCATGGTGAGAAACTTGACTTTGCACATCATCCCTCCGGGGCCAGTACCATATTGTAGGGAAGTTGAAAGTGGTTGTCTTTGATAGACTCGCCCCACCATACGAATGTGGAATTGCTATCACTGGATCAGGGCTATAAACAGGAGATAATCACCGCTTGCATGCTCATTTGAGCAGGATATTACTTTGACTTGGTGAGCAATGCGGTGTGGGTAGAGTGGGTAGAGTGGGTAGAGTGGGTAGCGTGGGTAGAGTGGGTATTGCAATGTGGTCAGCGTGGATTGTGCTTGGTGTGCGGGTCACCTTCCTGAGGTGGTGCTGGTGATGGTGCCAGGCGACTTCTCACTGGGGAGCCTGTGAGGACACATGAAAACATCATCAGCATCACCAGCAGCACAACGCCTCACAGAACGCAAAGCTGTAACCTGCACAGTCAAATTGCCTAACTCCACCAAGTCTCTTGCACTTGACTGTTTATATCAAACAAACACGGACAAGTAGGATATCCCTGATTTAATCCAGTACAATTCAGAGATATGCAATTATCCGAGCAGCGATGGGTAGAGGTAAGAGTGGGTATGATGATGTAAAGCTACTGGGTGTGTCAGGCATTAGTTGTGTCGTTTGATCACCACGTACAAAAGACAGTCAGGTCCTGCGAATTTCATATCAGGGCTCTACGACACTTTCAACCACTATTGAGTCGTGACATCGCCAACACGGTGGCGTGTAGCAGAGTATATCGACAAGGCTCGATCATTGCAACCGACTACTTTACGGAACGGCTAGAAAAAAAAATTACCAGGCTGCAGCATGTACAAAGTTCTATGGCTCGTATCGTAACGGGTCCTCTGCAAGATCCGACTGTGTCCATCCAGTACTCGCTGAGCTGCATTGACTTCCGGGTTGCCGAACGAATACATCGTGAGGTCGCACTCATTACACACAAAGTGCTTGCCACTAACAAACCACAGCACCTTCCTGATCTCATCAAGGAGCATTAACCATCACGTGAACTCCGGTCATCCTCGCAGCGGATTCTGGCTAGCCATCGAACAAAGACGGTCACTGCATGCGCTTCTGCGGCCGTCTGGAATGCTCTTCCTTCTGACATTAGGAAGCCACTGGGAGCTATGAACTTTTAAATGCATTTCTTTAGAACTGCTGTTTGTCTTGAGTTGGTTGTCCTCCCCGCGCCACACTTCCGATTACAATGTTTGGCTACGTATGGTGCGAAAGAAGTGCAACATATACATACGTCAGCTGCTGGGTGTCAGGCGGTGTGTGTGTGTGTTAGGTGCTGGGTGTGTCAACTGCTGGGCGTGCTTCAGGTGGTACCTTGGCCAGAGGAAGCCGGGGGTGCCGGGGCAGGGCGTGTGGGAAGTGACTTCATCTTGGCTTCTGTCTCACAACCACGAGAGGGGACATCGTGGAGATGAGAGGAGGCATCACTCACAGCTGGCGGAAACGGGCGAGGGCTGAGTCTACTGGCTTGGGGCGACACGGGCTTGGTTTGACGAGCGAAGGACGCGGTACCTTCAGGCATGGGGGGCCGTGGAGATGGGCCGCGCTGGGACCCATCCGAAGAGGTCGACTCCACACTGAGATGCACAGGCACATACGCGCACACACGTGAAATTGCACACTTGCAGAAACACACGGTATAAAGATCCCCCGTATAGCCTTAACAGACTGTAGGGGCAAGTGCTGTTAGCGAGCACCTATGAAGGCCGGAACGGTACACGAGGGGGTGGGTGGCCAGCACCACGCCCAACCGCCTTTGTCTCCCCAGTGGCGATGTTTACACACCGCACCAGGTACTCATTTGAGGCTGAGTAGACCTAGGGGAGGCCCAGGGACCGGTTCAGATAATCGTCACTGGTGTTAGCCGTGAGCGGGAATTGAACCCGGGTCGCCAGGATCATAGCGCAGCGCGCTAACCGCTACACTACCGCTCCCACACGGTATACTCACACACATACAAACGTGATATGCAAACTCACACAGACAAGTGGCAAACTCACACCCGCATGCACACAATGCAAGTATTTGCCCGTACACGCATGTGTATACTCACATGCATACACAAAGATCCCTAGCATAGCAAGTGTTGTTAAGTGAGCACCTATGAAGGCTGGCACGGCACACAAGGGGGTGAGTGGCCAGGACCACACTTGGCCACCTTTACCTCTCTAGTGGCGAGGTTTACACACCGCACAAGCTACTAATGTGAGGCTGAATCGACCTCGGGGAGGACCAGTTCAGATAATCGTCATTGGTGTTGGTCGTGAGCGGGAATTTAACTCGGGCACCAGGTTGATTACGCAGGGCACTAACCACTGCGCCACCGCTCCCAACACACAAAGACACACACACACACACGTAGATATAGTACAAACACCCCCACGCAACAGTTGTGATAAGACTTCAATCTCAACATGACAGTCTGGAATGGTATCAGCGGTACAGCAGGGCAAAGCGACAACACGAGTAGTTGCCGACAGCCCAAGATTCTGCTCAATGGGTATGGAGGTCCACTGCAGGCAACGTTGAGCAGGTGCGTCAAAGATTAAAGCGGTAAAAAAGTCTTCACCCAACGGCGCAAATCTTTTAAAGCACGCAGACGTGGCTTAGCGCGAGATCCGTTCACAGGGGCGCCACGGGTTCCCACCTGAGCCCGCGGCGCACGGGTCCAGAGATGAGTTTCACGTAGGACTTGGGGAACCAGCCCTTCTGGCCACCGCGCGCCTCCCCGAACCACCACATGTCCTGCTGCTCAAGCACCGAGATGACGTCGCCCTTGTTGAAGTTCAGGTGGTTCTCTTTCTTGGCACGCCACGGGTAGAGGGCCTGAGCCTGCACACCCTCGACCGGCTCTCCCTGCGCTCAGCACACACACACATGGAGAGAACACAGGTTTGAGCAAGCATGACACACACACACACTCGTATCAACGTACACACAGCGCTACTGTTGCGTGTGCAAATATGATCAGGTGCTGAATGCCAATGTCGAGGGCTGCGAGCCACGAAAGGGCTTCAGGAAAGAATTCGTGTAGTTTTTGCAATTCCTCTGTTGAAGGAACGCAGGACCACAGTGCATGGCCACAGCCGCATTGTGGATTGTCTTTAAGTTTCTATGTGCGCATCGGCCTGTTGACGTTCTGATATTGTTGATGGTTAAACCAGTGCCTTCGAGGAATGGCGAAAGACAGGAGGTTTTGGTCTCGGGTGAGGTGTTTATTCTAGACGTCATGCGTCGTTCCACGTTGCTTGACAGCGTTCTTCCAGATCTGGGTGAGATGCTACGATAGTGATGGCAGCGCGATCCCAGAAAGGGGATAAGGACTTGAGATAGCGACGAGGTACACGAAACACCCTCCACGGATTACCCTGTAGTCTGCAAAGACAAAGATCCCCCCTGTATAGCCTCAACAGACTGTTGGAGCAAGTGCTGTTAGCGAGAACCTATGAAGGCCGGCACGGTACACGAGGGGATGGGTGGCCAACACCACGCCCGAACACCTTTGTCTCCCCAGTGGCAATGTTTTTACACACCGCACCAGGTACTCATTTGAGGTTGAGTCGACCTAGGGGAGGCCCAGGACCGGTAGAGATATTCGAAACTGGTGTTGGCCGTGAGAGGGAATCAATTCCGTGTCGCCGGGTTCGTAGCGTGCTAACCACTCCACTAACGTGTGTAGTCTGCATACACACATCCCTCATTCTACACACACAGCCTTCAAATCGGCGTGCACACACACAACTCACAAACACACGAGCAACACGGCAGTGCAGCTGTCACCGCACACCTGTCCTGGCGTTGGCGAGGGGGACATGGACACGGAGGCCGGGGTGAAGGCCGAACCCTGTCGCTGGGCTGCCCCCGCATGCGCAACAGGCTGGGCTGTCGCGTGAGCGGCCGTGCTGTCCAGCGATTCCCAGGTGCCGCCCCCCGAATCGCCCCCCACTTCCGTGGTGCTAGTGCTGCCCGGCCACCTGCCCGACCAAACAGGAAACAACTCCATTGCAGCCACGATGATCTCACGGGACCAGATCCCGCGTGCGACTCAAGAATCACACGTACACATCCGGTCAGCGATTCATTCACACACCCACACTTTCACAAGGTCAAGACAAAGTCAAGAGTTCATCATGGCCAGAGGCAGATCTAATAACTTTTCAGGGTTGGGGGGGCGGTGGTGCGGTCCCACATTTCATGCCTTTTAAATAAGGCCCCTTCAAATATTTACATTTTAAATACCGATTTTCAGGACCTCAAGTGGGAGGCGATCGCTGCCATCGTTCCCACCCCCCCACTTTGGATCCGCCACTGACAAGGGCCAATGCCGCTGATGTTACCTCGCCATCGCTTGCTTCCGAAAGATCCCGTAATCGCCACTCAAACTTCGTGGACTGCCCTTGTGGTGTCATCCCCACCACTGTCTGGCTTTCCCCTTGTTGCAGTTAAAACGACATTCAAGGATTAGTAATACAGCCTCATCATGATCATCCGGCTTAAGCTTGCACATTTACAATGGTCAGCCCAAGCTGACTAATGCGACAGAGAATTTACTATTAAACACGTATTTATGTTTCTGCTATATTTTCAACTTCCATTTACTTCAGTGCAGTTACTTTATTTTTTCTTTTGTTTTGTTGTAAATTTTTTGTGACCACAGGCCTCTTGCGAATGAGACTATCATGGTCTCGTGACTTCTCCACTGGTTTAACAAAATAAACAATGAACTTGACACGAGGTCTCCCCTTTGGCCGCTGACCACAGAAAGCCACTCCACCACCTCTCTCGGCAACCTGCCCTCCCCCGTACCAACCACGTCTCACCTATCACAGCCTCCTTTTTTTATTACATCTCTCAACACTTTGCTGCCAAGTTCGATTCCAAACTTCCAAATTGCATGCCCCATCCTTCCAACGTACGCAGAGCAACCAGAAGTAAAGTGGTCACTATTGTACAGAAAACGATTTGAGATACAAGAGGGACATACGCGGTGCTGAAGTCTGCCCAGTTGCCAACACCTCCTCCTCCTCCTCCTCCACCTCCTCCTCCTTCTCCTCCACCTCCTCCTCCTGTTCCTCCTGCTGCTGCCAGTAGATGCCCCCCACCGTCTGGGGTCTGGGCCTGGGTGCCTCCCCCAATTTCGCCATCGGGAATGCGCTCACTGTAGTTGGCAGGAAACCACCCTGTCTGGCCACGCAGCTCCCCACCCAGCCAGCCCGGCTCCCCAGTTTGGTTCTCGTCGACCTGCAGACAAGACGCAACAAAATCATCACGGCCGTGGTCTATCCACTGTTAGATAATCCCAAGCGGGAACCTATCTGCTTGCCTAGTTGAGCACTTTCCTGAATTTTATTTGTCACATGATGCGCGGCGTTGCCGGTGAGGTGCACCGATTAAAAACACTGGCACGTAACACGTGTACACACACACACACACAACACGTTTAAACCAAAAAAAAACAATCACAAGCAAAGAGCACACGTGTATGTGTATGATCTTGTTTAAAATGTCAAACTATCAGCTCGAAGTAATGTTGTGTGTAGGAAAATATAACCCTCTCCATATGAACCTATGATCCTTTACATATTTCTGACTCCAAAGTCATGATTGATCCAGATAAGCTGGAAACCAACTTCAGCTTTAACCCGAACCCTTGACCCCATCCAAACCCCACCCAGCCTCAGAGCCTCGCACGACAGCTGTGAGAAACTTACCCAGTCCCCTTTCACCTCCAGGCAGACAGCGGCAGAGTTTACAAAGAAAAGAAGGGAGAGGAGGCTTGTAAAGAGAAGCAGAGAAACACTACAGAACACGGCAGCACAAGACGGTTCAAAAAGGAAATATTCACAGCAGAGAAATACGACTTAAAGTAAGCTACTGCCCAAAGCAAGTGCAGACACATTGCAGCGAAGTAACCACAGAGATATAAACACGCAAGTCTTTTGCAGCTGCTTGCAATCCAAGTGTGGTTGTCCGTGCCGGGCTGCGTGTTATTCTTCTCTCAGCGTTTTGCCGCGTGCTGCTGCGGGCATCTTGGGGAGGGTCACTGGGTGTGCCCCACTTACACACGGTTTGCCTCGCAGTCTTCCGACTGATGAAATGAACACGTTTTGCAAGCGCAGAGTTTGCCTGATCGTTGTCAATTGGTGAGCAGCGGGGAGCAACGCACGAGTGAGCAGTGAGCGAGTAGTCAAAGAGGGCTTACGAGGATGACGTCGCCAGGCTGGATCGTGAGCTCGTCCTGATTGCGAGCCTCAAACGGATACAGTGCTCGGTAGTACGCCACCTTGGACTCCAACGAGTCTGTTAAAAGAGCAACGCAGCTCACTCGCGTTTCCACGATACAATATTAATTGTCATGATGTTATGGTTTTACAGATATAATTTTTCTGTGATGCTGAAATTGAGTTTTGCGCATTATACAGTTTTTGTGATTTTATATACTTCCAGTCGGGGAAAAAAATGTCATTTTCATGGTTGATTGAATGAAATCATGTAATCGTAGAACTTCACAAACCTATAAAACTTATAAATGCGTCTGTCATTTACGCAAGACAGAAATAATTTAACAAATCATTGCGAGAGCCTAGGCCTGCAGTCGTGATGCAGGAAAACCGAACGTGTTTAACGCGTAACACAGCCAATAAAAAAAAACTAAATCACGACAATCACGATCTAACGATATTCCGCAAAAGGCACATTGCGGTGGTGACGGCAGCACGGGGTGGGCGACAGCGACCATTACCCGAGGGTTTCCTGACGGGCTCGCGATCTTGTTGCCGCTGCAGGATCTTATTGAGGCGGTCGGCCAACTCCATCTTGTGCTGGTTGCCGGGCGCCCCTGCCTGGACCACCGGAGGCGATTGCATCCTCCCCGGCAGCCTGGTCCGCCTGGGAGTCCTGCCCTGCGCTTCTCCTACTCGTGCACAAACACAGCCCTAATGTCACCCGCAGCTCTGCGGGGCCATCTTGTCACGAGCGATGCACAGCACGATGGGGGGCATGTCAGAATAGCGATTTGCATTTGTATTGATCGATTAAATTGCCACTGTATATATCAAGTAGGAAAAACCGAACGCACTGGGCAAAGAAATGACTGAGCTCGCTAAAATTATAAACGTGGCAATGTGTCCAGCTAAGAAGCTCACAGTGATGGACACCATTTGAGACCCGTCTCTAAGCGGTAGGTCTCATGTGAATGCGGGCGAAGTGAAATGAAGTCGCAGGCCGTACACAACCCACGGTCCATAGATTCCATCAGTTCCCCAGCCCTGGCACATCGAGAGGCAGCAGAGCGCTCTTTACCGCTTGCTCTCCGCTTGCTCCTGCTCCTCCGCTTCCCGCTGGGCTCGCGCTCGCTCCTCAGCTTCGCGCTGGGCTCGCGCTCGCTCCTCCACCTGCCTCTGCGCCCGTGCGCGCTCCTCGCTCTCCTTCTGCGCTCGTGCACGCTCCTCCGTCTCCTGCTGTGCTCTCGCGCGCTCCTCCACCTCTCTCTGAGCTCGCGCCCGCTCCTGCTGCAGCTGCTGCTGCCTCTCCTGCTGCAGCTGCTGCTGCCTCTCCTGCTGCAGCTGCTGCTGCCTCTCCTGCTGCAGCTGCTGCTGCCTCTCCTGCTGCAGCTGCTGCTGCCTCTCCTGCTGCAGCTGCTGCTGTCGCTCCTGCTGCTGCTGCCGTTCCTGCTGCTGTTGCCGCTCCTGCTGCAGCTGCCGTTCCTGCTGCAGCTGCCGTTCCTGCTGCTGCTGCCGCTCCAGCTTCAGCTGCTGCTGCCGCTCCTGCTGCAGCTGCTGCTGGCGGCTGTACATCTCCCGGAGCTCCTGCGTGGGGGAGAGGCCACAAGGGGGGGCCGGTGGTGCGGAGAGGGAGGCCGCAGGTGAAGTCCACCTACAGTCCCGGGCTGAGGCCCCTCCGGCGGGTCCATGAGGGATGATCCCCCCAGGAGCGTCGCTTCTATGCGGGCTCCTGATTTAAAAAAACCTCGGCCCTTACGCTGAAGCCTCCACGTTTGCAGTCAACGCTCGATTGTCCGTGCGCGGACTACCCGGAGAGCGCATTAACCGTGCTCATTTGCACCTTCCCGGTACAATTAGTAGTTCGTCAAGGGTTAGTGACACAGTGCCCACACGTTGACTGCAAACACGTAGGCAAGTGAATCGATTCCTTTAAGAAGCAAAAAGCAGACAGCACGTTCTAGGTCTGTACCCCCCCCCCATCCCGTTGTATGTAAACAATAAACACGTGTTTTGGCCTAAATTAACATACGATTACATTATCTGCACTTTTGTTTCACCTGGGCCACACTCCAACCCCCATTGCTTTGGATAATTGAGAGTTGACTGTAATGGGGGTAGGAGGAGGGGGGCATCAACGGCAACTCCACCACCTCCCAGCTACCGACACTTATGAGCACTACCAGCCTCCCAAAGCACCGTCAACAAATCCAAAGGTCTGCAATGTCCACCGGTAACGTGGAACCTCCCCGCACCGTCTTTTCATTGCCACACAAATACACGGCGAATCACGCAGACGGTCACGTTAGGTGGAGGTTTGTGAAAAGCGGCGCTGCCCGATTCAGCCCAACGTGAGCGTGTACTGTTGGTGTCACTTAGAGAGACTCAACCAACGCACAAAAAGGCTGCAGACAGCGTGGAAGACCACCACAAGGCGTGCAGTCATGCCCGCAGCCGCAGCGATAATTTCCTTCTCCCTTACACCTCTTCGGGTGAAACAATGACAGGACTGCCGTCTCCACAGGCGAGCAGTCTTTTGACTGCGATTAGGGTTAGACGCACGCGCGTACACCCACACTCACACACGTGCACTCGCGTGTTAGCGGTCTCCAGAGCAAGCTCTGTCGAGGCAGCAACGGCAGCGAGAGACTACAGCACACAGCTCGCGGTACTCATGTGTGGCAGCGGCACAGCCACAGCCTGTGCCTTTCAGTAGACGAGTCGTCATTTACACGGCCGTGTACAGCCTTTTGCCAATCTACTGCTGGAGGAGGACCATGTGGGTATTTATGCATACTTCACCGTGCTGTTCAATGACGGGCAGTGCAGGCATAGACCCAGGAGCATAAACGTATAGAATAGTAATGTTTGTATGCAGTACTGCCATCTGGCAACCTGTTTGTGTGAGATGGCCAAACATCCAGGTTCTATCCAGGCTCAACCACGCTTGGCTTCCGAGATGTTGACAAGATGGGCCGCCACCGCATTACGGTGACATGGTCATACGTATGGGTGGGTGTATGCTGGAATAATGGATCTTATTATCATGGAAACTTCTCCACATTGGGAAAGCAAAATCCTGGCACGAGCCAAGCACGCTGGTGAACAGGCGCCGCACTCGGGCAATGGAGACACGGACAATGGTGAGTGAGCAGGGAGAAAGGTCGGCAGACAACTTGAGCGCACAAAAGAGCAAGGTACGGAGAGATGAGACAGCACGGAGAGGAGTGTGCACTGCTACCGCCGCCACCGAGTGCTGCATCGCATACAACCATCCAGGCCCAGCCATGCAGCGTGACGGGCAGCAAGCCACTACGGGCCAAAGGGGGAGGGGACGTGAGTGACGGAGCTGGCATCACATTAGCAAAGCGACACTCTACTGGTGGTGTTGTTAAGACTGCGATTAGATGGAGTGTCCATTGCACTCATCGTCTTTAAGAAAAACCGTCAGAGAATTTAAAGTGACGCTGAGAAAAATAAAAGGTGGGGTAGACATGGATGCTTCCGAAAGCAGATCGCGTTTACCAAAAATATTTTCTCAGCTGAACTTTACATTATTTTTCCAAAAGTAATCACATTATTAGGGTTAATAACAGCAACATTTAACAGTATGAAAAAAATCCAGTTCTCAGGTTTGCATTTCAACATAAATGAAAGATAAGATTTCTGCGGGAGGCACTTAATTTATGGGCAAATCTGGCAGTCTCCAATCAGCCTCCTGCAGTACCAAAAGAAACCCTTAAAAGTAAAAGCAGTTTCCCTCCTCGAGCATCGCAACAGAACGGCAGGCAGTAGCCTGAGAACAAGATAATTTGCACGGTGATCGCTGTGACGTTAGTGCCCAAGTGTGACTGGTGTGTGTGCAGCGGAGCGTCGCGGCGCCCAGCTACGAGTGTGTGACCTTCAGAAAGAGGCCTATCTGTGAGAGACAGCCCAGAGAGGCACAGAGACACTGACACACGAGCCCGTCCACCAAGCCCGGCTGCAAGAGACGGGGAGGGGTGCACAGGAGTGCGTCGCATAAGCCAGAGGAGCCTGAAAGTGCCCGGCGTTGGTGCACGCCTGTGCCGAAGAGGAGAGCGCCACGACCAAATCATCCCGAGTGCACCCAATCTCGTCAGCTCCACGGAAGCGAAGCAGATTTCATCCTAGTTTGTACTCGGATGGGACACTGTCTGGGGGTACCAGGCGTTGTAGGCTTGGGATACGATTAGGCCAGGACGTGAAGGTTTGCTGCAACTGATTCTTGAATCCATCTGTGTGCGGCTTCGAGTCTTATACCCACGTATGCACAGGTTTTATTCAGGTACTCTGGTCTCCTAGGCAATGAAATCAAACTTTGATTGTAAGAATTGCCTTAATGTCCCAAAGTTGCACGATCCTCCTGAAAAGGAGTCTTGGGACTCAGGGAGGCTTTCCTGGATAAACAAAGTGCATTATTGTTGAATATATAATTTCAACAGTACCGAACAGCAGACACAAGTGTGGCTGCTTGAGGCGTGGATGCACCTGTGTGTTTGGACAGACACTTGGTCTTGTGAGAAGAGTCCGGTGGTGGCCATGCACTCACTGCTTGTGGCTCTAACCGTTGGCATGGCTGACCGAGACTGCGTTGATATGGCAATGCCGGAGGGTGCACGTTCGCTCGGTGGAGGTGCGGGGCTCTGTGTGGTTATGCTGGCCGTGTGTGGCTGTGGTAGCGGCACGCCACTGCGATGAACGTCGGGCAACGTCACCTTCAGCTGGTTGTTGAAGGCGTCGATGTCGTTCAACCGCTCGGCCGTCTCGGTCTCGACGGAGACCAGGGTTTCCCGCAGGCGGAGGCAAGCGGCCTCGCGCGCCAGCTGTGCCTTGTGCACCCCGGTGAAAGAGTCATCTGTACACGCACGGGGGCGAAGGTGGCGGGACGGAGACGTCGCAATAAATCACCACAAAACGCCTAGATGCTCTTACAATCCTGCGGAACCCGTCCCCGTGGTCCGTGCAGTTACAATGATATCAGACAAAACGGCCAGCGCACATCCGCCGGCCGTCCTCAGCGGTTCACTTGGTAGGTCACCTGCCCGGTGCCTCATCTGGTCCCAAGACTCTGGATTGTTCTTCATACCTCCTTGGGACATGGCACACTGGCCAGGCACTCACTCACAGGGGCTGGATATTTCTAACAATCCTTGAGGCACACACATTAGTGCAATGACAAAGATACACCGTATAACCTGTGACAAACTGTTGGGGAAAGTGGTGTTAGCGAGCACCTATGAAGGCCGGAACGGCACACGAGGGGGTGGGTGGCCTGCACAGTGTCTGGCCGTCTTTGTCTCCCCAATCGCGATGTTTACACAGGTACTCATTTAAGGCTAAGTCGACCTAGGGGAGGCCTAGAACTGGTTCCAATAATCGTCACTGGTGTCGGCCATGAGCTGGAATCGAACTCGGGTCGCCGGGTATGTAGAGCAGTGCACAAACTGTTGCATTACCGCTTCGCACATTTATACACAAACACACACACACCAGGTTCGGATAACATTTGCCACTGATGTTAGCTGTGGGCCGGAATCAAACTGAGGTTGTAACGCAGTGGGCTAGCTACTGCCCCACGACCATACACACACACACACACACAGAGCTCGGACATGAATCCAAGTCGCACTCTCACCCCGATTGTGCTCTGTATGTCTCTGCTCAGCATTAACAGTTAAATTGTTGGTGCTCTTACTTGGAAGAATGCTTACAATGGTTGCAATACAATTTGGACAAAATGCAGATAGTTCGTTATTTCCTGCTCCAATGAGCATTAAGGCAGTGGATCCTCTCCTGCTTCCGTACCCAGGTCAGTGGTGGAGATTCCGCATGCCCTTGGCGACGGCGAGTCCATCCATCACTGTTGAATTTCCCACAAAGTGGTACTCATCTTAATTATCCCACAGGAATGATGGGTTGCGTCAACCTTACTCGGGATTTGAACTCCGGCTGCGAGCTGCTCGCTCGACTGCCGAGCCACATGCCCACGTAAGAGTAGGTAATGCAGGGTGTTTAGAGACACGGCAGTCACCGTAAGTTTCACGTTAGTTTTCGATTTAAAGCTTTCGTGATTGCAGGGATTCATCTTCTTGGTTCTTTCGGGAAAGTCACGTAGAAGGGAAGTAATAAAATAATAAAAATAAAACATAATAAAATAATTCTCACAACGTTTCGAAGACGGCTGCTTGCGTTGTGGCCGAAACGTCGTGAGAATTATTTTACTATGTTTTATTTTTATTATTTTATTACTTCCCTTCTACGTGACTTTACCGAAAGAACCGAGAAGATTTCACGTTAGTCTTGCTCAAGTGAAAAGGAAGAAGTCAGTAGGGAACTCACTCTGAGTGTGGTTCTGCTGCACATGCTTCAGCTGCTCGCTCAGAGACTGCTTCTCTGGAACCAGGCGTGCCAACATTTGCTGATGCTCCTGCACTCGTACACAAGACAAAGACAAGGATCGCCCGTATAGCCTCAACAGACTGTAGGAACGAGTGCTGTTAGCGAGTACCTATGGAATGCCGGGACGTCACACGAGGGGGTGGATGGCCAGCACCACGCCCGGCTGCCTTTGTCTCCCTAGTGGCGATGTTTACACACCGCACCAGTTACTCATTTGAGGCCAATTCGACCCAGGACTGGTTCAGATAATCATTACTGGTGTTGGCCGTGAGCGGGAATTGAACCCAGGTGGCCATGTTTGTAACGCAGCGTACACACACACACACATGCACACGCAAATAAAGATCCAGCTATAGCTTTAACATACACACACGCACAATCACTCACGCGCATACGCAATTAGTCTGCGACTCTCAAAACCAGGCAAGAGAGCTTCTGCGACATATGATATAATACTACACGATATAAGCCCACAATTGTAGCATCATCTGTTTATCTAAATATTTTAGAGCATGCTTTTTTTATTCCATATTTGATTTTCTGACAAATACTAAGAAACACAATCGTTCCAATTCTAAATACCCAATCCCACGAAAATGCTATTTTACAAAACGTTTTCCAGACAGCATGTTAATTACGTGATATCATACATTTACAAGTTAATATATTTCTTGTATAACCAACAACTTGTGCATTATTAGCATCAGACATTGTGAAGTGAAGTAAACTGCAATCAAACACAATTGAGAATGGTAGTGCAATAACCCACAAAAACAATATAATAAAAATTCTAAACACAACTGCAGTCTTCTTGGTTCTTTCGGTAAAGTCACGTAGAAGGGAAATAATAAAAATAAAACATAATAAAATAAAATAATTATCACGACGTTTCGGCCACAACGCAAGCAGCCGACCTCAGCGGCTGCTTGCGTTGTGGCTGAAACGTCGTGAGAATTATTTTATTATGTTTCATTTTTATTATTTTATTATTTCCCTTCTACGTGACTTTACCGAAAGAACCAAGAAGATGAATCCCTGCAGTCACGAAAGCTTTAAATCGAAATACAACTGCAAAGTTCCGGGAAACCGTTTTCGCGAGAATCATCTTGTCGCGACAAAAATAATATCGTGGCATCCCCGTTTGAGCGATGCTCAAACCGCGGGCGCGTGCCGCACACGTAGTCACCTGCAGCTGCTTCTGCAGCAAGTCCAGCTGGGAGAGCTTGATCTCGCGCGCGCTGTTGGTTCGCTCCAGCTCCTGCCGCTCGATCGGACAGCCGGGCGCGAACGTCCTGCAGCTTCCCGTCGAGCTGCTGCCGCTTGTCACCCTGGAAACGACGCGACAACTACACTGAGACAAGGCACTCAACCCAGGCAATGCAACTACGCTCGGACGCAACACCCAACCAGGCAACGCAGGTAGTGCCGAGAGGACACGGCGAGAAATGAAGCACCGAGCGCAAGCAAGAGAGCGCGCGTGTGCACGTGTACTCGCCACTGTCTCCAGCTGGAACTCCAGCGTCTTGCGTCGAGCCTTGAGGCCCACGATGGTCTCCTGCTCGCGGTTGCGTTGGTTGAGCAGCTCCTGCCGTCGCGTGCGCTCCCACTCCATCTGACGCTGCCGCTCCAGCTCCCGCTTGGCGGCCTCAACAGCGCGGGGTCCACAGCGACACGGGCAGCCGGCACACACGCACCACCACGAGCATCCCACTCAAGCCAACCGTGCGTGCATCACGTACCGGCGTCAGCTTCCTGTGCAGCTCTTTTACACCAAACTCAGCACTGACGACGCACAGGATTTCCCCTTTCCCCTACCCCTCCCTCCCCCTTCACTTTATTTCCCTGCTTCCTCACTCCTCTTCTCAGTGTTTATTCACTAGAATGCTGCATATTATTTGGGATTCTGAGTAAGCTGCTTGTTCATAATGCAGCTGCCGAAGTGCTCACACGCACACCATTTCGCGAGCACATCACACAACTGCTCTCCCTGTCTTCACATTGGCTACCAGTTAAGTTTCGAGTGGACTGCAAGATTCTGCTGCTGACCTACAAGGCACTCAATGGGTTAGCCCCACAATATTTTCATGAACTGATCAATCTTTATACACCAGCAAGGTCCCCAAGATCTTTAGATCGCCTTTTTCTAAGTACTCCGAAGTCAAGGCTTTGCTCCTGGGGTGACGGGGCTTTTGAGTCAACCATAATAGAGGGTTTTTGGTTAGATCGCGTAAATATAAATGTGACGTTAAACCCGCCGCCACCCCAATTAGTAAGGTTGGTCACTGAAACAAAACAAGACAATTATTTGCTGGTTCAGCACACCGCTGTGTTGGAGAGTAAACCCACAACATTTACAATAAGAGTACAACGTTTCGCCGGTAATTACAACGAACATCAGGCGACAGCCACAATGGGGGTGAACACATATCAGGCATCATCTGTTTTATCGCTGAAAACATGTTTGTTTTCAAATGGGCATGGAATCACTGCCCATCAGTGAGGAGCAGCTATTAATGAAACAGTGGGTATATAAAAATCAGTTTTTTTCACAAGCACAGTTAATCCGTAACCCGGACCCATCTAAAGTTAACTGGAATAGTATTGAGCAACGACCAGCTGATGACTACGGTTGAGGTCTGGGCAAGGTGGAGGAAGGTCACAATGAGAGCTGCCAACACGGCGGACAAAGACCACATCATCAGACTGGTCTCCATGACCAATTACTTGGTAGAACCAAGCAGCCCGAACACACTCAACTTAAATTTCGATTTAAAGCTTTCGTGACTGCAAGGATTCATCTTCCTGGTTCTTTCGGTAAAGTCACGTAGAATAGAAATAATAAAATAATTAAAATAAAATTTTTATTTTATGTTGTGAAAATGAACTACTAAGTTGAGTGTCTTCCTGGTTCTTTCGGTAAAGTCATGTAGAATGGAAATAAAAAAATATTAAAAAAAGAAGACACTCAACTTAGTAGTTCATTTTCACAACATCGTAACAACACAGCAACAACCCAAGTTATCCCTAGTCTAAGCCTGGCCTCCTACCTCCCTGCGCTCCACCTCCCTCCTCCTCTCCTCCTCCCTCTGTCGCTCCATCTCCCGCTGGCGCTCCAGCTGGCGCTCCAGCTCCGCCTGGCGGCGCCGTTCTTGCTGCTGGCGCTCGCGCTCCCTCCGCTCGTGCTCAGCGCGCTCCACGGCCAGCAGGCGTTCGCGCTCACGGCGCTGCGTCTCGGCCAGAGCAGCACGCCTTCGCTCCAGCTCCTGGTTGCCCTTCTCAAAGTTCTCCCTCTTCTTGTCCTCAAATGTCACTTGGGGGGGGGGGCGGAGGAGGAGCAGCAGCAGCAGAATTACGCGAGTTCACAGATCTAAAGGCGGGCCCACCACACACCGCCTGAGCGATCAGTCGCGCCGTCCAAATCACTCTCGAAATCGTGCAACTTAAATAGCTGCTTATACGTCCGTATCTTTGGTCGTAGAGATGTTTCGCAGACGAGCAAGTCAGTTGCATGCAACCAAGTTGGGCAACCGATTGCTCAGGTGTAGACCTGCCTAAAGGCGACTTAAACGTCCTGGCTTGACTGGGACAATCCCAGTGATTTCAGAATGGCTGTCTAATTGTTGTCAAGCTTTTTGTGCAAAATCTGAAATGTATCTGTAACAGAATACATTTCAGTTTTAAATTTTGCATGGCCTCGTGTTTCTCACTTGCTCACTTTGACTCATGATAGGGACAACTGGCGAGGCAACCTGAGCAGTGGGCGGGGCTGGTGGAGTGAGTGGGGCCTATCAGCAGTGAGCGGGACCAACATTCGAAGTTTAAATTCATCTTAGGGGCCGTCCATAAATGACGCCACGCGATTTTGGACGATTTTTGACCCCCCCCCCCTTTGTCACACGGCATCATAAAAAGTCAGACACCCCCCTCAAATGACATTACACAGCTCTGCCCCCCCCCCCAAATCACTTTAAACTATTGTCATTGTAGTGCGTATTTAATGTGGCCCTGCACTCTGATGTTGTAGGAGAAAACATTTATTAAAAAGTCTATTGAATTAAGTAGAACGTGTTGTCTATATTTATTTAAAGTTGCGCATTTTGATGCGACGTCACATTTCTCAAACCCCCCCCCCTCGTCACACATCGTCACAAATGTCTGACCACCCCCCGCCCCCCCAGGTGCGTGACGTCATTTATGATCCCATTTAGCTGGTTGCCCAGTTATTTTGCAAGGGAGATTGATGGTGCCGTGAGCACAGAAGCAACAAAACAAAGGCAAGAACATCAATTTTGCCGAGTTGTGCTCCAGGTCCCGGAGCTCGTATATAAAAGTGATAGATGCATCATGAAATGATCTAATGCACATCACAGCCAGATCACTGAAACAGACACCAATCCCCTGGCTCCCTATTTTGGCGAACACTGCCACCAAATATCCATGAAACATGCAAACTGCGAAGGAGTTTACACGTTTTATTGCCACGACAACCTACCCATCAACCAAGACCTCAACAACGTTCCTCACCGCCTACTCAAGCCCCCCTTCTAGGATCGTGCTGTCAACATCCTAGAGTTCTAGATTAGACGTTTTCGTGACTGCAAGGGTCCATACTCTTTGGTTTTTTCGGTAAAGTCACGTAGGTAAAAAATAGGAAAATAAATTAAATCACATGTCGTGATTTAATTTATTTTCCATTTTTTACCTATAAATTAAATCACACGTCGTGATTTAATTTATTTTCCTTTTTTACCTACGTGACTTTACCGAAAAAACCAAAGAGTAAACATCCTAGAGTCTCACCTCGATCCGGAAAAACGCCGGTGAACAGAGTAGAACAACACGGATACCAAGAAAAAACCAAGACAAATGGTGTAACCACGAGCCACATCAAAACATCAAAAGACTGATGTGCGCATCTCATCTTGAAAGGAAAATAAACGACAAGCCACAATGCAACTGGCTATGAAACCCAATCTATGGACGATATATTAAACCACTGTCGTCTTCAATGCAATAGCAAAACTGCACAAACCCTCCCCTGAATCCCTCCCGTGGCTATCAGATCTCGACATTGGCATTTAGCTCCGAAACATTTTGCCACATGCAAGAATGGAACTGAGTGGGCGGGGGAAACGGCAGAAGTTGCGTGCAGGTACCAGGTAGTTTTTTCTCCTGTTCCTCTTCGGCAACCTCCTCTGGAGGTTTCTGTTCGAGGAGCGACACGGAAACGCCGCTGCTGCTGCTGCCTCCAGAGAGGGAACTTCCAGTGCGCGACCGCCTGCATGCGACGCAAGGTGGCGCACGATGAGACACGGTGACACGGTACAGCGAGTTAAGGAATCTCGTTCTAGATTTGAAGCTTTCGTGACTGCAAGGATTCATACTCTTAGGTTTTTTTCGGTAAAGTCACGTAGGTAAAAGAGACCAAGGTGCTCTGCAAACCCTCTGGCTACCATCAAAGGTTTGTACACGAAGCCATCCAGATATACAAACACAGACATAATTTCAACCGTGATGATGGGTACAAACTGAGTAATCATTGGAAAGATGTTATTAACCATACAAAAAAGATTTAACTACACATTTTTGGACCATCTTATTTGACAGGTACTATTCTACTTTACCGAGTGTTGACATCCCCAGCGTTTAACAGTACTCTCCTTTTTGTATTTGGATTGTCAACCAACACCGGGTAAAACAACAACATGTGCACCTCTTGTTCTCTTTTAGCATGTTGGCTACCACATTCAGATAAGCCCCTCCCCCCTTAACTTGTATTTAAGAACTTGTATCTTGGAATTTCAGCCTCACTTGATACAGTAAATCTAGCTGTGACGGTCCCACCTGATGACGGAGACTTGTGTTGCCTCCGAAACGTCGTGATTTATTATTTTATTTCTATAATTATTTCTATTATTTCTATTTTATTACTTATTTTTACCTACGTGACTTTACCGAAAAAAACTAAGAGTAAGAAATCTCGTGGCATGATCCAAAATGTCTCGTGTGGAACGGCACTGATGTTTAAGTCCTCGTGCCGGTATGTGGTTTAACCGTCTGACAGAACAACGAGTCTGTCTGTGCGGTGGTGTCTGCTGTACTGCAACACACCTGAACGAGGGAGGCATTAGGTCAGCGGTGAGGGCGGCAGGCAGCGGCTGTCCAGACAGTGCCATATCAATGAGATGCATGGCCAAGATGAACTCCTCAGCCGTTAGCTTGCCATCTTGGTCGATGTCTGAGAGACCCCTGCACACAACCAAAAAGACACAAACGTGGAATTAAAGCGCAGGTTTGGGTGCCTTCACAGTCATAGGAACCACACAATTGTATACAACAAGTATAACCCGTAAAAACAAAGTTTTTCACTCTAAATCCTTTATATGCGTGGCGGCTAGAGTCCTCTCGTCCTCTGGCTTGAGATGGCTGCCACCTATGGGTCAGATGATTGTCTGCAGTATTAAAAAATTGGTAATTAAATATTTAATTTGTTTTCCCTAAACAGTGTAAAATTTGGGAATTTTTTTTTCACGAACATTAATTGTCTTGCACAACGAGTCTGTGTGCAAAATGTCAGCTCGATTGGATCACGGGAAGTGGGTTAAAAAACGACCGAAAGGTTTGCACGGTCGTAAGCAAGCAAGCACGCAAGCAACCAAGCGAACTTAATATAAAGGATTTCAAAATAAAAGAGAATGGGAGAAGCACCCGGGGTAGAGCCGGGTGAGGGATCCTCACCAGATGGCGGCGAGCTGCGGCTGCGTGAGGTGGGACTGCATGAGGATGTTTCTGGCCTGTGGCCCTGCACAGCCGACACATGGGAGCTATTAAAAACACGCACACTACACAAAGACACTCACACACACCACTGGGCACACACTGGTCATCAGAAACACAGCAACTGCAACACTATCTGCACCACTTACTACTACCACTAGCAAGATCACCATCAGCACCGCCACCAGCACCACCAGCGTGACCAGCCACACACAGGCCTCCAAGACAACACACACTACTAGACACACACAAACATACACCACCAGGCACACGACAAGCTATCAAATTCAACACACAAACGAGGATGTATAAATTCTGCATCTTAAACTCTCTCAGAATTCTCAAGATGCATCGCATTGTGAGGCACCTGTCAGGAAGCCGCTCATCGTCTTGTCGTGGCTGTTGAAGAGCTGTCGGTACTTGAGGCGAGATGATTGTGGGACAGCCCAGTCAGCCGCCCTGCAAAAAATACAAAGATCCCCCATATAGCCTTAATAGACTGTTGGGGCAAGTGCTGTTTGCGGGCACCTATCAGGGCCGACACGGCACACGAGGGGGTGGGTGGCCAGCACCACTCCCAGCCACCTTTGTCTCATGAGTGGCGATGTTTACCCACTGCACCAAGTACTCATTTGAGGCTGAGTCGACCTAGGGGAGGCCCAGGACTGGTTCAGGAATCGAATTCGCGATCCTGGTTTTGTGGCGCAGCGCGTTAATTGCTGCACTACCGCACCCCACAATAAGGTACAAAGACAAAGATCCCCCATATAGCCTTAACAGACTGTAGGGACAAGTGCTATTAGCGAGCACTTATGAAAGCCGACACGGCACACGAGGGGGTGGGTGGCCAGCACCACGCCCGGCCGCCTTTGTCTTCCTACTCCCAATGTTTCCACACCACACCAGGTACTCATTTGAGGCTGAGTCGATAATTAGGTACACCTACGCAAGCCCGCAATATTGTACAGAGGTGCAGAACAACACCACACATTGAACATACACACCAACGCATAACAGGATACACCAACACAAAATTAGGTAAACACACGTCAATACATACCACACATAGAACACACATACCAACACACGTGACATACCAGTACGTTTTGATTTAAAGCTTTCGTGATTGCAGGGATTCACCTTCTTGGTTATTTCGGTAAAGTCACGTAGAAGGGAAATAATAAAATAATAAAAATAAAACATAAAATACAATTCTCACGACGTTTCGGCCACAACGCAAGCAGCCGGAAAATCAGCTGTCTTTCCGACAGACCTGTTCTTCACCTGAAGACGGCTGCTTGCGTTGTGGCCGAAACGTCGTGAAAATTATTTTATTACGTTTTATTTGTATTATTTTATTATTTCCCTTCTACGTGACTTTACCGAAAGAACAAAGAAGATGAATACCAGTACGTGACAACACAAACTACAAACAGCAGATACATGACAACACACTGCGACATATTGGTGACCGGCACTGTGATGCATCGCTACACCAGGACTCGCTCGCCTGGGCCAAGGTGCTTACATGGTGGCTTCAGCCGACAGGGCTTTCTGCATTTGAATGGGACCAATCCCAGGCCCAACTCCTGCTCCGGGTCGGCCGAATGTGGAACCTAAGGGTAGCGTGGCACCTGAAAGAGGAGATCCCACACCGCAGGAATGTCCTGCATTAACGTCATTATCACAAACAGCCCCAAATATTTCACTGCGGGGGGGGGGGGGGATTAATGAGTCAACGTACATTATGCGTGCGCATTATGCGAGCCCTTTGATCGTATCCTTTCTGTCCATTGTGTATTAAAAGTGCCCCCCCCCACTTTGCGCAAGAACGCAAAAGTGTGGTTACCACATCTACGCCTCTATATAAAGAACGAAACAGGTGGACTTCTCCACAAATCTGGCTGTCGCCTGATGAAGCTAGTTGTAATTACTAGCGAAACGTCGTACTCAGACTGTAAATGTTGTGGCTCGGCTCTCCAACACATCGGTGTGCTGTACTAGTGACGAATTGGCATGTTCTGTTTACGTGACAACCCTTACTAGTTGACTGTGTCAGGTGGTGGCGGGTTTTAACGACACATTGAAATATTTATGCGCTCTAACCCAAAAAAGCCTACGCGTAAACTGCATGGAGCATGCTCGCTGGAATGATCTAGCTTCTGAACCTATCCAGATTCTCACCGCTTAAACAAAATGCTGCTTTGCTGTTAAACACGGGGCCAGAAAGACCTGCCTAGGCTGGTGTACTGAAAACACGTTTAATTTTGAGGCATGTTTTGCTTATGTATCTGTTACGTATGACCCTCCGTGATGGCTTAAGACAAACTATACAGAGGGCTTGAGTTTGCCCGAGTCTGTCCGGGGCCAGCGACCCAGAATATATATCCTCACGCGACGCACCAGATCGAGCATCGTTTTTGTTATCCACGTGGCTATGACAGAATGACTCACGTACACCAACTTCAGATCCACAATATATTGAGTGAGAAATCAGGCCCGGGTTATACACACATCGCTGCATGTAATCAATCTTACAGCCCACCCCCCTCACCTCTCTCTCTCCTTCACACTGCATTTTGCAAATGGGAAAGTTGGTAACTCTAGATTTGAAGTTTTCGTGACTGCAAGGATTCATACTCTTGGGTTTTTTTGGTAAAGTCACGTAGGTAAGTGATACGTAGGTATCACTTGATGCAGAAATTTTAGCTGTGACGGTCCCACCTGATGACGGAGACTTGTGTTGCCTCCGAAACGTCGTGATTTAATATTTTATTTTATTTCTATTATTACTTTTAGTAATTTTATATTTTACCTACGTGACTTTACCAACAAAACCTAAGAGTATAAAGTTGGTAACCTTTAGAATACACGTGCCATGCTAGCACGTCACAAAAGTGTTGCCCCCATTGCACGCGGGGGACACGGGTATAACACGTAACGGACAAGTGACAGAGATCCACGCGTATCCTACACAAGCTGCCAGGGCAAGCGCTGTTAATCGCGCCACGGAGGCGAGATGTTAACTACCCCGCCTGGTATACAGGAGGTTGTGCGTTCGATCCCGACACTGACGCCTGCTGGATATTTTCTCTCCCCGTGGTCGTGTGGATCCTCCGGATTTCCGCTCCACATTTAGAATGAACATCACGCGTTTAAAGTATTCATAGTATTTGGCCGCCGTAAATTTCCACGTAATGAACACACACGCGTACGCGAAAGTATCGTGACACGCACCAGTCGTAGGGAAGGGCTGCATCAAGCCCTGCACACCGTTGGCCATAGGTGCAGGAATTCCCACAGTGCTCAGCGGCGGCGTCAAGGAAGACGGCGCCACGCCCGCGAGGGACCCTCCCACCAACGCGCTCCCCAGGGAGCCCCCCACTCCGAGCAGAGGGGCCCCGCCGACAAGAGGCCCGAAGGGGGAGCGCTGCAGGATGGCAGGTGGCAGCACCGCGGGGAGCGCGTGGCCGTGTAGACGCATCTTGATGAGTTTCATGGCGATGGAAAACTCCTGGGCGTCCATACGACCGTCGCCATTCAAGTCCGCCAGCGCCCTGCAAGAACACAGCAAATCAGCCTCCTCCCCGCACAAGTTCCCTCCACATACATACACGCTCGCCGCTGCCACGACCACAGGCGGCGACGGCAGGGGTGATTTGCAGGCAGGCAAATGTGATTGTGACCGTGGGATCGGTCCTCCCATGTTACATCATGACACCATGTCTATGCTACATCCACTTGGGCTACACTACTGCCGCTATCAAATATAACACCGTCACAATTTTTGCTCTTTTGTGACTGTGGCACAAAACGTAGGGAAGTGATGTCAAGTGGCATGCAAGACACAATAGGAGAGGTAAAAAAGGAATTCTTCTGGCAATTCCAGATGAAATAAAATGGCTTTAACCAACTCAACATTTATCCACTCCATGATACAAACAATGCATGGACCGATCCTATGGTCACAACCTTGCCTTTTTCTTTCCAGAAATCAGCTTTTGAGTGTTTATTATTGCCCTTACTTGTTTCTAGCAAACACTTCATTCAAAAAATTGCATGAGATTTGTTTGAGGCAGAGGGTAAATGATTGATCGATGCTCACCATATTTGTGCAAGGACGGGTGCAGGAAGCCCCGACTGCAGAAAGAAGCTTCGTGCCTGCTCACCTTCAAAGACAATCATGGACACAATGACATTGAAGCACGTTAAACACCCGTGTTTTCAAGCAGAGTTTCTATCCAGTGTCATCCTCATAACTGACGGTTGGTGCCCATGACAGATGCCATCGTTCACGATTGAGAGATCCATCTGACTGCTCACATTGTGCCACCATACTGATCTGTTTCATTCAACACATAAAATATATTGCAGATTGCTTCTCCATATCTCCAGCTGTGACCTTCTAAGGTTATGTCCCATGTATGCCACCTTTCTTCCAATCAGACTTCTCAGTAATTGCTGCTTGTAGCCATATCTCAGCACATCTTAACTTTTATTATCATCGCACGAGCGTAACTCTTTCCGTTCTACCGTAACACCACATCTCGAATGCATTTAGCCTCTTCATGTGACACTCCACACAAATTCTGGATTTGAAGCTTTCGTGACTGCAAGGATTCATATTCTTAGTGACGGTCCCACCTGATGACGGAGACTTGCGTTGCCTCCGAAACGTCGTGATTTTTATTTTATTTTATTAATTTTGATTTCATTTTTTACCCACGTGACTTTACCGAAAGACCTAAGAATATACTCCACACAAAGCCTTTCAATATCTCTCATCCTCCAGGTTCTGTTATAAGTGTATGGAAAGGTGAACTCAAACCGCAACACAACGATTACAAAAGTAAGGTGAGAGATTACCTGTAATGTAACCTCCTGCTGGGCTGACACTAAGGAATTGCTGGTCATGCTTGGCTCGCTCCTCCGAGCTGATGGCCCACACGTCCACAGCAGCTGCATCACACGTACACGCACCATCATCACTGCCCATGGTCTAATCACTCCTGGATGATCTCAAGACATCACCATAACTCGTGGACTCCCAATGCAACAATTCATCTAGCAAACCACGGTGGATGTCGTCTCATTTATATTCCCTCCTTTAGCTGCCATGCTCACATTAGTCTCGTCCACCATTCATAATCCTTTCTAGCAACGTCCACTAGCTTGCCTTGAACTACAAATGAATGTGTTTGACCTGTACGTCCTATATTCCACTTCTCTCTCGATGCAATTCCTCCGATTAGCACGGTTGGCTATGTATGGCGCGAAAGAAGTTCAACGTACATATGTACATTCCAAGCATGCACCTCTCTCTGCTTTTTTGTACGCTTGTTGTTTTTTATCTCCACCGTCAACTGCACGCCAACTAAAACATGCTGCACACTCGCTGGTCTTAAGACTCTAAGTTGCATTTCATTCGCCGCGTCTTGCCGACAATGTCTTGCGAGAGTGCTCAAGCGGCCTCACCGGCAAACGATGTCCCAAACTGGTCCATGTTTACATCTCAGCTGAATCACGCACACTCCATCTGGCAGAAATAAACACAAGGCCATCAGCGCAGGATCGTGTCGAGACAGCACAACATAGAGAGCCGATATTAGTACAGAGGCAGTGGCGTGGACATTACTCAGCAAGCAACGTTCATGACAGCAAGAAATGCAGAAAAAGTGCACAATACAACCAACAAGGGCGGCACCGCTGCTAACCCGAACCCAACACACCATAAATGACAGCACTAAAATACCAATAGAGTTATGAGAACAATACCATAGAATAATTTCAACACAACGAGAGTACAGGCCATTATAGCAATCGCCAGCACTGAACACACTCCACAGCACTGAGATATGGCACTGAGAGGAAACCCGTGACAACACTGACATCATCACCACAGCGTGGACACAACACTGGTCCCGCTACGTTTGAAAGTGGACGAAGAACCATGACACCACCTACAGTGCTCTGAGTGTGAATATAAATCACTCTGACACTCACTGTCCTGACAACAGCGACATGACAGTATGCTGACAGCACTGACAGCAGTGACATCACCAACAGCAGTGATATCACCAACAGCAGTGACATCACCAACAGCAGCGACATCACCAACAGCAGCGACATCACCAACAGCAGCGACATCACCAACAGCAGTGACATCACCAACAGCAGCGACATCACCAACAGCAGCGACATCACCAACAGCAGCGACATCACCAACAGCAGCGACATCACCAACAGCAGCGACATCACCAACAGCAGTGACATCACCAACAGCAGCGACATCACCAACAGCAGCGACATCACCAACAGCAGCAACATCACCAACAGCAGTGACATCACCAACAGCAGTGACATCACCAACAGCAATGACATCACCAACAGCAGTGACATCACCAACAGCAGTAACATCACCATCAGCAGTAACATCACCAACAGCAGTAACATCACCAACAGCAGTGACATCACCAACAGCAGTGACATCACCAACAGCAGTGACATCACCAACAGCAGTGACATCACCAACAGCAGTAACATCACCAACAGCAGTAACATCACCAACAGCAGTGACATCACCAACAGCAGTGACATCACCAACATCACTAACATCACCAACATCACTAACATAACCAACAACAGTGACATCACCAACAGCAGTAACATCACCAACAGCAGTAACATCGCCAACAGCAGTGACATCACCAACAGCAGTGACATCACCAGCAGCAGTAACATCACTAACAGTAGTGACATCACCAGCAGCAGTGACATCACCAACAGCAGTGACATCACTAACAGTAGTAACATCACTAACACACAGTAACATCACCAACAGCAGTGACATCACCAACAGCTGTGACATCACCAACAGAAGTAACATCACTAACGCACAGTAACATCACCAACAGCAGCGACATCACCAACAGCCGTAACATCACCAACAGCAGTGACATCACCAACAGCAGTAACATCACTAACACACAGTAACATCACCAACAGCAGTAACATCATCAACAGCAGTGACATCACCAACAGCAGTAACATCACCAACAGTAGTGACATCACTAACATCACTAACAACAGTGACATCACCAACAGCAGTGACATCACCAACAGCAGTAACATCACCAACAGCAGTGACATCACTAACATCACTAACAACAGTGACATCACCAACAGCAGTGACATCACCAACAGTAGTAACATCACCAACAGCAGTGACATCACTAACACACAGTAACATCACCAACAGCAGTAACATCATCAACAGCAGTGACATCACTAACACACAGTAACATCACCAACAGCAGTAACATCATCAACAGCAGTAACATCACTAACACACAGTAACATCACCAACAGCAGTAACATCATCAACAGCAGTGACATCACCAACAGCAGTAACATCACCAACAGTAGTGACATCACTAACATCACTAACAACAGTAACATCATCAACAGCAGTGACATCACCAACAGCAGTAACATCACCAACAGCAGTGACATCACTAACATCACTAACAACAGTGACATCACCAACAGCAGTGACATCACCAACAGCAGTAACATCACCAACAGTAGTAACATCACCAACAGCAGTGACATCACTAACATCACTAACAACAGTGACATCACCAACAGCAGTGACATCACCAACAGCAGTGACATCACTAACATCACTAACAGCAGTGACGTCACGTGGTTGATGTGCAAGGTCACTGCGGATTAAGTAGACGACCCCCGTCCCACCCCGGGTTGCCTGTGTCCAGGCGAATTGATGAGAGAGGAGAGACGATGAGGAGGAGGAGAGACGAGGCTTGATCAAGGATCGAGCAAGGAAGATTCAGAACCTCGTGGAGAAGAGGACCTCCTCACGTGAAGGGAATGAGAGAGGGTGATGATGATGATGAGAGAGGGTGATGATGATGATGAGATAGGGTGATGATGATGATGAGAGAGGATGGTGATGATGATGAGAGAGGGTGGTGATGATGAGAGAGGGTCGTGATGATGAGGGTGATGATGATGAGAGAGGAGGAGGGGGGGAAGAGACGAGGATTGACGTGAAGGGAATGAGAGAACTTAATTTGGAGCTTTCGTGACTGCAGGAATTATTCTTTGGTTCTTTCGGTAAAGTCACGTATAAAGATAAAATAATAAATGAAAATAATAAATTAAATTAATGTATTATTTTATCTTTATACGTGACTTTACCGAAAGAACCAAAGAATAAGGAGTGAGAGAAGGTGGTGATGATGATGATGAGAGAGGGTGATGATGATGATGAGAGGGTGATGATGATGAGAGAGGATGATGATGATGAGAGGGTGATGATGATGAGAGGGTGATGATGATGATGAGGGTGATGATGAGAGGGTGATGATGATGATGAGGGTGATGATGAGAGGGTGATGATGATGAGGGTGATGATGATGCTGATGAGGGTGATGATGATGAGAGGGTGATGGATGATGATGAGAGAGGGTGATGATGAGAGGGTGATAATGAGAGAGGGTGATGATGATGAGAGAGAGCGGGGGGAGAGAGGCGAGGCGTCGTGGCAGAGCCCTGCATACGTGGACGTGCACCGCCTGAAATGAAGCCTCGGGGCGAGTGTCAACGCGGGGAGACCCAACAGAGGGCTCACAGGGGTCTCACAGGGGTCTGACAGGGGTCTGCTGGCAACCCACAGCGCCTTCCCAGGGCTCGATGATGACCACCATCACCACCCCCACCCCGCCATAGCGACCCCACAGCGAGAGCGAGCCGATAGCGATCTGAGGCAGGGCTCCATTCGGGAGTAGCAATGAGCCCGAGACAGAAACATCACAGGGGCCGCCTCAAGGTTGGGGGGGTGTGGTGTGGAGGCAGCAATATGAGCCTTAATAGGACGCGACATGCCCCTGACTGGCCCCCGTGCCAGGGAGCCGACAGGGACCCACCAACATCGGAGCACCGCCTTCACCTGTCCGTCGACGGCTCCCCCGAGACCGCGCGCGCGGAGGGCGGTCTCCCTCCCTCAGCGGCCTCCCTCCGTCCGTCTCCCGCGGTGCCTCCCGATGCGCGTGGCCCAGAGAGTCGAGGGGCAGGAGGAGGGCAGGAGGAGGGCCGGTGGTTGAGGGGGGAGGCCCTGAGGCGGACGCGGCCCTTGGGCCTCTCTGCCTCTCTGCGACCCGGTCGGCCCGCGATGGCGTCCGTCCCGTGACGTCAACTGTTGCCGTCCCGCGCGATGACGTCACTCGTGTCAGCCCGCGCGATGACGTCATTCGCGGCGAGCACGCGATGAGGTCAACTCTTGCCAGACGCGCGATGACGTCATTAGCGGCGAGCACGCGATGACGTCGCTCTCCGCCCGGTGACGCCAAGTCGCCGACCGCGGGGGGGCATTGGCGTGGCGAGTCGGACGCGATGACGTCACCAAAGAAATCAGCTTGCCCGCGCGCCGTCACGAACTTTGCAGAGTAAAGTGGACGATGACGTCACACCCAACAAGTGCACAATACAACGCTTTGAAATGACGTCACCGCGAGTTCTGAAAGCTGACGTCATTTGTGTGTGTTTGTGTCAACCAAGCGTGACGTCACCGATGCAGCTCCACCGAGCGATGACGGTGACCTTCCACCCCTCTCGCAGCCTGCAAGCCTTGGGACCTTTAGACTGACCCCAGAAGCCGACAGCCACACACAAAGACAAAGGTCCCCCGTGTAGCCTTAACAGACTGTAGGGGCAAGTGCTGCTAGCGAGTAGCACATATAAAGGCTGGCACGGTACACGAGGGGGTGGGTAGCCAGCACCACGCCCGACCACCTTTGTCTCCCCAGTGGTGATGTTTACACATCGCACCAGGTACTAATTTGAGGCTGAGTAGACCTAGGGGAGGGCCTAGGACCGCTTCAGGCAATCGCCACTGATGTTGGCCGTGAGCAGAAATCAAACTCACGTGGCCGGCTTCGTAGAGCAGTGCGCTAACTACGACACTACCGCTCCAACAATCGTACACAATATACACACACACAAGCACGTTAAGAAACATGCAATTGAGATTACAGTATTTGCACTAAATTTCGATTTAAAGCTTTCGTGACTGCAGGCATTCATCTTCTTGGTTCTTTCGGTAAAGTCACGTAGAAGGGAAGTAATAAAATAATAAAAATAAAATATTTATTATATTTATTATGTTTGATTTTTATTATTTTATTACTTCCCTTCTACGTGACTTTACCGAAAGAACCAAGAATATTATTTGCATTGTTTTACTGCTGTAAATGTCCCAGTAATAAGACCCCTTGTCGCGCGATAATTTATGGCCAGATCCGTTATGAAAATAGTCAAACCTCGGTATACGGCCGCTTTGGAATACGTCAAATTTGGTACACGTCGTGTTTTGACGGTGAAAACATTGTCTTGGGAAAGATTATTTAAAAATATATTTTTTTTTTTAATGATAGAATATAGTATTGTCATCAGTATGACATAGCTATACCAAGTTTGCGGTCGATACATTGGGAATACGGGTGAAATTGAGTTACAAGATTTGAGGATACAACACATACAGTAAGTTAAATAAAAGCGTGTAAAAAGTACAAAAATATGTTTTGGATTTTCTGATAGAATATCGTGTTGTCATCAGTATGACATACCTATACGAAGTTTGCAGTCGATATCACATTGGGAAGTGTGTAAAAATTGAGTTACAAGATTTATTTTTTGAAGATACAACAGACGAAGTGAGTTAAATAAAAGCGTGTAAAAAAGGCAACAATAGTGGACTGGTTAAATGAGCGAAACTAATTTATTTTACAAGTTTGCCGAACACCACGTGATATCTGTTGAAGGTGTACAACTGGCAATACAATTAGAAGGTGGATTCTGCAAGGTTGAGTGTTTGTGTGGCGCGAAACGTAGGACGTTTCCAATCTGTGCATGCTGAGACAATGTAATACGTGAATTACTCATGGCAAAACATTGAATTAACCACACATACTTGTTGAAAAACAAACATGCATGTTTTGCCACGAACATGTGTGGTTAATGCAGCCTTGAAAAATGTATCTATTTGGTGTTAACACCTGTTTTATTTACAAAAAGGATACAACCTATTATTTTTTTCATCAGTTTTGATATTGGCAAAAAAGGTCCCATAGACACGTTCAATTAGAGCCCACGCAAAGTGAGAAACATTGATGAGAAAAGTGGACGTGGGCAAGACGTTTCGCTGTTAGGGATTAATGCCTGGCGATCAAGACGCCAAAGTGGTAGCCAGGTAGGAGGGCCACACGCAGATGGAGCGATGTAATCAGCGTGTGTGTGCAGCAGCTAGTGGGAGTGTGTTCCTGAGGGATGGCAACGGCATGGGCAAGCGTTCATCCAGCAGCGGACAGATCAGAGTGTGCGTAGACAATGGCTATGGGGAATCCAGTGGATCAGTGCTCGAAGATCAGGATTTCGCAGATGACATAGCCCTGCTCTCTTCAAAACCCATATGCTGGAGAAAACAACTCTGTTGAGCCAGTTTGTTGAGCAACTAGGCCTGCAGATAAATGTAGAAAAGACCCAAGAAATGAAAATAAATACAGCAACAAATGCAACAATCAGGGAAAAAAACCACTGGAACAGGTTGATAGTTTTACATACCGTGGCGATGTAATACGCAAAGAAAATTCTACATCAAAAGACATCAAGTCCAAGGCTAAACAGGGCAAGACACACCTTCTTCCAACTGATACACATCTGCAATTCTGGCCAATACATTTTAAAGACAAAGGTACGAATATATAACGGCAATGTAAAATCATTGTTACTCTACAAAAGTGGAAGTTGAAGAACCGCCAAGATAGACATGAGCTCCCCCTATCAACCTTCCACAACAACCGCCTGACGAAAACCTGTCGCATCTTCTGGCCAAACACGATTTCAAACCGGGACCTGTAACATCGAGACCAATTAAAAATGCATAACGCGGAACTTAACAGAGAGAAGACTCAGGTGGCTGGGACACGTGCTGAGAATGGAACCCGAGTCCATTGCGAAAACTGCTCTGCGGTGGGCACAAGAGAAAAGACCGCGGGGCAGGTTAAAGACCACCTGGTGACGCACCATTCAAAACCAACTAAAGACCATGAGGGGCCTTGTCTTGTGGTGAAGCAGAGAAAGCTGCTAAAGGTCGTCCGGCATGGCATGGGCTTGTTGTGGCCTTATGCTCTACAGACAACAAAGAGGAGTAAGATAAGACAATGGCTGATAATTGTTTTTTTACCCTTCTATCTGGCAACAAAACTGACACCTTTTTTTACAAGGAGTCATGTTTGCATAGACCACAATACCTGCAGCCATAATGCAAACAAAAAACATAACTCTGATAATGTATGCTCTCTCCTTGAAGTTGATTGGTCCACACCCGAGACAGCTTTCCTTAGAGCCTAGTGCCCTAGTCTCACATGGGTTGGACCAGATGACACCAAAAGGCGCACAACTCAAAGACAATGCACCATCAGAGTATGAGAGCTCGGGGTAAGCATTTACACCATTGGAACCTCATTTGCCAGTAAAAAATATTAGTTTTTTACCCTTCTATCTGGCAACAAAACTGACACCTGTGCCAGATAGAAGGGTAAAAAAAACAATTATCATGTTTTTTACTGGCAAATGAGGTTCCAATGGTGTAAAGACAATGGCTGCCGACTGATAAGAGCACCTAAAACAGGAAGAGCATCTCAATATTCCGCAGGGTGAAAGCATGCAAGCAAACAGTGCAAACACCGAAGCAACAACAACGGGCAGTCAATCCTCCCTCCCACGTGGTCACACAGAGAACAGCGCAGTGTACTTCCTGAATTTTATTAAAAACAAAAATATCACCATAGACACATGCAGACAAAGGTGGCGCGGGGGGGGGGGGTGCAGGGGGCTATGATCCCCACTTGGAAGATTGTGGGGTGAACAGACAATATACCACGGTGAATAGACTTTACCCTTTCTGCTTGCCAGGAAGCCTATTCATTATTTTATCATCTTGAGAATGGCAAAAAGGTTCCCCGGAAATAAACCACGGCTAAAATTGCTCACTTTCCCTTGTTGCTCACAGACTGGAGTAGGTGGCACCTGGCTATCCTCGCAGCGACTTCAAGCTAACCATCGAACAAAGACGGTCACCTGCATCGTACGGTCTCAGATGCGCTTCTGCGGCCGTCCGGAACGCTCTTCTGACATTAGAAAGCCACTGGAGATATGCACTTTTAAATCTAAATTGAAAACGAATTTCTTTATAACAGCTTTTTGCTTAGTTTGCTTTCATTCTCTCACACCTCCTTTTTGCACGGTTGGCTACGTACGGTGCGAACAAAGTTCAACACACATACTAGTAGCTACAGCCAGAACGATGTCTACTAGGCATGTGAAAAAGAGCTTCATAGCTCATCGGATTCCTCCAGTCGAAAGATTTTGATTCGTGCGATTCTAGATCTGTACTGGGCGAGTAAATATTTTATGGGTTGCCAAAACTGTTCTAGCCCCCCCACAACTGACTTCAGTTTAGCAGGAACAAGTTTTAGCTAGTGCTATTGGAATGATAGCACACAGTACTTCAATCATATTGATTAAGCACACCACACCGACACTGAATTGTTCACCAAATTTGTTGTTCATATACGATATATAAAATGACAACTGTGGACAACTCTTTTTATTTTACCAGTTTCAGGTCCACGGAGCCATGTAGCTCTTTTTGAGAAGCGACCTGGCCACAAATGATAGCAAGAAAAAAGTGGCGTATCGTGTGGAAATGTATAGCAACCAAATACTTTTATAAACACATGTTTATAAATGTGGAGGGAAAAACCGGAGGACCTGGATAAAAAGCCACACCATCACGGAGAGAGAAATGTAAACTCCAAATATACAGACGTTTGAGTCCTGATCGAAACCACGACCTCCTGCATACCAGGTGAGGTAGTTAACATCTTGCCACCACTGCGCCTTTATGGAATCATTCCACCCCTGCATTTTCATTCACCACAATGTTGAATAAATAATCCATTCTCGAATTGTAACTCTTAATCACAACAATTCACACATTCCTTGACATGTTCCTTTGAAATTAAAATATAAGCCATCCTATTTAATGAACGATTCAAAAGTTGAATACAGTGACTGGACGCTGTTGCCAAAGACGTTGGTTAATCTTTTACTTCTGTCATTGGTTCTACTGCATCTGTGGTTGCTTTCACTTTTACTGATGTATCTGTTCTTGCTGCCGCTTGTGCTGTTGCATATGTAGCTGTTGTATCTGTGGTTGGTTTTTCTGTTGTATCTGTAGTTACTGTTGTAGCTGTGGTTGCTGATGTATCTGTGATTGCTGTAGATTGTGCTGTTATATTTGTGGTTACTGTTGTATCCGTGGTTGCGGTTGTTTCTGTAGTTGCTGTTGTAGCTGTGGTTGCTGTTGTATCTGTGGTTGCTGTCACTTGTGCTGATATATCTGTGGTTGTGGTTGTTTCTGTGGTTGCTGTTGCTTGTGCTGTTGTATCTGTGGTTACGGTTGTTTCTGTGGTTACGGTTGTATCTTTGGTTGTATCTGTGGTTGCTGTTGTATCTGTGGTTGTTTCTGTGGTTGCTGTCACTTGTGCTGTTTGCCGTTGACGCTGCATCGCACTGCGAGCAGAGACCAGGATGCACAGCTCTTGAGTCAGGAGTTGGAGCAGAAGCCGCGATGGTTCCCCCGAGCCGGGCGACATCTGTCGTGAGACAAAACCATGGCAGGCACACACCCAGTGATGACCTCACAGCGCTAAACAAATCGCTGAGCCCCTCAGCACGTGCTCTGCTTGCTCTAGGGTTGTCGTGGTACAATGGTGGAATTCTCATGATATCCTATCAATTTACATGACGTCAAAATTGCTGCAAAATCAGTATCCCTACAGTTTGTAATCACGTTTTACAATTGTTTTTTTTCTTTGCTGAACTTCCAGTACAAATTAATATTATTTAAACGTTCTTCAACTGGTGTCATTCTAATCATTGTGATGGTAATAGTCCACGAGCCCAGACGAGATATTTCCCTCTTTTGGTGTCACCCGAGGTGGCAAAACACGCGTGGTTCCAATTTCTTCACGTGGCCAATAACAGGGGATCATGTGATAACCATTTGAAACGAGCGGGTTGTAAAATTAACTCACATTCGTCGTGTAGATAAAAAGGATACGACTACAGTTTTGCTACCTCAGGTGGCACCATTTTGTGCTCTCGCCTATAGACAAAATCTGCACCGCTACGAGCGCACATGCTGTCAGATACAGAAAAATCGTCAATATCCCCTGAGGAAGTTCATGTCATGATCATGCTGTCAATTATTCAGGAAAACCTTTTTGAAAGCGCTAAATGAATTGCTAATAGAGATTACGCCATTGTTATTTCTAATATATTTGGTCAGGAAATGAGATATGGGATGAAAGCGACAAGAATCACGATATATTAATATGTTACAAACGGACGATGTAATCGCCATATCGCTGCAACCTGACCGTTTACTAATCTGTTCTGCAGCCATTAGAGAGCAGAATGCCGAGAGAAGAGTGAGGCTTGATCAGGAACACTTCAGATGGCACACATTTACAACACGTGGTTTTACAAAGCGACCACATCTCAACACATATAAACGAGCATTGCTGTGAGTTTGCCAAATCTCCACATATATAAAAGGCAAAGTTGTGATTATGTGTGCCTGTTCAAAATGTTTAACATAATTCCCGACATGCAACAAACTTGAAATTTGCCATGTGGGTACTTTCCAGACTGTACACCATGCAAACATTATAAAAATACACTTTCTTTTTTTTGGGGGGGGGGGGGAGCGCAATAATGCATATATTTTTTGCACGGCAAGTGAGCTATGACGTCACATATGTCATGTCACCCGCGCATGTGGAAGCGTCACGCAGTGTAGTGTAGCGGTTAGCGCGCTGCGCTACGAACCCGGCGACCCGAGTTCGATTCCCGCTCACGGCCACCACCGGTGACGATTATTTGAACCAGTACTGGGCCTCCCCTAGGTCGACTCAGCCTCAAACGAGTAACTGGTGTGGTGTGTGAACATCGCCACTGGGGAGACAAAGGCGGCCGGGTGTGATGAATCCAAGTCCCGGGCGACGCCGGGTAGGAAAGCTAGTATCCCATATAGGACTACAAAACTTGGCCAATTGTTGGCATCTGTTCTGAATGCCTTCCCGCTTGTTTGCGGTTTCCTGCACCGTTGAATCTTCCTGAAATGTAAAAAAAACCTGTGTACGTTACAAAGTATAATCAGAGTGTGTCACGCCAACAGACACGTTACCCTGGCGATGGTCATCCTCCGTGCTTGCTCCATGCAGCAGCAAAGCTTCAGCGCCAGCTCCTGCATCTCCTCCTGCATGCTCCCTCGGCCGACGATCACATCCGAGACCAGGTGGCTGGGGCAAAAACAAAGATCCCCCGTGAAGCCTTAACAGACTGTTGGGGCAAGTGCTGTTAGTGAATACTTATGAAGGCCGGCACGGCACACAAGGCGGCGGGTGGCCAACACCACGCTCGGCCGCCTTTGTCTCCCCAGCGTCGATGTTTACACATGCGCCAGGTACTCATTTGATGCCGAGTCGACCTACGGGAGGCCCATGATCAATTCAGATAATCGGTTCGTAGTATAGCGTGCTAACCGCTCCCCACACACCCACACAGCCCAATGGGACCACCACATCCCTGCGAATGAAGGCAGGGACAGTCCCGTTCATTTCAGAGAGGCTATCCAAATGTCCTAAAGCTTTTGCAAAAATCTGAATTTTGTCGCCGGTTTAACGTTTTCTGGTCTCGTGCTCAGCTCATGATTGCGGACAAAGAGTAGGGCAACCCGAGCAGTGGGGCGGGAGCCTATGAGCAGTAGGTGGGGCCCAACGGCAGAGCCAGGAGGCCGTGGGGCTGGTTGTCGAGTGGGCATGGCCATTTAAAAGTGGGCGGGGATAAAAGAGGTGGGGGGGGGGGGCTCGAAGCTCAACCATGTGTACCAGTTGAGCCTCCCGGAATTTTTTACTAGCCGCAGTTTAAATCGGAGAGCGTACACATGCGGTGCAACTGCAGGGTGCGACGGAGAGGCATTAAATCCGTGGATGTGAAACCCATGAAGATTCAAAGAGAAGCATGTGACCGTCAAACAAGCGATGCGTGGAGATGACCATGGGTCGGCAGGCGAGGGCTTACGTCTTGTGCGCAGGAAGACAGAGAATCCCGATGGCTGTGAGCAGCCTCCACGAGGGACCGTCCACTCCAAATGTCAGGTTCCTAGAAAAAGGCCGGGAGGACAGGGGAGAGGAACATGGGATTTGAAGGTGCGCCGTGTCTTTTTCCTCAATTTTATCACATTTGTGCTATTGGCATTACGTCATGAGATGCAGAATCCATTTGGAAGTCTCACACAGCAGTGATCCGCTTCATGTTAGAGAGCGGCCTGTTGAAGCTGTCAAAGAACTGCTTCTGACATCTCGAGTGGCTTCATCTTCACGCACTCGGAGGAAGCAGCACTTTCCAAAAAAGGCAATATTTGTTGCACGAGTCAAGCCAAGATTCTGAATGACGACAATTGGAATTTCGACAAATTAACTACAGACCTACATTTTAATGCCATGGTGTTTTTGTGCAATCATTGGTGATCGAGCTCAGACCATAAACTTACTCCACTTGAAAACCTGGTTTGGAACTCAGGATCTCAGCGGTGGAAGCTCAGTCCCTCTGATATCTGACCCACCCGGCCACCTCAGGACCGAGGACTTGAAAATGTCTGCAGTGAAGCATTATGAAACGAGGCTTTTCATGAGGATGGTGAGGTGAGGTAAAGGTTTGCGAGGTGAGGTCAATGGAGGAGGCGCCTAACCTGGTGAGGTCCCTCTTTTGCAGAAGGGTCAACTTCCACTCAGCGGCAGTACTCGGGCCACACGCCACACCCAACACGTCGTCTGCACAGACAAGAGCCGCACACATTTTAAACTCATTTCTCTAGAACTGATTTGTGTTTAGTTTGTTGTCCTTCCCCCACACTTCCGATTATGCACGGTTGGCTACGTACGGTGCGAAAGAACTTCAACATACATACAGGGACTACTCTACTTACGAATGAGTTAGGTTCTAGAGGTCTGTCCTTAATTCGATTTGTTTTTAAGTCCAACTTTTACTCCTGTCGATTCCAAACATGTTGTACGGCGTGTACACTAAACATGGGGAATAGCTTTAAAAGTTGTGTGGTGGTCAGGGTTGACACCAAGGTTGACACAGGTCACACAGGTCACACAAGCTAGGGGAGAGGTACGTACCGGTCTGGACCGGCCCGGATTGACAGGGACGAGAGGTGGTTGGAACGGCTCTGAGGGGAGGGGGCTGGCGAGAGCCAGGGCCCGAGACACCCCCGCCCCTCAGAGAGAGGGGATATATAAGACGGCTCCCGGAGAGCGGAGGGGTCGATCGGAGGAGAAGCTGAAGGAGGAGAGCCGGAGATCCTGGACCCCCAAGCCTCAAGGATGCCGCCCCGCTGGAACTGAGTGGGCTGAGTAGCTGTAGGCTAGGGAAGAGAGTAGCTGAGTAGCTGTAGGCTAGGGAAGAGAGTAACAGAGTAGCTGGAGGCTAGGGAAGGAGAGAAATGAGAATAGAGCCGGAGGCTGTACCTCCCTAGGTTGTGTGTGTGGGACTGTCTCCCCAGTGAGTCCTGAGGACTAGTGTTATCGGAATAAAAGCGTGTGGCCTCTACGAATTGTCGGTCTCATTCAAGAATACTACATTTGGTGTTAGAAGCGGCCAAAGAACCTCGCCGACATGGAGACAAGACAGAAAACGCTCACCAGGGGCCAGGAGAAGGACGTCGAGGGAGACGCTGAGCCGGAGGCGGGAGCGCCATTTCCGGGGGACGGGTCTGCGGGGGCGGGCTCGGGTTCTCCGGGGCCCTCCAGGAGTCCGCCGACGTCGGGATGGGCGATCCAGTCAGCCCATGCCCGGCTGGCCGATCTCCTCCATGCCGCTGCCTCCATCCTCGACGAGCTCACGCTGGGGGGAGCGGGAGCGCCGGGTGGAGTACCAGGCCGAAGGATGGGACGGGTTCCCGCCGAGAAACGCGCCATTCCCGCGCAAAACTTTGACGTCACCTCCGGAGGGGGAGACGTCACTTCCGCCGGGGATGCGGCCACCGGGGATGACGTCACTTCCGCCGGGGGGGTCACCGCTTCCGGGGGACGTGACGTCAACCGCCCAGGAGGTCAGGGGGCAGAGGTGGCTCGCGTCACATCCGCCATCTGCGGCCTTACATCGGGAGAAGCAGAGTTTTCGGGTAGGTGCCCGCCGATTCTGTCTGATATTCTGCCGCCGGAAGATGCTTCATATACTGCACTTGGGACGCTGCTGTCTTCGAGGGGGGACTACATCCCGGCGCTACAACAGCGCTTGCCTTCGCTTCAGGTTTTCACGGCAAAGGGGGGGGACTGGGCTGCTTTTTCACGCCGTTTTGTGGCAAATGCCGAGACGGCTGGGTGGTCTGCTGACATCGCTCTCCGAGCCCTGCCTTCCGCCTTGGACGACGTGGCCTTGGCCACGTTCCTCCTTATTCCACGGAGGCAACGCTCCACTTTGCAGGAGGCCCTCGATCGGATGGCCTTAGTGTATGGACCTCCATCCGAAACTAGACATCGTTTCGCCAGTCGGAGGAGGGAGGCGGACGAGACACCTCTTGCCTATCAGAGTGCACTGATGGCGTTGGCTCAAGCAGCCTATCCTCGAATGGACGATGTGGGCCTGGACTCCATCGTGCTGGAGAAGTTGCTGCTGCTGGCTCGGGAACTGAGGATTGCCATCCACGTCAAAGATGAAGCTAACCTTTCCTCGCTGGGGGCGGCACATTACCTGCACACAGAGTTGCTCCTCCAGCGGGATGGGCAGGTGGCTGCGTGCGCCGCTGCAAGAGTTGACGAGGTCCCGGATGCCCAGGCCTTCGCGTCACAGCGGGCCGCCAGTTGGAGGGGAGCCGACCGGCCTCGCCAAGGGGAAACCCGGGGGAGACACGGACCCCCGCGGGCGTTGGCTGGCGTCACGTGCTATAACTGTGGCCAGCTGGGTCACCTGGCATCGGGTTGCCCTGCACCCCGGCGCCGGGCTTTGGGTCATCCACCATCGTCCGCCCGTCCGCCGGCCGCTCCACAAGACCCCCAGGCATGTCGCGACACCTCACGCACACGGTCCCTGCCCGCATCTCATACACCGCGATTCGGCGCGCCAGTAGATCGCGTTGCGTTGAGGGGTGGGGAGCGGAATGGGGCTGATGTTCGGGGGCCACTTCGCGCGGTTCAGTGGTCCGAGTTGGCCCACAGGGTCGTGGCCGCGGCGACGGACTCGTCGGTTATTCTCGGGGATATTGAGGGAATTCAATTTCGATTGTTGGTCGATACGGGGGCTTCGGCTACTATAATCTCCGACCTCATATACAACGTGTTACCAAAGAGATGTCAGGCACTCACCCCGTTCTCCGTCCCTTGCTTTGCGGCAAATGGGGGTTCCCTGGGGATTATTGGCCAAATAACTGCACAAATTTGTATTGGCGACATTAAATTATCTGGTCCCATTTTGGTTTCCGATGCCTTGGCCGTTCCCTGTCTGTTGGGTACGGATTTCTTGGGGAGGATGCCCATCAAAATTTTGATTGACAAAGGCTGCATAGAGCTTCCTTCGGGCCGCCGGATGGCGTTTCTGCCTTCACCAAACCGGCTGCGCACAGCTTGCACGACTGTTCCGGCTATGGCGTCTGAAACCGTGCGGATTCCGCCGGGTGCGCAGATGCTGATACCGCTTCAGTTACGCAAACCACTGGAGGCAGACGCTACGTCGGGGGTTTTGTTATCTCCTTCAAATACGACCGAGCGAGGGTTGGACCTGGTGGGTGCACAAACGCTTGTGCCTAGAGATGGACAGCCCTTCATTCAGGTGCTGAATGCGGGGTTGCGGACGAAGGTCGTGCACCGAGGGGCTGTCATTGCACATGCGTCGCTGCCGCTGCACACTGACTCCGTTGCAGCTCATGTCGGTGAGGCGCCGGCGTCCGGGACGCAGGTGGGTGTCGATGAGGCATGGATGGATTCTCTCTGTTCAGGGGCTGAAAATCTTTCAGAGTCACAAAGATTCAAGCTGCGCATGTTGCTTCGTGATTTTCCCGATGTTTTTAGCAAACACAAATTCGATGTTGGGTGCACTAATCTATTGAAACACCACATTGATACGGGGGATTCCGCTCCCATTCGGCAAAATCCGTTCCGATTAAGTCCGGCAGAGAAGGAACATGTCCGGTTGGCAGTGAATGACATGCTTGCCGCAGACATTGTAGCTCCCTCCAACAGCCCATGGGGTGCGCCCATTGTGCTTGTTAAAAACATGATGGCAGTTTGAGGTTTTGTGTGGATTTTCGGAAGCTTAACAAGGTTTCGCTGGCGGACGCGTATCCACTCCCTCGCATGGACGAGTCGCTCGATGCTTTGGCGGGGGCACGGTATTTTTCTACCTTGGACCTTTTGTCGGGGTTTTGGCAACTGCCCTTGGATGACGCTTCCAAACCTAAGACCGCGTTCCGTACGCCACAGGGCCTTTATCAGTTCAACCGGTTGCCCATGGGATTGCACTCAGCTCCAGCGACGTTCCAGAGATTGATGGAACTGGTCCTCGCTGGCCTGCAGTGGGACTCTTGTCTTATATATCTGGACGACGTGATTATTTTCAGCCGTACGTTTGAGGAACATCTGGACAGACTGCGGGCTGTATTTCTCAGAGTGCGATCGGCTAATCTTAAATTTAAGCCTCAGAAATGTTTCCTGTTGCGTGAATCGGTGCGGTACCTCGGCCACGTTGTCAGTTCTACGGGTATAGCCACCGATCCTGCTAAAACTGACTGTGTAAGGTCGTGGCCCACGCCCACGTCTGTGGGGGAAGTCCGCAGCTTTATAGGCTTTGCGTCCTATTACCGCCGGTTTGTTGAGGGGTTTGCGACGATTGCCAAACCCCTTCATGCTCTGACGGCTAAGGGGGCTAAATTCCATTGGGGGGAAGAGGAAGACAGGGCGTTCAGGGCGCTTCGCGATGCCCTTGTCCGAGCTCCTCCCTTGTGCTATCCCGATTTCACGTTGCCCTTCATCCTGGACACCGATGCCAGCAATACCGGCATCGGCGCGGTGCTTTCGCAGGTTGTCAACGGGGTCGAACGGGTCATTGCCTACGGCAGTAGAGTCCTGTCTCCGGCAGAGCAACGTTATTGCGTCACCCGCCGTTAACTGCTCGCTATTGTCGTGTTTGTTCAACAATATCGACCGTACCTGTACGGTAGGCATTTTACGGTTCGTTCCGATCACGCCGCGCTACAGTATGCGTTGAAAATAGACCAGCCGTCCGGCCAGCTGTCACGTTGGCTTGAGGTCCTACAGGACTACACGTTCACGGTGGTGTACCGGAAGGGGACACAACATTTGAACGCGGATGGCTTGTCACGCCTTCCTCCGGGTGATGGGTGCGCGTGTTTTATGGGCTCGGGGAGATGCAAATCGGCCACGAGTACCGCTCCGGCTTCTCCCTTGGCAGCGGCAGCAGGGGTGGTTGATAGGGAACCTGTCGCCGAGGGGGACTCGCAGGTGTTGGTCGCTCGCGACTCACTCCTCGATCTGCCTCTGGACGAATGGGGACGGTTCCAGATGGAAGACAATTCCCTCCTCAGGTTACGCCGTCGTGCGGAGAGAGGGGGAGATTGTCAGGAAAGGGTAGGTACTGTCAGGTTGCGGGAGGGTCTCCTCATGTCATTGGACGCCAGCTCGGGGCGTTACAGAATCGTCGTCCCCACCGCTCTGCGGGGCAGGGCCGTGTGGGCGGCGCACGAACGCGTCCTGCATTTAGGTATTCACAAAACGCTCGCTACACTGCAATTGGATTTTTTTTTGGCCGGGAA